TTACAAAGAACCTCTGTCTTGGAAAAGTCAATGTCATGTGAGCCTACTGAATTATAACAATGATCTGCCACGGCCGAGGTGTTGGTCCTACCGTGTTTAAGGTCTGCTTTGTGTTCACGAATGCGGTCCGAGACATGGCGTTTGGTTTCTCCAATGTAACTACTACCACAGAGGCAACTTAGTTTGTAGACACCAGGGTACTGTATGTCCGGAATCACATCTTTTACAGACGGAACCAGATCACGGATTTTATGTAATGTGTTGAAACGGACCTGGATCTTGTGTTTATTCAAGATTTTGGAGATCTTTTTTGAAAATTTTTGTAATTAATTGTTCACGCTTACGGTGGCTTTCAGACAGCATACATTATTTTTTTGTCTCCCCCCTCCTCTTTTCAGAACATAGATGGACTAGTCCTTCTAAATAAACTGCCAAATCGCTGCGCGTGACGCTGACGTTTTTATAAATAAATAAATACACCGTTTAAAAATTAAAAATAAATTAAAAATAAATAAATTCATGCAAACCAACACTTCTTTCAAATGTTTCTTGCCGTTGCTTTTCACACCTGATGACGACCGTTTGTGTTATGGTCGAAACGTCGTGAGAATTTTTATTGTTTTATATATATTATTATTTTAGTGTTTCCCTTCAACGTGACTTTACCGAAAGAGCTAAGAATATGAATTACTGCAGTCACGAAAGCTTTAAATCAAAATTTACATCATCATTGTAATCGTTATTGTAATTACATCATCATTGTAATTATCATTATAATCATTATCGTAATTACATCATTGTTGTTATCATCATTGTAATCGTCATTGCAATTACATCATCATTGTAATTACATAATCATTTATTGTGATCACTCTTGTATTTTGACTTAAAACTTTCGTGACTGCAGGAATTCATATTCTAAAGGTTCTTTCGGTAAAGTCACGTGGATATAAAAATATCAAATGAAATAATAAAAATAAAGTTAATAATAAAAAACCCCCACGACGTTTCGCAACACAAGCGGCCGTCATGATGATGACGTCATGATGACGAGCGCTTGTGCTGCGATCGAAACGTCGGGATATTTGTATTATTTTCTATTCACTTTTTTACGTTTGTATTTGTATTATTTTATTGTTATTATTTTCTATCTACGTGACGTTACCGAAAGTTACCATAGAATATCAATCTTGTAATTTTACTCGATTGTAATACATTGCTCGATTTACATTTCCCCGAAATCCCACAAGGTTACGGAGTGCCTCCACGCATTTGCTTGACGACAAATGTACTCGATTGGAAGTGTGCATATTGTCTCGCAAGACTGTCCTTTCTTCATCCTGCCCCCCAAATACAGTTCTGTACAACAATTCTCAAGAAGTATACAGTATATAAGTATATATACTCAAGTATACATTCAAGTTTATATTTATAAATATACATCTAAATAGCTGAGACCCCGTTGGTCAGCGACGCAAAATAAGGCACAGCTGTAATTTTCTTCTCCCAGTCTAACACGTTGGCTCCCGCGACCAAATATCATCCACAATAGCGATTTTTGTTGAGGGGTTTTATATCGCGTAAATATGAACGTCTCGTTAAACCCCGTCACCGCCCGACAACAAGCAATTAGCAAGGTCCGTCACGTAAACAAAACGTGCCAGTTCGTTACTAGTTCAGCTGACCAGTGTGTTGGAGAGTAAACCCACATCATATACAATTCGAGTAGCCGCAACGTTTCGCCGGTTATAATCTTCTGACAATAAAAGTCATCCGATTTTTGGACGTAATACAATGCCAAGGCAGTCTTTAACTGAATCGTGTCAGTCTTCCGTATTCGTTACGTCCACCTTTTTTTTGGCCGCGATTTCAACACAATGCTCATCGCAGGGAAATCCCGTTACGCCAGTTACCCAGCTGGTTGTTTAGGTATAAATCCTCTGCAGCAATCATCTCGACCACTGGAGTAACCAAAAATGCTAGCAGAAAACTAACGTGATGCGTGAGATGTCATTCTTCTCATCGATATTAACACTAAGATGTTTTATTTGGGGGAGAGGTGGGAAAAGCCACCCTCTTAGACTGAACAGAGCTTATTGTTTTCCCGCCAAAATGCTACAAAGTGGCAGCTAAAATGAAGACTTAAAATTACATTGCTGATGTGGATAATTGGTTACCGCCATAACGTTATGTTCAAGAGAGAGGGGAAAAACAGATTTATTTATTTTATATATCCTGCATCTCCGCACACTCTGGCTTTCATTGAGACCTTAGGAGATTGACTTGTTTTTTTTATGGCCGTGCTGTAAATCTGGAGGCTATTTTATCAATGGTCCCAGGATAATTTAAAAGCCATGGGTTTACATTGGGTATGGAACATGCAGTTGTGGAACACGGCCAGAGAAAGGGCTTGAGCTCGCACAAGAAAACATTGTCTCCAGCCGGTACAAACATGTAGAATGCATTAAGCTCTGCGGATATCGCTGTACATATTTAACGTAATGATTAAACAAACGATATAGATGTTTTATTAGGATTACTGTTATTTTTAAGAATGGTGCACATAGTAAAACATATTATGATTTAATGTTTTACAGTAAAACGTCTACATTATTCGTAAAAATGTATGGTTATTCAGTTGCAAAGTTATATATATATACTCACAGCAAACAATGATGGATGGTTGGATAACTCCGCTACAATTTCCTCCAGTTTTTGAGCAAGTTTGAAAAAAAAATGGTGATTCAATTTACGACCCTTTATAAATCCACTGCTGGTTGAAGGCCTCCGCATGCCGTGTTGGTTGAGATTGTTTGTCCATACTTTACCATACTTTACCATCCTGGTCAGTGCAAGTTGGTGAAGAGGTGTGGCCCTACCACCGGTTCCGATATAACGCATTCGATGTAACCCACCACTGAACCACCGTTCCCTCTTTGGTCGTTCAGTAATTATCGGTATCTCATTCGCGTTATGAAGTGATTGTCACAATCTGACATTCACCGCTCCCGGTCGTCATTCCTTCCTCTAAAGCGGCTGCTAAATTAAGGCCTCAGTGCGCACAATGTGTTCTCAGCACGCAGAAAATGTGCTAACAACCTGCCGCATTTAGAATTTTTTTGCAAGAACGTGCTTATCATACGCCATTGTTAGATTGTAAGGGCACCTTCGCGTCAATATGTTATGCCTGCCGCACGTTGGCATAATGTTAACGGGTGTCGGGAATGCATGGTGCGTTTAATGGATGAGGAGGGCATTTAATTTTATTTCAGTTGTCTTCTTAGGCCACAGTGGGCCACGGCCGTTTCCTCCACCGATGTCTCCTCGCGGTGATCTCTCCACTTTCTCTATGTCCATCGCTGCACCTTTCAATCGAGATTCCTCCCGTCTCGTCCATCGTTTGCTGCTTGGCATCCACTCATACCGTGGTCTTTCCTCTCCTCCAAACACCTTCCCGTTGTTCCCTACATCGCCGCCCTTTACAGCTGATCACCATTCATTCCGGTCACATGTCTGAATTTTTGCAGTTTCTTAAACTTGGCCTGACTTTGTAGCCCGGATTCTTTGTCGATATTTTCCAGGGGTGCGTCGTTCAGTCGTTTAGTTTATAAAACAAAGCTCTACTCAGATCCAGTCTTGTATGGTACACAATGGTATCAATGTATATTCACTTATGAGCATTATTGGCACCTTCATCTGAGCTCTCTGCACTCTGGACTATTCTTCAATGCTCTCGCTTCTTCCATGATATCCCTTTTCAAATATGATAATCAATAACGTATAATAGAGCACTACAATAACATCAGACTGTATAACAAAGTTGATCGTTTACATAGATCCATATCAAACTAAATATGCACCATTCAAATGTAATTCGGTCAGATTTACAAAACGTACCCATGTGCCACGCGTTTTTTTTCTCTCTGCAAGGAGTTTGGCCATTGGAAACGATCTCAGGCATTTTAAGGCTGTAGTATGCACTGTGCTAGTGTATATGTGAAATGGCAATATAATCATCAACAGCTGTGGTCAATCCATTGCTGGATGAAGGCCTCTCCAAGCCAACTCCACCTCTCACTATCCTGAGACGCAATAATCCATCGAGCACCTATCGCCGCATCTCTTTGGTTGAGCGTTCAATATCATTATCTTAAAATATATTTCCAAACTCTGAATGAGAGTACATGTTATTTTAAAGGTCCAGATGCTTTCTATATGTGTAACAGAATATGGCTCCAATTCTCATTTTTTTCCCCCATTTCATTTCAAATCCGCAAATTTGTCTTCTGCTCAGCTTGCACGCGGTCACGCATTTGGGAAAGATTCTTCAGTGTATCGCACGCATTGCATCGTTACACAACGCCTCGTGCGTGCACGGTTGTGTTTTTTTTTGTTCATCATAAAATACCATTTGGTTAAAACATTTGACCCGTTGAGAATCATTACAAAAACGGACAGCTGGAATGGTTGCAGAAGCAAACATCTGCACGTGGATATTAATGTCACGTATTGATTGCGCTTGCCCGACTTTCTGCAAAATTCTCCAATTGACCAAAAAAATACCCCGTTTGTTTTCACGGCACAATTTCTGCAGGTTTTTTTTTTTTGGGGGGGGGGGTTAGAAATCTGTTCAGTGTGCCGCTCATAGCATAACTTTCGATAAATTAATGCCAAGGCTAGAAAATATATGCTTAAATTCATAATCATTAGATTACTTTTGAAGCCAAAGACATCCACACACAAAACCAATTTGACATCGAGTTTGCATGTTGCAACAGCTGTCGGCAATGTATAACGCGCGTGATTTCTAATGGAAAACAAAACACTGCTTGGCGATTTTCATAATCCGGCTATGCAAAAAAATGTAAATAGTACTTTCTATACCAACTAAGTATTGGCTGTATTCTTTGTTGTACTCTAATGTAAAGTGCCCTACAGCTGCAAACCAACACACAAAGCACCACATTGAAATCCAATAACTACAAGTGTGTACGCTAATGTGAATAGAATTCGGTTTTAATGTGATTCTGCAGGTTGGCTTCTTGTGGTGGCATTGGAAATGAGACTCGAATCCCAATTATATATATAAAAAATGCATTCCAGTACAGTTATGCATTTAAATTCCTGAAGCAGCTCCAAGCACGTGGATCAAAACGTCGGACATAATGCCAAAACAACACAGCGGAGAGGTACAATGCATTATTTAAGTATATATATAAACTTAGCACGGTATGGCTACGTACAGTGCGAAATAAGTTCTACATACATACAAGTGTACTACTTATAGATGGATTAGTATCAGGTCACCTGGTCTCCGTTAAGGAGAACAGCGTATACTGCAACCAAGCCACATTAATGCTCTTCGTATCAAATTGTTGCGACAACTAGAAAATCGCCAGTAATTTTGGCGTCACAACCTAAGAAGCATTTCCAAAATTGCACGTAAAGTACCATGGTTATTACTTTAGCAATATAGATAGCTGCTGTAGCATTGCACGCTAAGTGAGATGTGTTCATTGGAAATATTTGACATTCAAACAAATGGCTTCTGTTTGCCTTTAGATGCATTCATAAATGCCCCTTTTTTTTCTTAAAACAAAAACCGTGGCCAAAAGGCAACACTTTTTTTTTGTAATATGCTTAAACAACAGGCAATTAGAGTTTGATTTGAGGCCGGGGTTGTGCTCGAGTTAAAGGTCTGCATTCGCAAAATGCAATCTGACAGGCGCGCTTGCACGCATAGCTGGCTGCGTTAACAATCGGAGTCGAGGAACAACATTTCAGGATGTGTTCAGCCATAAGAGGCAGTCTTTGCAAAATCATTGACTACTGAAGCCTCCAGGCTTTCTCTGTGGTCCAATCATCCCATCACGAGACTTTGGTATTGAGACTGATACAAAGTCCGGACTTGACCGCCCTTCATTAAATATAACTGATGTAGCTTACTATGTACGTGTGCTGTATCTTCTTGCCCTTATGGTCTCTGTGTGCATTTAATGGGCCAATCGTTAAGGTATTTGTCGACAAACCCTAGGGAAGCAAATGCGTCCTCCTTATCTAACGTTTAATTGTCCTTTATTAAAATACTTCCCTGTTTGAGACTTTTGTTTGCAATGAATATAGCCGATAAGGTGTTTTGATTCCCTTTGGCCAACAAGCTATTTAAATATGTATCAGTACAAAGTGGTGTATCACTACTGCCGATGTTGTCGCGGTTTTGCCGTACAGCTCTGTGCTGTGTTGTCGAGTTTGTTCCGTGTGTTGTTGAGCATATGATGTCTTGACCTTTCGGTCCACGTGCTGAGAGCTCCTTAACGAACTCCATTCAGTGGCTGAACAAAAGCAAACTGGTCACGAAGAAGCTCCCAAGACACCGGAGCAAAACGTTGGACATCATGCCTGAGCGGCACACGGCACAACTAGAAAGCGCATCAGAGAGCTAAACAGCACAGCTGGTGAACACCGATGCAGCAGTTGGGAATTGCTGTTAGATCAGAGGCTGCAGTACACCCCCGGCAGGTCCACATTGTCGAGTATTGAAATTCCAATTCCAACCCGACAAAGCCTCTTCTCTTCCGCCTCGAGTGGTGGTTCCACACCCCGGAGTATTGGTTACCTTTCCCAACAAGTATCTCACCAATCTGTCCTCTCCGAGCACCTCCCACGGAGCAGTCGGCGTCACACATCCTCGTGTAAGTTGGAGTCATTTTTATTTAATCTTCTAGTCAATTGGATGGATGCAGGGCTTAATTGCTTAATTGCCCTCTGGTGCCCATAACGTAGTCCTGCAGCCTCTAACAATTTGTTCGTGTTTGGTGGTCACCCAGCAAAGCATTATCCAAGCTCAATCCTATTTAGTTTCCAAGATGTGATGAGATCGGTCGCATTCCTGTTGATTTGGTCATAGGGTGAGGGTTTCATTTCAACCCGAGTCTGGCTCAGCGACCTTTAGTATAATCCTCGCTATGGCTGTGGCTTCTAGTCACGTGCCACCTACGCAAGTCTACCAGCAACCCGGGCAATATTCAGTGAAAAATGTAAGTCCCTGCTTGCGCGACACACACATAGCTTGCAAAACAATCACCGCAAGCGGCTAACACATTGCATGTTTCTACATTATCCATGGGGCTATTGTGATGGATTCATTTCCATAAGGAAGATTACTCATAAACGTCCCATGAAAGACATTTCGATAAAATATGTACTTTCCTCACGAGGCTTGTAATTACATTTTGCAGCAACGCAGTTTTCATACCCAACTTTCGTCGACCCAACAACAAAAATAGTTTCGACGAAACAGTATTTTTCATCTTGGAAATAACATGTACAGCAAACAATATACAACAGCGATTTAATTGTTTATGGTAATTATATATAGCGTACGTCTGTTGCATAATGAACTCAATGTGTGTGCGTTGGTGGATAGCGTTTGAAACAGATGCAAGTCTTTAAGTGGATTCTAATAAATTATATTTTTTTACTAGAATCAGTAGCAAAAATTAACACAGGCTCGTAGACGGAATTGCAGCAGATCTGATCATGGGAATCTCAAACGTCGTCTGTATATAGATTATTCAAGGTTCAGAAGGTTTCTGTGAATGAGTAACAAATTAGGATGATTGAAATTCCAATAACAATGGTGATCACCGTGGTAAAGACCCTTACAAAAAATCAATTTATATATGTTTACGTCGCCTATTTAACGCGATAACACATTTCATATTTTAAATATAACCATGTGCATATTTTATTTAAATATATATAATAGAAGCTTATATTGATATTTGAAAAATAATGCTGGCAGAACGAGGCGACTTATTTGGTAAACCAAAATCTAAATACAAATCAGAAAACTCAGCAAAGCGATGAGATGTGTTAATTTGTACTTGTACACCACCACCGGCAATTTCCTTTATTTTATTTACATTATAAAATACACGTGTTTTTCTTTTTAAGCTGTTAATGTTTTCATTTAAAACACCCAATGCAATGTCATTAAAAAAAGCTGCTTCTATAATTCAGTGCAAGTTTAATTTAGCACCATTCCTCCCCAACGAAAGAGCAGCATGTGCTTGGACACGTCTGTATGCCTTTATAAACGTGAATACATTACACCTATAAGAGCAAGCACCAGTTCACTTCATTGCGTTTATGGAAAATGGGCAGATATGTGCCGTACACAACGTAGCACTAATATTATCCCGTCTTGGCTTCACCACGATGGGAAAGGTTGGTGTGCAGCCGATTCAAGGTTTGGATGTTGTCACCTCCATGTCCTGATTTGGCTGCGTGTTCTCTTTGCGTTTGTTGAGCGAATCGTCGACGTAAAACGAAGTGTCCCATTTCGGGATTGTGGTCCGATTAAGAACCAATCTTTTTTTTATTTTTACATTGTGAATGGTCGCACCGCCTAGTGGCTGCAGGGGTCATGTTGGACGCTTTGCATACACCATATACAAATTGAAAAACAGACTCATGCACGTGATTGAACGTGTTACCATGAGCTTAGGTATCAATGACATTAATCGAAATTTTATCAATGACATTAATCGATGAATAAATGGATCGTTCCACCCCACTTCGCACAGAGGAAAAGAAGAGATGGGTGCCGAGAGAGAGGGTAAGAAGAACAACAATTTACAATCGCGTAAAATGCGGTGTCCTCAACACAGAAGAAAACTTAAGAAAGTGGGGAGACTGGAATAGAGATGCATTACCATCTGCCCGTTCCAAGAGAGAGCACAATTTACTGACGTAGGCATACATGCACTGGGCCTCGATCTCACAAGCGTGAAAGGGTTCAACCCCAGAGAGTTGAGCGAAACGTTAATGGGTCTGTGATGCCGTACGTCTCTCTGTCCATAAAGCATCGTCGAAACGCATAAGACACAGCACAAACTAATTTCGATGAAGAGATCGCTTGTCTAGCCGAATCACTTGTGGGACGTTATTTGCATCATAGCGAGACTCAAGCCACGAAGTAATGAGACGAGGCGAGGCATTGACACATTACAAGTCGTTGCCTTTGTGGTCAAAAGTTACCGTTGTCAAGAACACACTTTAAGTACACAATTGTTATTCGTTATATATATATAACTATTATATTCAGCAACCACGAAAATATATTCAGCAACCATACTCTACAACATATTTCCATCTGAGCTTGTTGTAAAGTATTTGGACTCAAACAGGAAATGCAGCAACAGATGTTGACTCACTTTCCCACACGGTCAATGATGAAGGTTCATTCAAGTGTTTAAGCAGCAATAACTTCCTATTTGAACAGGAATTTTGATGATTAAAAAAAAACAATCATAACCAGCGTTTCCCCATTGTCATATTAGCAGAGTTTAACAGAGTGAATTTGTAAACCGGAGTTTACATTTGATTTTTTTTATATATATAAAAAACGAACGTTGACAATGCCTCAGGCAAACAGACTATGAGGTGTACTGTTAAGAGGTAGTTGCTACTCGGATTTGGCTGCTTGGCTGCTTGGAGGTGACAAGTGTTTGACGCCAACACGTCCGCTTTGAGCACCAGTAAATAACGAGCCGTTGGTAACTTATCACCATCGCACCCTGCAGAGTCACAATAAAAAAAAATTCCGTTTACACAAAACTCATTGTCGCAGCTCTTAGAATAACAAACTCAAGTGTGCTCTTATTCTTCCTGATGATGACGACAGCAGCAGCAGCAACAACAACAAGAACAACAACAACAACAATCACAAGTCCTCCTCTGAACCCAGAGCGGATCTCGGCACGTAGAACCGAACAAAAATCTGAACGCTTGACCCTCCGCCGACTATTGGGGTGCGAGGGCCACGAAGGCACCGGCGTTGTGAGTGGAGTCGGGTCGGTGAAGTTCGGTGTGGGGGGGGGGGGGGTGGATGGTGGGGGGGGTGGGGGGGGAAGGTCGCCCAATGGTGGCCGCCCCCGGCGCTTGTTAGCTGCCCGACGGCCGAGCGGCGGGGAAGAGCAAGGGCTGTCCGGGCGGGGCCGAGGCAAGCAGCGCGGCCGCGTAGAAGTCCCTGCAGGTCTCGCAGCACCGCTGGTACCAGCGCAGGTCGCGGCACAGCTGGCGCTCCCGCACCAGGCGGCAGTACACGGACCACTGGTCCCCCAGGCACTTGTACGTCAGCGCAACTGGCGGGTGTGCGGGTAAGAGAGAACCCCGGTGGGGAGATGTTAACTCCCCCGCTTGGTATGCAAGGAGGTCGCAGGTTCGATCCAAACCCTGACGCCTGCTGTGTATTTGGGGTTTGCGCGGAGTTTTCTCCGGGTCCTCCCGTTTTCCCATCCAAGTTTAGTATCAACGCGCGTTTAATGTATTTAGGCTGATTTCAGTTTCTACGTGATCGGGCCACATTGTTAAGCTATTCACTGTAGCCACGTTGCTTCTGAGAATTAGCTCTTGTAGCTCAGTCGGTCTTACCTGGGAAAATAAAAATAGTTTAGTTTGAAGAGTTTTTTTTTTGTTTAAAATTGTCTAGAAGAAAATTATTTAACGACGAGCAACATCGTGTCAAAAATGGAACAACAACTAAATAGTGTGCGAAGAAGCTTGGAGAGTTGCGTGCTTGTAATTTTATTGAGAGACAGAAAAAGGAACAGGTGGATGATGGTTAAGAATTGAGACGAGCCTCGGGATGGCACGAATCCGAGAAGACTTCTACCAAGCAAATGGAGCAATGTAAAGAGTTGTGGTGCAGTTGCTTGGTGGATTACTACATCACGGGATCGTGAGAGACGTTAACGACTTGTGGAGGCCTTCGGTCAGCAGCAGACTGATGATGATAATGAAACGCACTGTATACTGAACTTTGACTTAAAGGACAGTGTTCAGTTGTCTCCTTGCTCTAACAAGAGCGGGGTGGTACTCTCCATTCATGATCCAGGGGTGGAAATTCCATGTTGATATGACAGGGGCCAAGTCTCTCCATAGGAAGAACCACTGTTGACATCTCCCAGTGGTTGACCCACCAAGTGGCATTATATATACTCAAGTTTATACAATTTTAATGCACGCATTCATCTCTCTTTGCATCTGCATGCAAGCCCGACGCACAGGAATGACCAAATACAGACAAACGTGGCCTCGTTAGAGCCAAAAACACCGCGGGCTTCCTTACATTTGAATACTCAGCAGCTGCCTCGGGCAGGAAACAAGATGGGATAGTTAATGGGTTGCACAGATTCCATCGAGAGCCGTTTTCTCATTGCCAAAAGCACGGATGTAAAGACTGCCTCACTGAAGGTTTTGGTCTTTCTTAGGGGCAGCAAAAAAAATCACTTAAGTCCCGTGTTTAAAGTGTTTCTCAAAAGAAACTGGTACGTAAGTAAAAAAAAAAATGCTATGTAAAATGTTTGAGCGCATTTGATTGACTTTACTACGTATACTTCACGTCTCCCGAGATGTATGGCCAGCGTGTAAGAGTACGCCAAAAATACTCCATACAAGGACTCTCTAGCATTCCCTTGAAGTGCAGGCCCTTCCGCCAGATGGTTGCGTAAGCAAGTAATTGCTGAGTGGCGCCTTTTATATGTTCCTGACTTCATAACGGCATTCGAGTGCAATTAAAACATATACAGTATTAAACACGGTGCTCACATTACCAATCTCTCGGCTTTCCGCATTGAATTTTGAGTGGTGTCACGTACAGGTTTTAATTCTTTACTTTCCCTCCTCTACAAACTCTGTGCTCCTGGGTTGCTTTCAGGATTATATTCCTAAGAATCTTTATTTAGACCGGAGTCCGATGAGCATTGGAGCTCTTTCTCACAGATGTCCAGCAGGGGCGGTTAGGAATGCTACACTGACAAACAATACAAGAACACAATAGGAGTGTAAAGTATCAGAGAGGTAAGCAAGTCACTGAAAATAAATACTTTCAACATTAAGCGCAAAACACGTCCGCCGTCGCAGCGGGAGCCTCAACCACGGTTGGCTACGCACGGGGCCTCGCCTCCCCGCGCCTCCGATCAGCCCCGGGTCGGCTACGTACGGTGGCGAAAGAAGTTCAACACACGTGCGTACCGAGGCGCGGGGAGGTGATGGTGTTGGCGTCGAAGGTCCTGTCGCACTCGCCGACGCCGCACTCCCGGTACGTGACGGGCTTGCCGTCGGCCTCGCAGCCGCTGCCGTGGCGGCCCGACACACGGTGCATGCAGTGCACCACGCGCGACTGCAGCCCCCGGCCGCAGCTCGTCGAGCACTAGCACGACGCGCCGACGTCGTGCGGAGGGGTGGAGAAACGACACCACGAGGACGACGAGTCGGTGAGTTCGCCGAGCGTCTCCCCGAGAAGGACCGCGCGTCTCGAGCGCGCGCGATGCACGGGGCCGCTTGAACGAGCGTAGGGTGTGCGTGTGATTTTTTTGTTTGTTAGTGAAGCTTGTACATTTCCTATGAACTCCTCCGATTTGGTCACTGGATGGCAGATGTGTAATGCAATAGATGGGGACACCCTTACACAACCGCAAATCAGAAAAGCAGCGAGATGGCTTTTTGTTTTCGTCCGTTTGGGGGTGTAAAGAAACGTTACGTTCATTGAACAACTTGTGCTATATTACTGAGACTATTGTATCCATATTTGGAAACATTTACTCGTTAGTGGAATGTGTAATCACGTGTATCAAACATCCGGCTGCAGGACTATGATACGGAGAGCGGGTGGTAGTATAGCAAGCAGGCTGCTCATCTTGGATGTGAAATGTTTCTCGAGTTCCTCGATTTCTAAAATAATTCGGTTAAGCCTGATATTCCCCCACATAGTGCGTTCTGCTCCGCATGGGTCAAGTTACTCAATTTCCACATCGCTCCGTGGTGCAGTGGTTAAAGCGCGCAGAGCCTATGAACTCGATCAACTCACCACTGGCGAGTGACATCTGAACCACTTCTAGGTGACAATACACCAACCCACATTGACCAGCACGGTGAAGTATGGTCAAACTACCCCAACGACTGACAAAGTATGGGGAGAGCAGGCGCCCTGTGGTTGGCACGGGTCCTGGTGTGACAATTGAAATGGGTCCCTCTGTAAATTTTACTACCCTCTTCATAGCCCAGAGTCTGGGCCCCTACAACCCGTGGAACCCTGTGTATACATCATCATTATTCTTATTCACACCATTAAGGTGTTTGTAAGCAGCAGGCCCTGTGTGGATACTCCTTACCACGCCCCACTATCTGCATATGACAATGGTGGTGGTGGTGCTCCAGGTCAGGTGGCTGAAACGCAGCAAGTCGGCTCAGTAGAGGGGGCACAGGCGGTGCATCTGCCAGTCATCTCAGTCAGTCAACTCATGGCACCTGACCTTCTGTCAGCGGGCGTTCCGACACTTCACGTGGCCTTAAAGTGCACATAGCCTGGCACAAGCGCCGTGGAGATGTCACCGCCACATTGTGGCGAATGGCGGTTGTTGTTGTTGTTGCTGTGGGTCGGACTCAGCCTTAATCGAGTGCCTGGCGCGGTGTGTAAACATCACCACTGGGGAGACAAAGCCGGCCTGGCGTGGTGCCGGCCAACCAACCCCCTTTCATGTGCCGTGCCCCATGCTATTGCACGAGGGGATTTTGTTGTTGTTGTTGTTGTTGTTGTCTGTCAGTGCCGTGGCACACCTTTGACCAGTCGCCGGTCTTCCACTCGTAGCACTGGGAGTAGTCCTCGCAGCCGTCCTGTTCGCGGGGGCGGCTGGTGGCGAGGCAGCGCCCGTGCGGGCTCGTGCACTGCGCGGTCCGCACGCGCGTGCCCTTCCCGCAACGCGACGAGCACTGCGTGACAAGAAAGAGCCCCGACCACGAATCACCGCGCGCTCAGCGCTCGTGTGTATGGGCGCCACGGTGGCGAGATGTTAACTCTCCGAGCCTCGTAGGAAGGAGGTCGTGAGTTCTATCCCGACACTGACGATGCCTGCACATTTTGGAATTTTGTATGTTCTCCCCGTGGTCGTGTGAATTTCCCCCCGGGTCCTCCGGTTTATCCCTCGACACTTAGAAACATGCATTTAAATAATATGTTGGCTGCTATAAATTGCCACATTATAAGCCACTTCGTTGGGCTATCATTTGTGGCCAGGTCACTTCTGAAAAGGAGCTATATAGCTCAGTGAGAGTTACCTGGTAAAAAAATTGTAATTTAGTTTTATAGTTTTAGTTCGAATACGTTGCCAGCGACTCACAATTGCGAGACTTGCACGGTAGTTGGACCAATACGTCACGTGAGAAGAGGTAAACGTGCGGGCCCTGCAATTTCTTGCTCGTGCCACTGCTGGTGGAAAGGCCTCCATTTGAGGGAGCTACAAAGAGCCCCCTTTAGAAGGTATTCGGTCTACTCTTCAACTCTGGTACGATGTTTTGGAAGAGATGGGAATAACCGCACTTTAGTCCACCAAAAGCGACCTGTCAATCGGCCGTGGCGCACCAATATACTGCTGAGTGTGCAGAGAGGGGTGGGGGAGGGGCGTGATTTAATACACTCTGCCCATCACTTAAACTGCCCCACCAGGGTGACTCAATTCAACCGGTGACCTCTAAAAAGACCCTTCGTGCGAACCATTACACGGCAGCAGGATCCGTGATATGTTCGAGTAAATACATGTGTGTGGAGAGAGAGGTCGAGGTAGGCCAGACGACAGCTCACCTGGGACCAACTGGTGGCCTGCCACACCCCTAGACAGTCGTGCCCCTGGCAGCCCTGGGACGAGGGCGGCCGCGGCTTGGGACAGCGGCCGTCACGCGTGCGCACCGAGCCACCGCCGGGCAGGTGCAAGTGGCACGAGACGGAGCGCGTCTGGAGGCCCTTCCCGCAGGTGCGCGAGCAGGGCGACCACTCGGACACCTTCCACCTGACGGACCGTCGTCGGCAAAGCACCCGTCGTCAGTGCTCCTGCGTGGAAGTGCTCGAGCAGCGGTTCTCGACCTCCGTGCCCCACCAAATATTCAAACTAAATTCAAAACTAAACTATTTTTTAGTTGTCATTTCAAATGATTTCATTTCAAATGATTTGTCATTTCAAAACATTTCAAATGTTCTTGCCGTTGGTTTTCACACCTGATGATGACTGCTTGTGTTGCAGTCGAAACGTCGTGAGAATTTTATTGTTTTATATATATTTTATTATTTTATTGTCTCCCTTCAACGTGACTTTACCGAAAGAACCAAGAATATGAATCACTGCAGTCACGAAAGCTTTAAATCAAAATTTATTTTTTTAGTTCATCAGGCAAGGCCCCACTGAGATTCATGATGACCAGCATTATTGGGGTAGGCCTTTATCCAGCAGTGGATTGACCAACGCTGATGATGTTTAATGAATTGCAAATATTAGGGTGTAGTCTAGAGTTAACGGTTGTTGCTAGAATTCCAAGGAATGTTTTTCATGTGGCTGTAGTAGCGTTTACTTTTTCACGCTGTATCATTTTTCAGCATCACATTGACTTTCAGTCATTTGATCGCACCACTGCATATCCGTCTGCACTATGGCAGCATTCGCGCGAGTCTCACGCCTCGCGTGAAACTTTTATCCCTAATCCTTCTTGGTCTCGTGATCGAGGATCAGTCCCGCTTTCATATTTCCACTAAATCCTAAAGTATTGTAATGTAAACGAATCATATTTTTAAAAAAACACCGTTGGTTTTCCCAATAAGATTTTGTTTCGATTAGTTTTCCTTTCACCAGATTTTAACCGGAATAATAAGATGAATCGCCAACATGCGTGTGTGTGTAAACTTATTCTGTCCAGGGAAACAGAGAACAGAGAGGTGCTGCAGATGAGAGTAACATTACACTCCGTCTCGTGTAAGCTTCGATTGCCAAACTATCTGTCTACTTTACAACTGGATGAGCCTCCATGGGTAGCATTTGGAATACTAACACCCATGCAACGTTGGAATAAGAATTTGGTGGTGGGGCGGAAGGGGGGCATGGGGGAGATTAAATTACATTTCACATTGGACAATGTGTATTGAATATTTTGCTCGAGTAAAGTATTTATAACACACACACGGGCATGCACTAACTCACAAATACCCGCCGTACGTCCGTATTGTTTTTACGTTGTGCTGGGATTACACGCACATTGAACGCTATGAGTGGCTTTTTATGCTAAGCTTAACCCAAAGTTGTATTAGATCCAACTTCTGATGGCATTACGCAAACTTTGGCAGGCATTACCATTAAGAAAGTTTAACAAGATTTAGCACACATCTGCAGGTTTTATTTTCGCAGGCCATGCCAGGGTGGGTTTTGGGTTTAAAAAAAAAAATTCAAGCACCGATTTGCCTGGCACTCGACCGGCATTGATTACTTTGGGCAAAGAGGTGCTTGCCGACTCTCACTCGTGCCTTCTCACCCAGGCCCCGTAAATGCACCCCTCCTGTGCCTTCTCATTCACTCACCCCCCCCGCCCCCAAAACAAAATCAAGCACTCCTCTTCCAAAAGCATCCCGCGCCAAGGCAGCTTTCGTACGGCGCTGCCGCTGCGGTGATCGCCCAGAATTGCAGTCGCGCGTCGTCATTTTCTCAATTGGCTCCATTAAAGCCGCACCTGGCGAAGGGCGCGCTGAAAAACGCAGCGGCTAAATCAGTTTCCGTTTCATTTGCGAGGAAGGAGATGGTGGTGGGGGTGGTGGGAGGTGATTCGCTACTAGCCACACTGCGCACTACAGAGTTGCCACCTCTGTGCTACAAAAAACTGGGACGTAGCGTGAGACCACGAAAATTTCACAATTACTTACAATAGCGGAAGAGTGAAAAACTTCTTCTCCTACTCTTTGGCCTTCTCCCTGGTCACCGACACCTGGGCTGCCTGATCCATTACGTCTCTAAGTGAACCGCCCTCTTGCATCCTCCACGCGTGTGTGTCCCACTCGTCATCACAAGCCTCCTTTTCAGACAAACAACTAGTCTCGACAGTCAAGCCACCTTTCTTCAAACGTCAAGCTACCAGCGCAGCCACTGTGGGAGAGACTGCAACCAACTCGTCATTCTTAACAGCCGCAGCCGCACGCGCACGGCGCGATGTCTGTACGGTGAACTTCTTTCGCACCGCGCGCAGCCGTCCGTGCTCATCGGAGGTGTTTCAGAGAAATTATTGTTTTTACCGTCATCTTTTGACGCGAGGGGCCAACATCTACACAAACCTTGAGCGTTGCCCTCCATCACGCGCATCCCAGTCGCTTACCCCCTGTCCTTCCATGCAAATCCGCAGCATCCTCCGTAGAGTAGACCTGACCGCTTTATACGTGTGCGACGGTGCGACAGCGTCCACTGGCCGCCACTGGCCGCCACTGGCCGCACCTGTTTGGGCAGGGGTGACTGTTGCAGTGGCGGTTCTGCAGCGGGGGCCGGCTCACGTTCCGGCAGTCCTCGTCCGGCACGCAGCTCTGGGACCTGTTGACGATCTTGGTGCAGCCCAAAATGCTCCGCACCTCGCCTGTCAATCACACGCGCAACCAACCGGTTGGCACGGTTGGCGGCGTAGGGTGGCGAAAGAAGCTCAACGTACGTTACATTTGCGGAGTGTTGGGATTAGACTCTTATTTTCAGTGGTTTTATTTTATTTGCAACATTTTAGTGCCACCCCCGTTAAATGGTAATTGAAAAGGACTTGCACACCGCAGCTGGCACGCACTGCTGAAATGCTACTCTTATTACCAAGACTTTGACACTTACATCACATAGTTTCCGCTAAACTTCACAATATCCATGCGAGAAGTGCGCTACGCCATTGTCGGCATGTTGCAAAATTAACCAGGGTGGTCCTTCATTCGAATCGGACCACTGTCGACATCAGTCTTTATCCAATTTTGAAACGTCTCTCAATACTGGAAAAGGACCACACTGTGTCAGAGACGAAGCCACAAATAATCACAGACCAACGCAGCCCGCTAGCGTCAAGGTGGGGATAGAAGGGGGTGACCTCTCCATCGCCCACCCCACTCCCCGCTGAAAGCTCAGCCCCCACCCCCACTTCCCATCTCTAAATTCTTATAAATAAGTAACAAAAATATTGGTGCAATATTTAACACCGGTAGCAATGAGGTCCAGTGGCAACTGAGCATCGCAGCCTTTTCCTCAGGTGCACAGTGGGCGGGAGCTGGAACGGAATAATTAACGGCACAACACCATGCAGAGTCTCGTTCCGTTTAGCGTTTCACATTTGTTTGAAGTTTGTTTACCCCCTGAGTTTTGTGTATGCCCCCCCCCGCCCCCCCCGTTGAAGCACACTACGGGGGGTTGGTGCAACCCGCTGCGGTTATTCTTCGAGTGGTAAGCTCGGCGAGGCTTGAAGAAAATAAAATAATATATAATGCTTAACGAGATGCCCATATTTGCACGAGCTTGTGTCTCGAGGCTTTACAAGACAGGCCTTGCATAACGTACATCCTCCCAAAGGGCGGGCAGCGTTGTAGGAAATGAACAAAGCATTGCAGATTATTTATACGCCAGCTTCATGTCCGCAAGGATTGTCCATTGGTCACTATACGTTGATATTTTTACTTCATAACATTGCTTTACCGAGTAACGTTTCCGCAAAAAATTTCATGAGAATTAATAAAATGGTACAAAAGCGGTTTTCTTCTTTTTGTAGAATCGCAGCAGGTTCCTGTAAATTATATTTCACAGCTTTCTATGTTAACTCTCCTTGACAAACATTTCCCCCACAATTACCTGTGCAAATATGAAGTGGAATGCATTGACGTGGACTGTATATCAATATCACTTGCCGTTGTAACTTGCTGACCCGCCCCTACTGGACATCTGTAAAAAAAGAGCTTCATGCTCATCGGATTCCTCCAGTCTAAATAAAGATAAAAGCTTCTGAATATGACGCACGATTCCAAGCTAAGCCAAGCATACGTGTCAACCGCGAAGGCAAGACTTTGCTGCATTCAGTTAAATCAAGCGAGGCTGCCGAGTAGCATGCGCTTGTGCGTGCACGTGTACATGTACAATTAATATGTGGGAATGTGTGCGAATGGACAGTATAGCAAGGTGTATATGCAGAGGTATGTTTGTGTAAAGTGCCATCACCAGGTCGTATCCACTCGACCTCTGACCTGTCTATATACATGTTATGAAGAAGGTCCATCGCCCGCAACGTCGCCTCATATATATATTTTTTTCCCTTGTAGGGCGGTGTTTTATTGACGAATGTGTAGTTTATTTGTATTGTTGTTATTTGTGCTTGTGCACCACTGCCAATGCAATATCACCAAATAATGGATGTATACGTGCGCATATATGAGTGGGTGAATATGCGAGTGTCTGTGTCACAAGCAGCTGGCACAGAGCTCACGGCACAGTACAGCATTAGTAGCTGTGCACACGACAACCGAGGATCTGACCCCAGTGGCGGTGCTCGTCCGTCATTGGGGGCCCTAAGCTGAAATAATTTTTGCAACCCCCCCGCCCCACCCCCCCCCCCCTTTTCAGTCAATAAAATCCGAGTGAGAATACAGAAGAGAATCCAGACAATAGATGGAGGCGTAGTGAGATGAGATCAACTAGAGATGATCACATTTAAGGGGCTTTTTTTTACGTTCATGAGCTTGTTACGTGCATTACGATTTGAATTTGAACTGTTATTTCAGGGCACCATTATTTCTCGTGAATCAGGGGCCCCGTAAGCTCATTGGGTCTCTAAGCCTTTGCTTGGTTTGGTTGTGCCGAGTAAACCCACCACCGTGTGACCCAACCGCAATGTCCTCCCCCCACCCCCCCCGCCACCACAGGCGGTCTACGGGTTCCAAACCAAGGATGCTTTCCAAGGACAGGGTCGGCGACGCGCAGTGAGTTGTTGTGCCCGCACCTCCTCCGCACTGCACGCTGCAGTTCTCCCAGCCGACGTGCGTCCACATGTAGAGGGGCGTCCGCGGCCGCTCGCCGTGCCGCGCGCTCCTGTTCACCGGCACCGTGAACTCGTAGTGGATTCCAACGTTGTGGTCATGGAAGAGCAGCACCTTGAATGAAAAACGAACGGGGATTTAAAAGTCAAGATTCGGGTTGTGTGTATATCGGGTTGCTCAATGTGGAGGCATCGGTCAAATACGCTTTAGAAAGGGCGGCCTCCCCAGTGCTCCGTCTAGCGGAGGCCAGCAGTGGCGTGAGCAACAATCGGAGGCCTGCACCTTTCCCTTGCTGCGGTAAATACATTCAGTATGCATTGCGTGAGTGTTTTAAAAAATTACAGCAAACCAAAAAGGGCATTTCTGTGTTATTCAGAGAGAGGAAACATTGAATGTGAATGCTAGCAGATTATATGTTGAAACCGGTCCTAGGTACCACCTCCTTGACCAATCCACACTGACCAGCGTGATAAAGAACGGTCACCAACACGGCAGTGGATTGACAAAAAATGTGAAATTATTCACAATGATCTCTAGTGGCCAAGAATTAAGACTATCTTTCAGAACTGGATTCATGCTACTCTCCTACATTTCTACATCTGCAAAAATATAGCCACAGAGAATATAGCATCCATTGAGACATCATTGTATCTTGTGCACTGGTACTGAAACTTCTCACGGAGACAACTTTTGGCATGATTTTGGCTGAACCCATCTGATGAGGTCTCACGGAAAGAAACAGATATTAAAAAAAAACATGAAATCCCACCTTTTTTTCTTTCTTTCAGAAAAAAAAGAATGTATTTAGAAAATTACATCTGTTTTTAGACCAAACATTAATTTGCCACTTCCTTCTGCCAATATGTCCTCCCACATGGCGGTACGTCATGGATTATTACTGCGGCGCTGGCACGAAGCCGGCTTGGCTTGGCCACCCCTCGAAACCCTTCGACGTCTGCTTTGCGAGATTGTCAGTGAACCACCGATGTTGGGGAGGGGAGCATTTAAGTGAGCACGATAATTCTCCTGGGATTGGATTTTATTTACCAAACCGCCCGGATAATTCGGGTGCAATCAAAATGTACGGCGACGTAATTAAAAAAAAATTTCCGTCGCCGAGACGAGCCTTGTGTTTTGTTGTTGTTGTTGCTCGATCTCTGATTATATTTGACCGTGATTAATGCAGTCATTACAGTGTCTAGTCTTTACCATGGGGCTTTTGGGCACGCAATGAATCTTCGGAACACGTGGAGAGTATTAACTGAGGACAGCCCCTGCAATGTATTGTGCGACGTGGATTTACTTTCACCTTATTGTTCGAATGAGTTCAGCCGGCGCTTGGCTGGTTCACCGTTCACTTGAGATAGCATTGAGGCAATCCTGCGGCCTTGCGGTGTGTAGCCATGCAACTCATAAACTTATTTTTTTTATAGATTCATGGCTTTCACGTAAATGTATTACATTGTCGCAGTTTTACCTTCTCACATTCGTAATGCATCAGCACAGAGCAATTTTCAGCTCAATAATAAAACGGGGGGCGGGGGGCATTGTGTTGCTTTCAAGGCCACGCTTTGCTTGCTGGGCTGGTTGCAGAAGAGGCGGAGCAATGCAATTCATGGAAACTCACGAGAGATAGGCCACAGGAGTTGAATGGCAGGAACCTGCGTAGGATTTCATCAATTGCCAGGTACAGTGAGAGGGCTTGGTTGTGATGGTGGCGGTGGTTGGTGGTGCCAGCTGATGAGGGGCCCCAAAGGGAAACAATAATTTTGGGAGCCTCCCTGTAACGTTTTTTTTTTTAATGCTCGTGAGTATACAGAAAATATATAGACAAGAGATATAGATGTAGTCATTAGATACGTGAGAAATATAGACAAGACAGAAATGCGGCGAGATGAGAGAAGAGAGATGCGGACAAAATAGAGATGAGGCAGATTAACTGCCTTCATGTTTTAAGTTCGATGAGAGACAAAAATATGCATACATTATAGCGATGAGATAGAGATGAGAGAGTGTGATCGTGTTTATACATTATTTATCGTGTTATGTTTATTCCGATTTGAATTTGAGGTGATATTTGATGAATCTGGGACCCCTTAGAGCCCATTTGGGGCCCTAAGTTTGTTCTGCTTGGTTTGCTTATGCCTAGTGCCGCCGCTGGCAGCAAGTAGGGGTTACGCTCAAGCTCTCGTACCATGACGTTGAGGGGCTGCTTCAAGGGGCCCTTGACGGTCATCTTTTCCCAGATGCCTCGGCGCACGTAGCGGACCGTGCTCCCTGCGACGCTGTAATCTCCGGGCCTCTCCACTTTCCACTCGCTGTTAATGGAGTTCTGGCTTGAGTCGTTCACAGCTGTCGTCAAGGCACAGTCATCATTCACAGTTAAGGGCCACGTTTAATAGCTTCTGCCGATCGCGTCCAAAGCATCGTGCATGTCTCTAAAAAGACGTTAACAATGCATGTTGGTACGTGTGTTATTATTATTATTATTATTCTCATTAGCCACATGTGGATACATACTTCGTCCATCCGATGATTTCCCCTTCAGGGCGGTCATCGTCGACTCAACATGACAGCCAAGAATATTAAAGTAAAACTTCTTGCTGCAGATGCCCGAGACTGCTTTTTACAGGTGTGACTCTTCACACAAGGCATGGTTGATACTCAGTGATGGAGTAAAGTATGGCTCTGAGGCTGGCTGGACATGTCTATAATTCCCTGATAAAGGTCTAAAGGTTTGGCACTGGCCAGACTTGGACCAGAACCGGTCAGGTTTGTGACGATGTCATTCCCGTGCACTATTTGCGGCCATCACTTCCGTTTCCAGAGCACTCGCAAGCATTAATGATTGAGTGTTGAAGTCACCGTTGAATACTTTTTTTTACGAAAAAATGTACCGTGTATTGCGTGGAGTGGTGGTGCAGTGGTTAGCGCAATGTGCTATGAACCCGCCAACCTGAGTTTTATTCCTGCCCATGGCTAACAAGAGCGGCGAGCGATATCGGAGCTAGGCTTGGGCCTCTGCTAAGGCGACTCACCCTCGAATACGTACCTAGTACAGTGTGTAAACATCGGCAGTGGAGAGACAAAGGTGCTCATGTGTGTGATGCTGGCCACCACTCCCCCGTGAGCAGTGCTGCCCTTAACAGGTGCTTGCCAACAATAATGGAACAACCATCAATAAGGCCCCATGTTTGTCATGTTAGAAGTGTTTTCTTTCTAGGAAGCGTGCAGAGTTGAAGACATCTGGCACGTTATCAAATGCTGGTAGACTTTTATAACTGAAACTATAATATTAACAAAGAATACTGGTAGGAAACACATTTCAATTCGAGTGATTAATAGGTGGGAAAATGTTATCGTTTGGAAATTTTCTTTAAATAATCATAACCTTGCTATCTAAAAATGCCCGTAAGTGCAGTAAAATTATGACCTTAAGAATTATGCTTTTATAGTTTGTAATCGTTTTATTTTTATTTTATTTCGCAGCACTTTGCAAGCATTAAAAATAAAATCCTCTCTGTGAAGGAAAGAAAATGGAAAATGAGTCAACAAATTGATGATACATTACTCGCCACATAGGAGATGAAGGCCAGCTGGAATAAACCTCACCAATAGTCTCATTGTCTTTTAGCCGTAGAGATTACAGGGAAAATGCTTTATGCAGTGCACACCAACAGCGTAAGCAAAGTTCGCCTTGCGGTTTTAAGGGGTCGCCATGGTGGTGCCATGTTAACTCCCTCGCCTGGTATGCAGGAGGTCAGGGGTTCAATCGCGACCCTGACGCCTGCTGCATATTTGGAGTTTGTGTGTTCTCCCCGTGGTCACGTGGATTTTTTTCCTTTGGGTCCTCTGGTTTTTCCCTCCACATTTAGAAACGTGCATTTTTATTTATATTAACTTAAAGCTTTCGTGACTGCAGGAATTCATACTCTTTGGATCTTTCGGAAAAGTCACGTAGATAGAAAAATAATGAAATAAAATAAAAAATCACATTATTATTTTTCTATCTACGTGACTTTACCAAAAGACCCAAAGAGTATTTATTTATATTATTTGGGTATTTTGGTAAAGTCACGAAGATAGGTTCAAAGAAAATAACAAAATAACAAAAAACATTTTCCTTGAACCTATCTACGTGACTTTACCGAAAGACCCAAAGAATATGAATTCCTGCAGTCACGAAAGCTTTAAGTCAAGATTTTAATTTTGATTATTTTCCTGTTCTAAATTTACACGTGATAAGCAACTTCATTGAGCTATCATTTGTGACCAAGTCGCTTCTAAAAAATAAGCCAATTGCTAAGTGGGGTTTACCTGGTAATAAGCAAATAGTTTAGTAGTATTTGTATATATTTTAAAGTGCTTTGCTTACCTTTCCTATACGTTGCACCATCGTGTTTTTGTCATGTTTGTTGTAACGATCTGACCTACCCCTACCGGACATCTGTGAAAAAGAGCTTCATAGGTCATCGGATTCCTTCAGTACAGATACATATTCTGATTCTGTTCTGGAAGTGCATTGTTTCATTAAATCATGCTTCTCGCATTACCCAGGTAGCTGTGCGCTGGCTTGTGTTCAACCACACGGATCCGGCGAGCACCGGCAGGAATCGTCAGCGCCTTCACGTAACCTGCCGGAGGACATCATCAGCAGCATCATCATCAGCATCTCTTGGCTAACCATCGAACAAAGACAGTCACCGCATCGCGTGCTTTCAGACGCACTTCTGCGGCCATCTGGAATGCTCTTCCTTTACGATTAGCTTGGTTGGCTATGTTTGGTTTGAAATAAGTTAATTATTACATGATGTCCTTTACCATCATTCAGTCAATTCACCATCTACATGTAAAGCTAAGATTGTTTTTTTAAACAAAACCCACTTAGGGTGAGTTTTAAATCGTGGGAAAAGTAATAGTCACCTCCAGTGCCAAGATAAGTTAATTCCACAGTTTGGAAGCCACCAGTTTGGAACATCCATAAACCTGGGCAATTATCTAGTCCAACACAGCAAGAGGGCTTCCCATTTGCTGAGTGCATGTTCATCTCTTGTGCGTGGCAATGTAAAACTTATGTTATATAAACACGGTAAACCTTGTAAGTCATTACCATCAGCTTAAGTTAATTATTGGTTTCAACGGTAACCAGTGAAGACATGAACATCAATCTTGCTGGTTACTGGCACCAAAAGCAGCCATCTGCTGTGTGTTGCGTTATACTGCAGGGACCTTTAAAGACATTTGCTTGCATGCAGCAGTCCTGTTTATTAAAAATAGTTATAATCATTTACAGCCCGATGTTAATCCACTGCTGGATGAAGGCCACCCCTTCCTGTATTGGTTGAGGGGCTTGTTTTACTCTACTTCACCAGTCCGGCTTGTTGAAAAGGTGGGATATCCCACTCTGCCCACACCCGGTTCAGATAGCATTCACTACTGCTCTTGGCACCGATGGAAATTGAGCTTAGACCACTGAGTCCAGAGTGTAGTGTTTGGAATCATACGCGACATGTCGTGTTATAATCTGGGATTATATCACGTAAAGAGGCAATTCCCCCCCCTCCCCCCCATGCAGCATAAACACTTCGTGTTGTCAACTGATGTTAGCCGTGGCCAGGAATCGAACTCAGGTTTCCTTGTGAAGAACACAGGAGCGCAGTGTTATCAGGCAGAGGTGAGAGCGAGCGTGCGTGCGGGAAGGAACTCACAAAAGTAACACTTGGTGGGGAGCTTGGCCTTGGACAGGCTGCAGATGGAAACTTTCTTGCAATGGCTGCTGGCTAGCGGCAAAACACACGCAGGGCGAGAGTTGATTTAAAAAGAACTGCGCGTGAGGCGTTGTTTCTCTGTGTGCCTATGTGTGTGTGTCTCTCTCTCTCTCTGTGTCTCTGTGTTTTCTCTCTCTGCTTATGTGTCTGTCTGTGTGTCTCCGTGTCTGTGTTTTGTCTCTCTCTCAAACTTAGCACTCTTTGGAAGAACGTAATCAAGCAGGTGGGCTGTTGACTGTTGTGTTAGCCGACTCTCTGTGTTGTATTGCATTGTATTTCTAAGTTTCCTAGGTTTGTTTTCTCTTTCAGCCGTACCTGATGACGGTTGCTTGTGTTGCAATCGAAACGTCGTGTGCTATTATTAAATTTATTTTTCTTTCTACGTGACTTTACCGAAAGAACCAAAGAGTAATTCCTGCAGTCACGAAAGCTCCAAAACAAGCTTGAGCCCTTAGTTTGTCATGTTTTAATTTATTTTCGGTATAAATCTCTCCCCAATTTAAATGACCCTCATGAATTTGCTACGACGTTTCATATTAACTTGCGTGTTATCATATATGGTCCGTCATCATACAGTTTCATCAACGATGGTTTATTTATAAATGATACTGCTGTCAATTGTAATGAAGCAGGTGAAGAAAATGCTTCAAATGGAAACATTTTTTTGCTCTAAATATTCTGAAGTGATGCTCTTGATGAATGTGATGAGGATGATGATAATTGACTATGAAAACTGAAGACATTGATCATTCTGTGTACTGTATTCTTCGGAAAGACAGCATAAAACTTGCTCCCTGTGTCAATGAAGTCAGAAAAAGACAGATTTCCAGGATAGCTTAAACAGACTGTTGGGGCAAATACCAGGTACTCATTTGAGGCTGAATCGATCTAGGGGAGGCCCAGGACCGGTTCAGACGATCGTCGCTGGTGTTGGCCATGAGCGGTAATTGATCTCGGGTCCCAGTGTTCATATCGCAGGCGTGTTAACTACTGCGCTACCAATCCCCATATTACACTACTGTATTAAAAAACTGGTCACTCACACACCAACGTTTTGCTTTAAATTAGAGACAATGAGAGTGCGTCTTATATTGCAGAGAATATGGTATTGCAAATTGTGTGTATTTTTTGTATCCAATTTTTTTTGTTAATCGTCATTAAAGAACCCAGAACAACAATGGGAATTTCAAAAGCAGGGAGGAACATCCAAAAACGTAAACAAGCCAAGCGTAATGCGCCCTCAAAATTAGGGAAAGAACGAGGGCATCCGGGCTCGCTGCCCTACCGCGGTAGGGGTAACGACCGTGAGCAGTGTAGTTAACATGTTGCCACGCTGGCGAGATGATAACTACCTTGCTTGGTATACAGGAGGTCATGGGTTCAATCCCGACCCTAAAGCCTGTATATTTGGAGTTTGCGTGTTCTCACCGTGGTCGCGTGGATTTTTCTCCGGGTCCTCCGGTTTTTCCCCCTCCACATTTATAATCAACATCACGCGTATTAGGCTGCTACAAATTTTCACGTCAAAAGCCACTTCGTTGAGCTGTCATTTGTGGCCAGGTCGCTTCTGAAAAAGAGCCATATATCTTGGTGGGCCTTACCTGGTAGAAACAAGTTTAGTTTTAGTTTAATATAAGTTGGGGTAGGGGCGGTGGAGGAAGAATATGGTGAAAAAAGGGAGCAGGGGGGTATTTCAATAGTTAATGGGGGGGTTGTGAATGAATATAAACGACATGGGAGTTCCTCCACCACGGACAAGCATCTCCAAGCACAAGCACCTGTGCCCCGCGTGTGGTTGAAGTCCCCCTTGACCACCTTGCAGGACTTCCCGTCGCCATCGCACATGCCGCAGCGATCCTCCCTGACCGGCGATCCCACGATGCCATCGCATCCCACCTTCTGCTCGAGAGGATGGAGAACCAACATAACACACGGTGAGCAACAATGAACTCGTTGGGAGAGCGGGTGGGGTGGTGGGTGGGGGTAACATCACCGTTGCTGAACAAGTGCTGTTTATTTTCAAGGGTCTATCTTTCAGCATGCGACTGCATATAGCCCCGATGTTATTTGGAGCGGCGGTTTTACTCTGGATTTATAAATACGTGAAAGTATTCCCTCGAGCTTCACGAAGTGCCTGCAACCGAGAGTTGTGGATGAACAAATATTGAGAGATGAACAAATTTAGAGAGTAAAAGACAGGCAAAAATGTGCTGTTCCTCGTAAGTGATGGTGTAATGTTGCCTCGTGAGATTATGCTGGCTGGCTGAGTAAGCCAACTCTGCAGGGAGGATGCAGAGAGGCCATTCCCCTGTACGGATTGAATCCTGCATCTGGAGCTCGCTAACTCAATTTTAAGCGCTCAGCAATATTCCAAGCATTGAAACAAGAGCTTTGAGGCATCAGCCCCTTCGATCTTCCATAGTTGTATACCCGAGTAAATCTACAGCTTCTACAACTTTTTTTGCCCGGCCTATCTGCCCTTTCGCTGTAACCAATAGGAATAGTTTGCTCACATATCTATTTACTGATTCACATTTTCCACGGCAGTAGAGAATGCCAAGGTGGTGCACCAGGAGGAGGAGATGTTTCCAGGCCACTGCCGCACAGCGAGCAACGATGGTCCATTTACATGGCAGACTTTGATGTGGTCGCGTGAAAGCAAAACGAATACCACGCATACACTCACAAATATAAATAAAATCTAAGTGAAATAGAAAGCTGATAATAGCAATATCAGTGACGGCTCTCGAAATTCCAATGAAATTAATAACTATGATAAAAGCAAATACAGTGTACCTCGGAGATCGAACGCCCCAGAACTCGAACAATTCGGTGATCGAACAACATTTTCGACCATTTTTTGCCCCGGACATCGAACAAAAATTCGGAGGTCGAACAACTGGAAAAACCTGTTCGGGCAGAGACGCGTAACCAGGGCGATCGAGACAAAGGCGAATGACCCAGTTTACGCGTGGCTCTCGTCCTTTATCACTGTGAAGTTCCTGCCCCCCAATACGACTCCTCTCATCCAGCACATGGACCAACAGGTAATTTCCTACTTTAAAAAAAAACTCTACACGAAAGCCCTTTTTCAAAGGTGGCAAAATGGGCTGAGTTACACAATTTTGTAGATAAATATCATCCAGATAAGGCAGTAGCCAGCAGAGCAGGCGATTTTTTAATAATAATGCATGAGTAATTTCAGAAACATCTTAAAACGGAGGCAGAAACAATCCTCTCTTGATCAGTTTTTAGTAAAAAGGCCCTCAAGTGAATCACAGTTAGTGCTAGAAAAAAGGCAAAGAAAAGAAAGAACCCCAGATGGGCAGTTACCCAGCGTTTTTATGGAGGGGGACTCCCCTTCCAAGCAACACTGACACCTCCTCCTCCCCTCCCCACCACCTTCCACTAAAGCCATCCACTCTCCTTACTACAGGTAAAGTGAAGTTCAATGTTCATTTATTCTTGGTTCTTTCGGTAAAGTCACGTAGAAGGGAAACAATAAATAATAAAAAAAATATATTGTTTCCCTTCTATGTGACTTTACCGAAAGAACCAAGAATAAGAATCCCTGCAGTCACGAAAGCTTTAAATAAAAATTCATTTATTCTATTCATTATAACTGTGTGTTTTTTGTTTTTGTATGCTTTTATGTACTGTACTGTATGTTAATATTGTAAATTTTGTGTAAAAATGGCCCATAATAGGAGCATCCTTGGGTGGGGAACCAATTGATGCTATTTCCATTCATTCTTATGGGGAAAATTGATTCGGTGTTCAAACAATTCGGTGTTCGAACACGGTTTTGGAACGAATTAAGTTCGATCTCCGAGGTACCACTGTACTAATAATTGCAGAGTAATGCTATCAGACAAAAGAATAGATTTTTCAATCTTAAGTTGCAGGAAAAGCCGTAAACAGGTGAGTTGTTAGATGTGAATTAAAATGTGATTCGGAATTCCTAACGGACCGAGGAAGGGGATTCCAAATTCGCAGAGCCTGGCTGGAGAAGGCTCTCGGCCTCCCATAGGCCATCACCACAAGCTTGACTTTGGAATGATGAGTAGACCAGGATCAGCTGATCTAAGTTTTTTCACAGTGATATGTAAAACTTGACGGTCGTCACCTTTCCCATCCGCAAGCAGGCGCGGACAGCTGGACTTAACATCCCTTAAAAAAGAAAATCGTGCGCATGAACAGATCTGGGAATTTTCTATAAACGTACAGACCCGGTGACTTGAGAGGTGAGAGTGGATAAAGAGGCCATAGGGCAATCATGCAGGACGCTGGGGCGAATATTTACAGTGGAGGAGCTTGCAACCGGCTGCCTCCGCGTTTAATGGAAGTCACAGATCCACGCGGCCGTGAGGTTCACAGGGCGTCATACATCACCTGGAAGCAATTTGGTGTGTTTTCAAGGTGAAATTGTCATCATTTTCATCACAGCCACTTAGCCATTGCCTTGCTTGTGCAGAGGCACGATGGATTTTGCCTCCTAATGGTTTAAATGTGGCGGGCGAACCGTGCCTCTTCAATGCTGCAACTGCATTCTACATGTCACCCGCGATCTGGTATGAAGCAAATGACTGCCCTCCCATGGAATATCCAGTGTCAATCCGCAGAACATGTTGCACGTGTCCATGCTGGCAATGCAAAATGCTCAGATTTATGTTGAATTTGAGCTGCCAAATTATCGCAGACAATAATTAATATGAACGCGGGTGATTAAACATTTGTAAATGCGGCAATTTATATCTCGGTTTATTTTTGTAGTTTGCATCCTGAAAGTTAATTAATGTAATTAATACTTTGAGTTGTGCAGGCTGCCTCATTTGGAACCAAAGTTGCTTTTAATCTATCGCAATACTTTGCTTAAGGCGTTTGGTTTTTATTATCTGAGGATAGAGGAGCGGATATGAGTAGTGGGGTCTGTGTTGTATGGAAGAATGAAAGAGGGGTGAAAAGGAAGTGTAGGATGGGAATGTCAGTGGGGATTCTGGGAAGGGGTGGGTGACAGGGGTGAATCTTTAGGGAAAAAAAATAATGAGGAACAGATTCCTCACAGTTGAACAAATTTATATACAAAGACAAAGTTCCCCGTATCGCTGTACCACCTGAACAGACTGTTGGGGCAAGTGCTGTTAGTGAGCACCTATGAAGGTCCGTACAGGTGGGTGGCAAATACCATGCCCGGCCGCCTTTGTCTCCCCAGTGGTGATGTTTACACGCCACACCAGGTACTCAATTGAGGTGGAGTCGACCTAGGAGAGGCCTATGACCGGTTCAGATAATATAATCGTCGCTGGTATTGGCCTTGAGCGGGATTCGAACTGATGTTGTTGGGTTTGTAGCATAGCGCACTAACCGCTGCAATACCGCCCCCCACACCCCCCCCCCCCCACACACACACACGCTGTACGTTTGGTAAAGTGGTTAGTGGTGACCCAGGTTGGATTTTAGGGCCGTGGCTAACATCAGCAGAAAGTGATATCAGAACGCCATTCCTGCCCTCTCCCCACTTATCAAACCCGCACTGACCAGGGTGGTGAAATATGATTAAACAAACCCACGATCAACATCTTGTGGGGAGGCCTTAGTCTATTAGGGGAGTGAGAATGACTGGATTTATTGTATTTATAATTTGATGCTGTATATTTACCACCAACCCCCCCCCCCCCCAAAAATAATGCCACGCCACACAAAATAGTTGCATAATCCTTTCTCTTCGGCAAAAGCTGACAACTACAGCTGCTTAAAAATGTCATGCCGCTCATTGCAAGTGTACAGCCATATTTCTGGCCAACTGCTGATATGATTGTGACTATGGGAATAACGGGGCATTACCGCATTGCAAATGTACACTCGTAGCACATGGCTAGAAATACATGCCAGCCAATCTCTTTCCCTCAAGGGAAAATAAACATACGGCAAAGTAAACAAAGACAGAGATCCCCGTACAGGCTACACTTAGAATGTTGGGGCAAGTGCTCGAAGCGAGTGCTCAATGAGGCAGGCGCGGTGCACCTTTGCTTCCCCCACTGCTGAAGTGTACACAGCACACGGGGTACTCATATTAGGCCGAGTTGACCGAGGAGAGGCCCAGGTACAGGTATAGCTATCACATGCCATCGACGTAAGCATTGGGAATCGAGCTCACGTCTCCAGGTTTGAGGTGCTCACAGTACTACCTACACTAACCACTGCACCGCTGGTTCTCATTAAATACACGCTATATAGGATGTGAGCTACACTTGGGCGGGAACCCTCCAATTCACCTGTAATTCCGTTAATATATAGGCGCATGAAGAAAGAGTTGCCCTTAGGTGAACTGGAGAAACGCAAATGGCTGATGTGTGCACAAGAACACTGTGGAGGAGGCGGGCCCCAAATTAATTAGTAATAATAAATTGGGGTGTATCATAAATCATCTCAAATGAAGACAATTTTAAGATTAAAAAAAGCTCATAATTTTAACAAGAGTATTGGAAACAAAAAATGGTCATTGGATGCTACGTTACTTATTTCACACAATCGTTACATGCTTCAGTTGTGTAGCTTGTCCGGCATACTATGCTTATTAAGCCAGGTGGCGCACCCAAAAAATATTTCTGCTTAGAGCCCTCAAAATAGGCTGCATACACCACTGAATTAGATGCACCACGTGAGCAACTGGAATAACCTGGCACCGCTCTTAGCAGCTCCAGGTGCATATTAACCATTTTCTTCCAGTGGACCTTAAAGTTCGTGTGATGGTATTTGAAAACGAGTAGGCCACGTGTGCCGGTGTCACAGTCCTTGTTTCTAAAACTGTCAATTGCTTATAAACTACTTGGTTGAAAATCACCACGTAGGAGCATCGCGCCTTCATGTAAAACTACTGCAGACAATACATTACTCCTCTATTACATGTGTAGTGACATCGCGGATGTCACTGTATGGTGCCGGCCCGGAAGGGTCGTGCTGTTCGATGTTCCGACATCGTGGACAGCACCGTGTGGGTGGCTGTGTGTGACACCAGCCCTAGCGTGGACAGCACCGTGTGGGTGGCTGTGTGTAACACCAGCCCTAGCGTGGACAGCACCATGTGGGTGGCTGTGTGTAGCACCAGCACTAGCGGGGACAGCACCGTGTGGGTGGCTGTGTGTAACACCAGCCCTAGCGGGGACGGCACCGTGTGGGTGGCTGTGTGTAACACCAGCCCTAGCGGGGACAGCACCGTGTGGGTGGCTGTGTGACACCAGCCCTAGAGGGGCTTGGCTAGCACTGGGGTGGGGGCTTCCCCGAGGGGGAGGGGGTGAGTGTCAGCCCAGGGGCAGGGTTGCCCCGGGCCATGGCACTTTGGTTGACCCTGTAAACACGTGATCCGGATTGTCCACACAGGGGGCCCCAGGTGGGGGCACTAGTGGGTGATCACTTGTCCGGAGAGAGGTTTTGAAAAGGATCAAGAGGGAACGAGAATGTTCAGGAAGGCGGGCGGAGCCGAGGGCGGAGCGGCCCCGATGGGAAAGGGATATAAGGCGGGTCCCTGGGTCGCTGCATTCTACAAGCGGGAAGCTCAACATCTACAAGCTGGGAGCTCAACATCTACAAGCGGGAAGCTCAACATCTACAAGCTGGCAGCTCAACATCTACAAGCTGGAAGCTTAACATCTACAAGTTGGAAGCTCAACATCTACAAGCTGGGAGCTCAACATCTACAAGCGGGAAGCTCAACATCTACAAGCTGGGAGCTCAACATCTACAAGCGGGAAGCTCAACATCTACAAGCAGGAAGCTCAACATCTACAAGCGGGAAGCTCAACATCTATAAGCTGGAAGCTCAACATCTACAAGCTGGGAGCTCTACGTCTACAAGCTGGAAGCTCAACGTCTACAAGCTGGGAGCTCAACATCTACAAGCTGGAAGCTCAACATCTACAAGCTGGGAGCTCAACATCTACAAGCTGGGAGCTCAACATCTACAAGCTGGAAGCTCTACAAGCTGGAAGCTCAACGTCTACAAGCTGGAAGCTCAACATTTACAAGCGGGAAGCTCAACATCTACAAGCTGGGAGCTCAACATCTACAAGCTGGAAGCTCAACATCTACAAGCTGGGAGCTCAACATCAACAAGCTGGGAGCTCAACACCTACAAGCTGGGAGCTCAACATCAATAAGCTGAGAGCTCAACATCTACAAACGGGAAGCTCAACACCTACAAGCGGGAAGCTCAACATCTACAAGCTGGGAGCTCAACATCTACAAGCTGGGAGCTCAACATCTACAAGCGGGAAGCTCAACATCAACAAGAGGGAAGATCTACGTCTCAAGCTGAAGATCTCCGTCCTACAAGACAATCACGTTGTCGGAGACCCGAGTGAGGAATCGACCCTTCGTAGCAGTAACTCGCTGTAGTCTGGTAAAGGAACAATATCTGCGACTCAGTTGGACCCACTACAAATGTCTAACACCTCTGCAACATAACAATGATGTGAAGGGAAGATGGCCAGGTGGTTCAAAGGTCAGGGCTCCGATCTAGCAATACCGAGGGCGTGGGATTGAATCCAGGCAGTCCCCTGTGATTAAACTAGCCTCTCAAGTATAGCAAGGCGATGGTCACCAATGAATGCACAAAATCCCCATCACATTACATTTGGTTCTGCACTTAATTTCAATAGTTTCCAGCTCGTGCAACAAACCTCCCTCTCATCTTAAAAAATGCAATGGGAAGTACTACCCTCAACTATGTGTGGGCCAGAGGTCACTTGAAGACATCTAAATGGTTACTCTATGGTATCTGCTTCCGTGGGCCATTTTCCAATACTAAGAGTCGAACAGCGAGATAATCTTTGGTTCTTTCGGTAAAGTCACGTAGGTATAAAATAAAATAAATCACGACGTTTCAGGCGCAACACAAGCATCCATCATCAGGTGGGACAACCACAGCAAGAAACAATTGCTGAAGTGGGTGAAAGGGCTGCCGTGACAATAGGCTACAGAGGTAAGAGAGGGGGGAGGAGCAAGGGGGGGAGAGATGGGGGAGGGGGTGTGGAGTAGGGGGAGGGGAGCGCTGCGAGAGCGTTTAGGGGACGAGCAGACAAAATTCCGGGGGGGGGGGGGGGAAGTGGGCGGGGCTGGGAGTGGGAGGCTGAATAAACTGGAGATGCGGATATGAAGGCAACAACCATAAAGCAGTTAAGGTTTTACCTGGTTAATAACATCCTTCCAATGATTGCTCAATTTGTATCCATCTTCTCGGTTGAAGTTATGTCTATGTTTATATATCTGGATGGCTTCATGAACAAACCTTTGATAGTAGCCCAAAGGTTTGCAGAGTACCTTGGTCTCGGAAAAACAATATCATGAAAGCCCACAGCGTTATAGCAATGGTCAGCCACGGCAGAGGTATTGGTTCTGCCGTGTTTCAGATCTGCCTTGTGTTCGCGAACACGGTCCGAGACATGTACCTACGTGACTTTACCGAAAGAACCAAAGAGTATGGATCCCTGCAGTCATGAAAACTTCAAATCGAGGTCTGCGAGAGATGCGGAAGGACACCGCATCTCATTAAGAAAATATTTTCGCAGCAATGTTTGTTGTCTCACCTGTGCTGTCACGAGGGAGTATGACAATCGGGATGAAATTTTGGAAAATGAACTCCCTTACAATAAAAAAAGCCTCAATTAAAAGCAAAAGTCCCGATGATTTGACTGGACGAGCACTCACCTGGCACCTGCGGCCGAGGCACACGTCACGCTCGTAGGGTCCACACGGCGTGCCGTCCTGCACGGACTCGGCCGCCAGCGTGGCGCCCTCCTTGCGCCCGGCCGTGCACAACAGGGCACACGGCCGCTCTGTGGGCCCGGGGGGGTGGGGGTGGGGGGTAACGGAGTCATTGGAGCAGAGAGGGTAAAACGCCGGTTACCAAAATTTTGGAAGCCAAATCACAACAACGACCCAGACCATTTTAAACGTATGTTACCCGGCGCAGTGGTTCCATTTTTGGACCCAGGGAGGACACTGTCAACCCTGTTGTTTACGTGACAAACCTTACCACTTGGCTCTATCAGGTGGTGGTGGAGTTAACGGCACATTTATATTTACGCGATCTAACAAAACAAAAAAACTTCATGAATAATATTGGTCGCAAAAGCCTACGTGTTAAACAGACTGTCAGCCCTCACAATCTGCCGTGTACCAGTGGCATAGTTTTCAAAATAAATGTTTTTCTATAAAAGTTCTGTAAAATGTTAATTGACAAGTCATGAAGGCGATGACCTTACTTTATGTATAATTGTACTTTTTATATAGTAAAGTAAAAAGAAACATGGTGTTTTGTATCAGAAATAGTTCTGTGGAGCACTTCCCATGGCCGAGTGATCCACATACTACACATTGGGAACCCACTGGTCTAAGGGAAGCTGCCGTGCTGTCATTGTTAACATGCTGCCAATTTTATTTCCCGGCATGGCAATTTAAACACTGGGTACATGTCTTACATCCTCCTGCCTTTGTCTACCCGGAAAAAAAAATTGTCATTCTGTAGTTCGTCGATCATGTGGTGGGTTAGAGTGTGGGTACATCCACCTCTTTCAAGACATCTTACCAACATGGAAGAGTAGGTAAATTGCCCTCAAGAGAGGGCTCTCTAGAGCTCCTTCTAGTGGAGGCCCTTTGACCAACTTCCACAACCAAGGAGCCCTACCAACTAATGATTATTGAGATTTAGCTTGTCACAGCCCTGGATTTAAAAAAAGGTTTATTTTTCAGGTGCCTGGCCTTTGTACCGCCACCTGCTGTGATACCGAGTTATTAATTTTAATATTTCACACTGCTAATATAGCCATCGATTTTTTAATATACATACCAAGCCATAAACGCTAAAGTCACATTTTGTTCCCTCCAGGAATCTTTTCATGTTTTGTTACTGCCACTGCCAAAATTTCAAGGCTGTTCGCATGATTGCAAACGAGCTTGCGTTGCAACCCAAGTGGCAAAACCTGGCATTTCACAGCACTTTGCTGTCCACAATGTGCACTGTTGTTAGGGTGCACAAAGCCCTGCAGGTGATAAATGAGCAATCATTTTGAGGGCAAAAGCTATGACCCAAACTAGTAACTGTGTAGACCCCCCACAAATGTAACGTTACACACTCTGCACATCCATTTATTCATTCATCTGTGTGTCCTCTTTAGAACTTTATTCCAATGCCAATTTTCTGTGGTGCCAGTTGTGGAAAAGACAATTTCATCGTTACAATTCGTCACGTTCAGCGGACCAATGCCCTCTGGCTGAGAAGATCTCGATGACATGACACCAACATGATTTTTCCCAGCAACCAGAGGAGCCCCCATCACATTCATATTACTGCACAAGCTTTCTGTCAGCATGTAAATCTGTGTAAAACTTTTGCCATGTCACATTGCCGGATCATGAGGGATGGTGGCAGCTTGCGGAAGCTTTCATCCAGCAGTGGATTAAACCACGGCTGCTGATTTTAATGATGGCGACTGAACACATTTACAGACAACCATTTTGCAACTCTATTTTGTCAAAGCATCAAAGCATTTGCCTTGCTGTCCTCAGGCTCAAATCTCTAGATCTAAGAGGTTTCTGGCTTCGGAGCTTGACACAGGCATTTACCGCAGTAAGCCTCAACTCCAGTAGACACAACGAATCCAAAGCCCCTTATTCTTATTCATATCAAGACCTCATATCTATGTATATAATCCTATGGTAAAGTGTACTTCAAATATCTCATATTGTAGAAGATAGTTCTGAGTAAAATTCTAATCCGTGGATCAGTCCTGCCGCGCGACCTTGTTTAAAGGGAAGGAGCATACAAAATCTCAAGAGGGGCACGACACAGTCGATGTTAAACAAACTTGAAACAAATGTTAAACGCCAAACAGAATTAGTAACGACAAGATTTGATTTTGTATCTCGTGCATTTCTGCCCTAGCTCTCGCCTTTGGATGTTTGTAGGTAGCTTGACTGTGCGAATCAGAGGTGTGGGGTAAGGACAACCATGTATAAGAGAGAGGTTGAGACACCCATTGCTTATTTGCAATTGACATTAAATATTGTTCAAAATGTTTTGACCCGACTGTAAAAATGTTTGGGGGGGTGGTTGGTAGGGGGGGGGGGGGGCGCAATGTGTGATCGACTGTTGAGAAAGACTGCCCCAAGCGATGCCCCTGTGTGTGACCAAAATCACACACGGGGGCAGCCAGGCAAGCCAGCATGTCCGCAAACGCAAGCATGTGTGTGTGTGCTCCGCTTCATGGAGTGTCACATCCGCAGCACGTGAGAGCAGACATGCGAGTTACACGCATGCCTTACTGCCCGCCCGTGCCTGCCCGCTCGCCTTCCTTCCCCCCCCCCCCCCCCCCAAGTCGCCCCGGGGGGATTGGAGCAATGGTTCTTTACACAAGGCCGAGATTAACGAGTGCACATGCACGCTAAAGCGGAGGCCGCAAACCGCCGCAACTTTCCAGAGGGAAAAGTCGGCAAAAGGGAAGTGTACAACAGCAACGTAAACTGCGCAAATTGGTGAAATTATTTTTTATACAAAAATAAAATGTGCCAGCAAATGCTTTTATTTTTGCAAATAGTGAGGTTCGGGCAGCGTGAATTTCAAACAGAAGCTGCAGGTGGATTCTAAACTCTATCGTCAAGTACCAGTGTCATGCCGTCCCTGCAATTTACTCAACATGGAGCACTTCAAAACGTCTGCAGTCAGCCGTACATTCCAGCAGGCCATCCTGGTATGTCAGGTGTAACATATATATTTATATTTTTTTACTAATGTAACCTTGCCTCCATTGACATTACCTCTGTTTATTTATGACTTGCCAGGTCTCGTCAAACCACTAACAGCGCCGCCAGCGAAGAAGAAATTAGAGTTATTTGTCTTGTCTCGGACGAGGAAGAAGTGACAGTTTGGCACATTTTCACAAAGCGCCCTGATCTGAAGAAGTAACTGCAAGTGACGGAGGAAAAGAACGAACGTCAAACGAACGAGGCCAAATTCACGTGAATAAATGGTGCCTTGTTTCCGTGGCCAGTAGGAACTGGGCTGATTCCGTGCTAACTCTGGGCTGGCCCCACGAACCTGTGTTTACAACCTGTGTTTGTCCTGGCCGAAGCAACCCCCCGTGGAGCTTCAACCCTGGCCCCCCCGGGGCCCTGAACTGGCCTGTTGGCCCAAAGAACACGTTCATACAGCTGGACTCATCCCATTCTCATGAATACAATCATGAAAATTGAACGATACATTTTTACACCAGTTCAGAGTTGCCTATACTAATGCATGATTAATTAATATATGGCAATTAATTTAAATGGACAGAATAATACAATCAACAACCGCACTTTGTCCATGGCAGCCCTCCCCCCCACCCCTCCCACGTCTGAAATGCCATCATCCCGCTGCAAATTTTCAGCAGTGTTCAATCTGCACCGACTTTTAAGTGACCGGTAAAGGGCCCACCGCTTCCGCCCTGGCTTTCGAGCGACACACAGCTTGGCCCCGCGCCTCAAGAGTTACGGTCATTTGGGTCTGTGAAACAATTGCGAGCGTTACAAATCGCTTTATAGTCCTATCACTATGGACGGTTTGTTGCGTGAAGCTCACAAGCTCGCCCATTAGCAAGACGACAGCAGCGATACGAGACTTTCCTGTCACCCCTGATATGCAGTGTTCGTGAACCCGCTAAAGGGATCGCCCCTGACTCTGCACCGCAGGCTTCCCCGGTGTGGGTGGGTGGGTGGGGGGGCGACACCGGCCGTCGGGTAAAAAAAAACAAAAACACCCAGGCCTGCGGGGCTCACCGGGGTCAGTGACGGAGGACCATCGGCGTGGCCGCGGCGCGGGAGGGCCGCCCCAGTGCAGGACCTGGCACTGGCGGTCGCGGGACGCGGGGGTCTCCTCGGCGCAGGAGATGAGCTGGCACACGCCGTGTTGCACGTCGCCGCCGCGGCACTCCGCTCCGCCGGGCCGAGGCCTGACGGGGGCGTGAAGGCAAAAAAAAATCAAGCGGCGGAGGGCACGCTCGCGACAGGGCTCGGTCGCATTCAGTCGCCGGCGTTCAACGTCGCCGTCAACGGCCGCGTGCCGTCATCGCACGAGGCTGCGCTCGACGGTGCGGTCACCGTGGTGCACCGGCGAGGAGCGATTGCACCGTGGTTAGCATGGTGCAGTAGGAAACCGGCAACCTGGGTTACATTTCCAGCAACGGCTAACGTCAGCGGCCAGTGAGATCGGAACCGGTCCTGTGCCTTCCCTAGGACGACTCAGCCTTGTATGAATGTTTGACTTTTGTCGCACCGTACGTAGCCAACCGGGCTGAGCGGAGGTGCAGGGGGAAGGACAACAAACTAAACAGAAAAAAACACATACATTTACAACTCCCCCCCTGCCACCCCGAGGCTGTCCTTCGGCTATCAGACCTTACACGTCACAATACAAAGCCGTAGGTAAGGAGAGGAAGAGTGTAATTGTTTTGTGCGTTAGCAATGCTGTTTGTATATTATAGACATGTGCCTGCTGCGAAATAGGCATGTGTGTACTATTGAAAAACATTGATCTTTAAGGCTATAAGAGGCAGACGTGTTGCAGTACGAGTATTGTTTTGCAGAGCTTCTTTCCAATGCCACATTGCCTTGGTATGCGGTGGCATTTAGACAAATTAATGTCGTGGATTCACAACTTGGGCCCATATGGAATAAGTCAGGTGGCCAGTGGAAATGTTTTTTGTTTAAAAATGTAGAACAATGCATTGATTAATAATTCATCCTTAATTCAGATACATAGGTGTACATGTAATATACATACACAACACGTACACATGTATACATGTTGTATTTAATGAGTTCGTATTACCCCTGCACTAGCATTCGACCCAAAGTAAAAAAAAGATATTGTTTCTTGATTTTTTTCTGAGATGCCATTTACGCATTTGATTCAATTATATATTTGTAATTAAACATCGTAGTGCAGTTATAACTCAAAAGGAAAGCTCAATAAAGAAAGATAACGACGTGGTGCAGGACATAAAATAACAATTATTGTTTTTTAAGATGTCATTAGGATGCTGAAGGCAGGTCGGCTTTTTGTTGCATATATAACGACACCACACCAACGTACACATTAAACAAAGAACAAGACTGAAATCCGAAGCCAAAAATGTGTCGGTCAACCGTTCCGCCTCACTGCTGCTAAATGCGAACGAAACTCTCAAGCTTAATTTACCCAAAAATATATATATATTCTCAAGAACTGCACTGGCCCTTGCAGCGTTTCGGTTTTACATTCAGACAGAGAGCGCGTACTGGCCTGACGTGGGCACAACGCAAGTGACAGAAGCGTTGCAATTTTTTGGAAAGCCGGCCCATGTGGTAAAGGCTTGCCATTTCCCGGGGTGCTTTTATGAGTAAATAGGAAACCCCACTTAAAAGGGTAAATGAACCACATCGACCCGGACAGTGTAACTGCCATGGTCTGCAGGCCGGAGAGATGCATGTAGATAAGAAGGGGGGGGGTGGGGGGGGTTTGTCTCCCGATGGCTTTGGGCTCGGTGGAACACTCGACGGGTTGGCAGTGGCCCGTGCTGCTTTTGCAACAAGCGTCGTGCCTCGCAATTTTTGTTTTATCCAAACACCAAACACGGGGGAAAGTGATAGCCTGGAATGGTGTTAACAGCCACGGCCATCGCAAGCCGAAATAACCACTGTAGTTCGCCCAGATCGACATTCAACAGAATTAACCAGTTGGTAAATAAATGTGTAAATATGTAATAAGCACTGAATTATGAATATGTACATCCCATGACACTCCATGTGGCCTTGCTCGATTGCATGCTGGGTGATGAAGGGATCCCCCTTTGTAGATCATAATAATTTTCGTGAATAACCGCAGGAAAGTGAGTTTTATTGGGTCGTTATGGTGCAAAGCATCGTGCAAAAAATACTCTGCCCTCTCTATTAGTCGGCATCTACTTCTAGTGGCTAAAATGTCTCTTCATTACATTGTTTTTGTTGACGCTACAGCAATGCAATGCCACGGGTGGCGGTTGGGTGATCCCACTATCATGCGGACTGCTGGTGGCGGGGGAGTTGCGCTTTCAAATGCGCGGGGCTCGTTAAAAATAGACGTCTCACGGCGGGAGGTCGCAGCGCCGCTGCCGGTAACGCAGGCCGGGCCCGCAGGGCTGATTGCAGGCGCTCCAGCCTCCCCAGGGGCCCCACGCCCCGTCGCGGGGCTCGGCCCACGGTTCCACACTCCTCTGACCCCCGCACTCGCCCCGAGCATCCCTGGGCGGCTCCACGACACCACCTGCCACGTCTGCGCCCGAGCCCCGAGCCTGAGAACGACAGCCGTAGTGGGAGGAAGCGAGGCAAAGCGGATTTCGACATTGCACATCTGGGTTGTTTTTTTGTTCTTGTTGGGGTTTATTTCTTTTCTTTCCAGCCAATTTTCACACCGATTATAATTGGGCTGTGAAAAGGTGAAAAGTGAAATATTGTAACTAGAAACATTCAAAGAGCAAATTCGTTAAAAATATATATATTTCTAACATTTCCAACACTTTGCCAATGCACTGCTCGATGAAAGGGCCCCCAGGCACAACGTCAGCACAGTTCATTGATCATACTTCACCACACTAGCCAATGTAGGTTGGTGTGAGAGGGAGGTGGTGGGGTGGCAGGCCAAGGAGCAGTTCAGATAGCACTGTTAGCCCTAGCTGGTAAGCAAACTCAGGCCGCTGGGTCCATAGCATGGCGTGCTAATCACTGCACAACTGCTCACCGCGGTGCCTCGCCTGGTATACAGGAGGTGGTCACGTGGATTTTTCTCCGGGTCCTCCAGTTTTTTCCCTCCATAATTATAAACGCGCATTTAGAGTATTTGCCTGCTATACATTTCCACGTGAAAAGCTGCTTTGTTGAGTTATCATTTGTGGCCAGGTCGCTTCTAAAAAATAAATATATACTGTAGCTCAGTGGGCCTTACCTGATTCATTAAAAATAGTTCAGTTGTCAGTTGAGTTTAAATGCAACATTGGTACGTGACAACTCCTTGCTCTGTGTGCGTCGTCATCCTTTTATTATCATGATCGAGCATGAGCACAGGCAATGCGCTCCTGATATGCGCGTTATCCTGCTGTGCGTGACTGCATTGGCTCACTCCTGTTTGTAGGAGGCCATTGTCTGCCGGTTGCTCTGCCTTGGCCTGGTCTCTGGCTGCCGGGGGCTGCGGAGGAGTCTGGGATTTCTCCTCGGCTGGACCCGGCTGTCCCCGTGTAGCTTCCTCGGTCGGGGGAGAACGGGGCGGCTCCTTGGGTTTGTTCTCACCCTCGCTCTGGTTTAGGCACTTGCCCGCCGCACACGACTGCCAAGAAACACAGAAATAACACGCTCACGTAAACAAAAGGTAAGCGGTGGAAGATCAGCCCTACAATTACTTGCTCACGCCACTGCTCACTAGGGGCAGCCCCTCTCTCGAGGGGTATTTTGGCCTAATATTCCACGCAAGCCAAACTCTACCACACACGACCTGCTGATTGACTACCTTCGGTGCAACCACTTATATTTGTTAGTGGACAGGGCCGTTGGGGAGGAAGGGGGGGGGGAATTAAGTAAATTTCCCACCGTTTGAACTTCAGTGCCGGGAGATCTCTGGAAGTCCAGCGGTGATAAACGTTGTTCCGCCATTGCAGAATTATTGCGGTATTCAATATATGGCAGCAGTTGCACCACTTCAATTAGATCGGTTTCCAGTGTTTATGGATGTGAGCCAGTGGCTCACAAATTGCGATGAGAGATGAGAATGGCCAAATTCTCGTTTGCGTGTGGTGGGACTGCGACTGTGAGTGCAGTATGCAATTGAACGTATTGACGGCACACCGGAGGTGTACGATATTTAAAAAATGATTTTTTTCGCAATACTTATACTTTTTTTCCACAATTCGCAAACCCAGGTCATAAGATATTGAATCTTGCGGCCAAAATCAGTTCTTGTGATGTCAACGCAGTCGGAAGACGAACGTTATGAGCTACACGGTGTACCACCAATACATACAAATGCTCCTCCTGTATCAGAGTGATGAGATCGGTGGCCTTGATTTAAAGCAGATAAGAGCTTCTGAGCTCCAGGTCTCTCTTTCAAGGGAGACCTGGAGGTTATTTATGGCGAAATAAAATTTCATGCGGGTACATGGGTACACAATAATCACAAAATCGAATAACAAAAATGGCTGCAAATGTACAAAAAATATATACAGCCAAATTATATCGTACAGTCCGCAAGTACCGCATTAATAATGTATCCAAAAGATTAAAGAAAAAATAATTTTAAGTAAAATACATTTTTTACTTTATAATCAAAGAGATACAATGATAAACTGTTAACGAATGATACATAGTTTGTTTTTTTGTTTTAGGTCAAGTCAACAAAACTTATGAAAAACAAAACACCTCAATAATGACACTGCGTAAAGGTTAAGCAACTTAGTCTACCTTTTGATAAATATTTTTTTCTTGCCAAAGTTATGAAAATGTTTTCATCGACCCCCTGAGCAAAACGATCGCTTCACGAGATGAAATAAAAGGGGGCTGTGCATCGGCAGGCTTGGGCACAGTGACCTGTCACGGTTTGTCTTTACAAGCAATCTCATTAAACTTTGTTTCCCTTTTGTTTAACCAGGTTGCTCATAAATCATACTTTAAGCCGCCAATGGCATGCCAGTGGGTCTGCCACTTCTTCAAGCGGTGTCACTTTTGAAATGTGTATGAAATACGGTTCCATAAAAACAAAAAAACTAAAATCGCTGCCATGCACACTGAATGGCGGTATGTAAACTATGCGTGCACGTGAATACCACGTTGCAGCCACACACAATGTAAAAAAGAAAATCTGTGCTTTAGGCCGAGCTTTAAACTTGATTGTCTCGGATCACAACTCGTGTTTATACTGAAAATAGGGTTTAAATAAGCGACTTCAAAAAAACATCATAACAGCTCCATTTTCACGTCGTACGTTTTGTCCGCGATTGTGCGGTGTAACCCTCCGAAGTGTTTTCAGGTTGCACGCCGCATTGTTCTGAGATGGCGTCTGGTGTTACACTCCACATGCTGGGAGCGTCTTCATTTAGCTTCTTCCTTCAATTCAGTTTCTCCTCGAAGAAGAAGAAGGACCCTCTTGAGGAGCCCTTCAAAACCATCACTTTACCCTACATTGCGGGGATCACAAAAAAGATCTCCAAAATCTTGAATAAACACAAGATACAGGTCCGATTCAACACATTACATAAAATCTGTGATCTGGTTCTGTCTGTAAAAGATGTGATTCCGGACATACAGTACCCTGGCGTCTACAAACTAAGTTGCCTCTGTGGTAGTAGTTACATTGGAGAAACCAAACGACATGTCTCGGACCGCATTCGTGAACACAAAGCAGACCTAAAACACGGTAGGACCAACACCTCGGCCGTGGCAGATTACTGTTATAATTCAGTAGGCTCACATGACATTGACTTCTCCAAGACAGAGGTTCTTTGCAAGCCATCTGGCTACCATGAGAGATTAGTTCATGAGGCTATCCACATAAACAAACAGACAATTTCAACCGAGAAGATGGATTCTGGCTTAGCAATCATTGGAAGGATTTGATAAAACAATTGCGGGTCTTAATTGATTGTTCACGCTTACTGGTGGCTTTCAGACCGCATCCATTATTTTCGTCTCCCCCCTCCTCTTTTCCGAACATATATGAACTCGTCCATCTGAATAACTGCCAAATCGCTCTCCGTGGTGCTAATGTAAAAAAAACGCCACTTTTTTCAAATTTTCTTGCCGTGGTTTTCACACCTGATGATGATTGCTTGTGTTGCAGTCGAAACATCGTGAGAATGTTATTATTTTATATTTTTATTATTTTATTGTTTCCCTTCTACGTGACTTTACCGAAAGAAGCAAGAATACACAAATGTAGTTCCGGAAGAAGCCAAGTATATTTGTTTAGCCAGGCAAGAACTCATGGCACCCGGGTAGCTTCCTTTGCTGCAGTGACCCTGGTCTGCAAGAGTGAGAAGCTTCTTGCACGTGGACTGAAACGTCAAACATCTTGCCAAGCAACATGCCCGAAAACACATCGGAGAGCTCTACTCATTCCAGGCATGCAAATCCTTGCCTAGACACAACCTCTATACATTGTGCTGTCAACAGCACTGTTGTAAGGTGGTAGCATGCAACATTTATTTCTATGGCCAGTATATTTTTTTATGTACTGTGTATTGAATGGTGGCACAATCACAGGGCACTGTGGTTATGAGGACCACGCTGACTCGGTGTGGTCTGTGGGAGGACAGCCCAAGGCAATGACCTCTGTTAGGTCACGGGAAAGCCAACACCACACGTACAAATGTGATTTCAATATGGAGCGTCTCTTTTGATAGTTTTCCCCTGAGGAAAAACCGTAACAAATTCACAGAGCCTGTCTTTCTTTCCTCTCTCTCTCTCTTGCCTCGTTTTTGCTTGGAGGTGTTTTCCACCCTCTTCCAATCACCCCGTTTCCTTGAGAAAGGCAATGATCATCTGCCAAGGTGCACATTAAACAAAATCACTGGGTGGTTTTTGCCTTCGAGTTTTAAGATGCTATCTTCTGTCATTCAATTTACGGCGTAATTGAACGTTGATGATTTACAACCCACAGAGGAATTTCCCGTCAAAATCACCATCGTCTCATTGCACATCCGCCACAAACGACACTATTCAATGTTTGTTGCGTGAAATGTATCAAGACTCATCACGGTATAGGGCGATCTCCGTGATCGCAAAAGATGTTGGCAATGTAAAAGTTTCACTTTGCATTTCAGATCAGTTGTACTTTCTTCTTCTGAAAAACTACCCGAATAACATTCCGCACCTTGCTCTGAATGACGCTGTGGCCATCAGCAACATAACCTTAACGTTCACCTTTCAGCACAGGTCTGGCAGCTGTCATTAATCTCAGTCCGAGCGTAGACCACAAGCCCTTTTAGTGCCGGCTGAAACACTCTACGCTACCATTTACCCAGTTCAATCCAGACAAGACCACCGGAGGGACCCGCTGACAGATAGGTCAATGTCTGCATTGCCATCTACTCAGAGGCAAAAATGTTGCATCGGACCTGTTAACTGCTTGGTCTGATAACACTTTAGATATTAAATGCCGCCACCGTCACGTTTCCATACACACGGCAGCTTTTGCCTCAGCGCTCCTGGCTTGATTCTATCTGAAGATCCATACGATCTATTGGCCACGACCGTATTTTCTCTTACTCGGGTCATTGACAACACTAGGGTTCCCCGACCGTGGCAGATTGACACGTCTGTCAATGAGAATACAAGTTAAGGGCAGTGGTGTAAATTAATGGCGATGAAAGCTGTTCCGGTGCAAGGAGGCGTCAATCACAACATGGGTGGAGTGTTGTCAGCATCTGTACAAGACTCTTGCATCCCAGAGGATCCATCCAGCACAAATGAGATCAAAGCATCTCCCATGGACACTGTCGAATGCTCGGCAGAGCTCATCCTTCAAAGGCAGTCCCAGACCAGTTGTGGAAAAGCCACAGTTTCCGTGATGGGAAATGGTCTGATCTTAGGACAACCACTGTTGACTTCCCACTAAATGGTTCTCATGTCATTCACCTTGGTGGGTTGAGTCGACCCAAAACTGGCACTATCCATTCGTGAGAAGGGAAATCTGCCACATTTACACCCGGTCCCAAGATAAATAAGGATTTATAAAGTCTCTTATCCCTTAGTGGGGAATCACAAGACGAATGGAAACTGGACACAAGCACACCCTTTCGAAGTAAAGTCAGGAGTGTATATCAGACGTTTGTCTTTACCTTCCCCAGACCAGTGTAATGTAAGCATGTGTTGCTTATATCGGATATGTGCTTATAAAAGGTGTGCTGATATCCAGCATTACTTTAACCGTTTTCCCTAAGCTCATTCAACTTTCACCCGTTGTTGCTGGCATTGCCACCGAACCTGAATGCTTTGCGGACGGACGTGGGTGACGTCCGTCTGTCCCGGCTGCTGCTCCGTCTCAGTCATGCAGGCACTGGCAGGAGATCTGAGAAGGGAAGAGACGGACCACAATCAGCAAGCGCCGGACAGCAGCGATGGCGACGCCCTCCACGATGTGCCCAGCAGCCTTTACCCTCTCCCGTCTTAACCCTCTCTCTCCGTTCCGATGACGTACGTACACGTGTACGCCATCGGAACGGAACCCGAAATAAAAGACGAACGAAAATAACTTGATGGGTACCGAGACTCCCACAAGGCCATGCGAGAGGGCGTGTGGCACAGTTTGGCGTCCGCTATCATGGAGTGCGGTCGTGTCGCTCGAGATCTCTGCGGTGAGTACAGGGTCTTTAAAAACAACGGCACTGTGCCTGTCTAATTAAAATTCGTGTTGAACCGTTTGCGCGTTCCGAGATTCAGCGGTGAACGGCACCCGCCCTGAAATTTTCAGTTGTCTCGTAATGGGAGAGATTCAGAGAAGGAGCAAACATTTATACTGCGGTATAAAACTTGTGTAGAGTGTATGGAAGATCAGCGGCGGCTTGGGGAAGCCTGCATCTAACACTGGTTTGGCCCCGGTTGATTGATGATGATGTTGATTATATGTAACTTGAAAAATGTTGCCGAGGATAATGATTGCTCATCAACCCCTGGTAGGAATACATTTTGAATATTGTAATTAAATGTTTTCGATAAAATTGTAATATTAGATTTCTCCTAGTCTATGTCTGTGTACCTATGTGTCTGTGTACCTATGTGTTTGTGTACCTCTGTGTACCTCTGTGTACCTATGTGTCTGTGTACTTATATGTCTGTGTACCTATGTGTCTGTGTACCTATGTGTCTGTGTACCTATGTGTCTGTGTACCTATGTGTCAGTGTACCTATGTGTCTGTGTACCTATATGTCTGTGTACCTATGTGTCTGTGTACCTATGTGTCTGTGTACCTATGTGTCTGTGTACCTATGTGTCTGTGTACATATGTGTATGTGTACCTATGTGTCTGTGTACCTATGTGTCTGAATTTGCCAGAATATTTTTTTCTGATATCTCCTCAAAAAGAAATCGGCTTAACATTCCAACACAGGACCCTACTGAATAGTGTCTTGCGACTCAATGAGGCTCTCGTCGACTTACGAAGGACAATAATGTCTTCATCACGAGTGGTGGTGTAAAAAAAGGCTATTCCGTCTTTAATTCAGTTGTAGAGGTCAAAGATAATCTCATTCGAATTATCCACATTGCACACAGCTGCACATTAGGTTGGCTCATACAGCAGAGGCCAATTCCACTGAATAGTAACGCCAGAAAAGCCTCAGGAAACGGATGATGAAAATAAGAATAATCCATATTCCTTTCACGATGACGAATCAATTGAGTATCGACCAAAGCTGTGACTGATTAAGCAACTACAGCAGTCATTATGTTCAAGTCACCCAAATAAATTATGAAACCACCAACATTATCGATGATGTGACAAGCTGACGAGGGCGACACTTTAAATAACGTTGAACACGCAATTAACTTGTTTCGGTAACTCAGGCCGCGCACACAACCCGTTGGACCGTGTTGTCCTTGTGAGCACCGCAAACCCTCCCCTGTCGTCCCAGTTGCTGTACTTTCCCACCAGAGGTGAAGACTTCCTTTCACAGGGGGGCAGAGGTCCCAACCATCATCCCCCCTCCCTCATCCCCCACATAACCCCCCCTCCCTCATCCCCCCCCCTCCCTCCTCACCTCATCCCCCCCCCATCCCTCCTCACCTCATCCCTCCCCCCCTCATCCCTCCCCCCTCATCCCTCCCCCCCTCATCCCCCCCCCCTTCCTCCTCACCTCATCCCCCCCCCTTCCTCCTCACCTCATCCCCCCCCCATCCCTCCTCACCTCATCCCTCCCCCCTCTTTCCTCCCCCCTCATCCCTCCCCCCCTCATCTCCGCCCTCATCCCTCCCCCCTCATCCCCCCCCTCTCTCATTTCCCCCCCTCATACCTCCCCCCCTCATACCTCCCCCCCCTCATCCCTACCCACCCCGCACCCCTCCTTACCCCCCCTCACCCTCCTCATCCTCCCCCTCAAATCTCCCCACCCCTCATCCCTCCCCACACCTCATCCCCCCCTCACCCCCCCTCATCCCTCCCCCCCTCATCCCTCCCCCCCTTATACTCCTCCTCATCCCTCACCCCCTCCCTCCTCCTCCTCACCCCCCTTCCTCACCCCCCTCCTCACCCCCTCCTCATCCCCCCCCTCACCTCCCCCCCTCCCCGCGACGAGCAATCTGTAATAGCCGCGCGGCCGTTCAAGGCTGCACCCGCTGTGTACACGGACCGCGCAGCCCTCGCGCCACCACAGCCCGAAGGGCCCCCACAGCTGTCGATTCAGATCGATCTGTGTGCTTTTAATGAGGTCCTGGCGTTCACCTTACGCGCAGCGGAAAGAACGTCGCCCCACCCCAGAGGGCTGACGCCGTGCGATTGTGCGCGTACATTCAATTGTGAGCTCGAATTAAAATACAGATAGCCACCGTAAATGATCACTTACGTTGTTCGACTGTGATGTTATATTAATAAGCACGCATCTGTCTCTCCACGTGAAAAATAAGCTTTAGTTTTTTTTTTTACAAATCCCATCAGCGACACGGCCTTCTGAGAGTTCATAATTTCAGCAGCATTGGTTCAACGCAAGCAAACTCTGGACTAGTTTTGACATGCAAGCAGTCTCATGAGCAAGAGTCAAGTTTTCTTGAACCAATACTGAGCTACCAGATACTCATAGGCAAGACCCTTCTCTGCTAGATATGGGTCCTAGTTTGATGCAAAAATATATAATACATGACAGAAAATAATGATACTAATAATGTGCATTGTGGGGGAGTTAAGAAGTAACAAAACAAATCTGCAGACAATACTTTTTACACATCCCATCAGCTGCAAATGTAATATTAAGTAACACATTAATTATTCTGTTCGTGAAACAACTTTGATAAAGCCTACATATGCAACACAATGTGGGTATGTAAGCATACACGTATACGTACAAATAAATGGGTATCGGTGACCCTGTGGTTAAGACCACGTCATGTTTATGATTAGTAACGTGAATAAGTCATTTCTTGTGTTCAATTTATCTGTACAGAATTCTCCATATTAAAAAAGTTAATAAAAGTCAGCTAATGTTTTGTATAACCTTCATCAAAGTTCATGTGGCACCACATCCATACAACACTTTCGGTATCGTCAGCCGATAGTTGGGCCTAGCTAACTGATGAGCATCGTATAGAGCAAAGCTCACCCATGTCTCATGCTGTAGACTGTTCATTACACCTCTGGAAGTTCTTGCCAGCTGAAAATATTAACTATATTTGTCAGGCTTGGAATGATATCTAACTACTTCATAATCATCCATAACATTTGATGGGGTTTTTTTTTTAAAGGGGTTGGTGCAGTGGTTCGTGCACTGTTGCTATGAACATGGCAACCCGAGTTCAATTCCCAGCCATGGCTAACAATCAGTGGCGCATAAAATCTGAATTCGGGACCACCCCCGAATTCGCACGGCTGACTTACGTACGGTGCGAAAGAAGTTCAACATACAGTACATACACCGCCCGCCTCAGTACCACTTCATTCCCTTCACCAAACCGTGCTCACCAGCACGGCAAAGCATCCTCTCAAACCTCGCATCACCGGCATGACAGTCAATCGACAAAGGCCTGAACATTATTTTCACAGTACTTGTACAGCATTAAATATTGCCTGAAAGCTTTCGTGACTGCGGGAATTCATATTCTTTGGGTCTTTCGGTAAATTCACGTAGATAGGTTCAAATTAATAAATATTAAATAAACCAAAAACTGCGACGTTTCGATTGCAACACAAGCGGTCGTCATCAGGCGAAGAGAAAAGGGGTCGTAGTTTTTTGTTTATTTAATTTTTATTAATGTGAACCTATCTACATGAATTTACAGAAAGACCCAAAGAATATTATACAGCATTGCTGCTAATATGTAAGACATTGTCCTAAAGGCGTATGGAAATTAATTTAAAGACATTTTCACATCACGAGCGAGTAACCCCACCCACGCTGATCTTAAAACCAGGTGTTGTGCATTCCAATAGTAGCGCTTTGCCCCATAATTAGCGCGAGACATTTCAGACCCTTTTTTTCCACAAGGAAACAGAGGGGGAATTAGTATCTGAGTGACAAGTCGGTGGAAGGATTTGAACGAATAACTGTTGCTTTTGCTCTGCAGCTGTGTCCCCGGCCGGATTTGCCATGTCGTGGATCTTTTGTCTGAAGTTCCACGGCCTGGGTTTACCACGAGGGCATAATGTTGTGCTCCGTTTTGAGGATAAGCCGAGATTATCCTTCAAACATTTCTGCGGTCTGGGGAAGAATGAAAGAGAAGCGATAAGCCCGAAAACTGTTGCTTTGTCAAGCGTCACCAAAAAGCATCACCGAAAAAGCGTGTTCAACCGGGGGATGTACTGCACGCAGGGAGCGTGTTCAGTGTTGAGCAAGCATGCAACAAAAAGACAAAGGTCCCCTGTATAGATATTAACAGGATGTTGGAGAAAGGGCTGTTAGCGAGCAGATGTCAATAGGCCGTCACGGCGCACAAGAAGGTGGCGTGTCGAGCTCTACGCCTGTCTTCCAAGTGTACTTTTCCACACACGGCACCAGGTAATTATTTAAGACTGAGCTGACCTCGAGGAGGCCCAGTAATGGTTTCAGATGTTTGCCACTAATATTAGCCGTGGACGGGAATTGGGTTTGGAGTGCAGCATGCTAGCTACTCTTTAAATGTGATACAGTGTTGTCGAATACTTGTTCCACCGCTGAGACATTGCATCCCACTCGTCGTGCTATAATCCGGGATTATATCGTGCAAAGAAGCTTAAGAGAATCCACCCCCCGTGTCGCGTAAACACATCGTGCCGACGTTCGTGAATCGCTATGCTCCCCCTTATCGCTTGCGCGCACACAGACAACATAAGGCGAACCAAAACACAAACAAGACTGCTAGGCGGGGTCATGAAGGTCGCAAAAACCACACGAGATGAAAGCCTTCATTTTCTTTGTCTCTAGGCTGAAAACAAATGCCATGGCAAGTTATAGATATAACAGACGTATAAACCTTTCCTGGCAAAACAGACCCCGGTATTCATAGCCTTTTAGAAAAGTGGCTTCACCAGCATGCAAAGAAACCCCGCCATAAAACCCACAGCAAAAAATAATAAAAAAATCCTGTAGGTATCATTATTAAATGTTGTCTTACATGCAGTGTGTTTTAAATCTTATTTAGCATCTATATTTTCATTTCCATTCAAGCACGAATGTATACACACGAATAGGATTTGTTTTAGTTGTGCTGGAAGATGTTATGTTGTATAAAAATCGCATGACAAATCTCATTCGTTTGTTAAGCTGCCAAGCATATATTCAGAAAAAGAGTACTTTTTTTTGCAATTGTCCATCTTTATAATTATAGGTTACTGTATTTTCAACATGTATATGAGATGAGCTACACACTCCAATTCATGTAGAACGATTCCAGTAACCTCTGCACGACGTGATGTATGTTCAACTCTGGTCTATGCCAGTGCGTTTGCAACACGACGTTCGCCCGATTATCAGCGGGAATGTTTCAGTGAGAAAAACAAGTTTCCAACAAAAAAAAAACACAGAAACAGGGCATTAACAACCCGCGACACGCTGGGACAATTTTAGGGCAATCGTTTCCGGCAATCTTCACAGGCAGCGGATTTTTTTTTCGGAGCAACGAAAGTCAACTTTTTGCGGCAATGACACGGAGTGACGGAGTCGTGTTTTGCCTGTTCAAATGGAGATTGTTTAAAAGTGTGTTTGAGGAGCAGTGGATTGGTCTTACAGAGCAGATACAACCTTGGGTAGTCATGTGTCCACTGTCAGTGACCTCATTGCAAGTTTCCATTTCTCTCTGTATGTATTGTATGTATCCATAATACATACGTGTTAACACGAAAGCCTAAGTATTATACTGTGTGACTGTTGAGCTTCTTTGGCACCGTACATAGCCAACCGTGCTAATCGGAGGTGCTGGTGAAGGACAAACGAAACACAAAAATCATTTCTACAGAAATTAGCTTTCAATCTATTATAATAATAACAAATCCCATCTACACCATGGCTCTCATTGTGAAACCGCTCCAAGGTCACCTGCCGCAGGGTTTGTCGAACCTCATTCCTCTCGACCCACTGCGTTCATCTTAGAGGGTTCTTTAATTTATCACCGTTCAAACACAAATTAAGCTGTTACGTGCTGTTGCACACTTTACATTTGCTGAACCCCGCATAATGTGAAGACCATTGATTAATAAAAAAAAAGTCATCATATCACCATCATACGTCCTTCCCACCAGCTCAACAGTGACAATCGAGTCGACTGAATTTCCTCTTCTGTCCCTGGCCAGTGTTGCTGCTTCGTCCATTGCCACTCCGTTTTTCCTGAGACTGAATCAGAATTATATTCTTGGTTCTTTCGGTAAAGTCACGTACAAGGGAAACAATGATTGCTTGTGTTGCAGTCGCAACGTCGTGAGAATTTTATTGTTTTATATTTTTCTTCTTTTATTGTTTCCCTTCTACGTGGTGACTTTACCGAAAGAACCAAGAACATGAATCCCTGCAGTCACGACAGCTTTAAATCAAAAACTGAATCAGAATTGTTAAATATTGATATTATTAACATGGCCTTAAATGGGGGTGGGGTGGCGGTGGTGGGGGGGGGGGGTGGTGCTGGTGGGTCGCGGCACTGACCTGAGGAACTGCTGGAGCTCCAAGCGGCTGCAGGGCGACCAGCTGAGCTCGCTGCTGTTGCTCCCGCGCACCCACTCGCCTGCCATGATGCTGGGCCCCAGGCCGCACGCCGAGTTGCCGCCGCCGCCGCCGCCGTCGTCGTCGTCGTGCCCCATGCCCATGCTGGCGGCGTGGCCAGCGACCACGTGCGGCGCCACCGCAAGGGGGAGCGGGCGGTGACAGCGAGAGCCCGGAGTGAGCCCACGTGCAGAGCCGCACCGACGACGGAAGCAGCAGCGGCGGCGGCAGCGGCAAGCAACCGCCATTCACCACTAAGTGGCGGTGACATCACCTTGTGCCAGGCTATGCGCACCTTAAGGCCAAGGCAAGTGTCAAACGCCCGCTGGCAGGAGGTCAAGGGTCAGACCCAGGTGGCCATGGGTTGCTGTGTTTCAGCCGACCGGTGCAGAGCCGAACACGCGCGCGTGCGCGCGCACGCAAAAACACGGCGAGTGCAAAAGACTCGAAAGTATATCCTGATGAGCAGCAGAGCTCAGCTCCTTTGGCAGCTCCTCTTAGCATTGCAGACTCCCGAGAGATGGGCGAAATGATACTTACTGTAAAAGCTCCCGGGCACGTCGAGCGGAATTTTAGATATCGTGCTGAACAACACGCAGGGCAACCGCGAAAACGCAAGCAGCAGCGGAGGCAGCGGTAAATTCACCCCACGCCACGCAACAGACTCTGAACAGGCCGGCAATGCCGCGTGATGTCGCGACCCACTTGTGCCCGAGCTCGTGCGCGATGGTGAACGCCAGGCCCAGACCGTTCTCCTCGGCGATGACGCATTTCCTCAGGTCGCTGCACATCCCGCCGAGGAAGGCGATGCCTGCGTAGCATCGCACATCGATTAGCACGGTTGGCTACGTACGGTGCGAAAGAAGTTAAACTACACGTACAGGCGCTTGAGGGTTGCAACTGTCCTGCTCTTGCCAGGATCGGTCCTCTCTTTGAAGTACCAGTCGTGGGGAATTTCTGTTTTTTGTAAGTTTATACTAAGTTGGTAAATAATACACCCGTTCAAGATTGTGCATTTGCATGCAGATTTCTCCTCTGCTGGAATTGTGAGGCACAGAATTCTTATTCCCACGATGTGTTCCAGATTTTTTTGGTACCTCAAAGGTGGCAACGCCACACCCGACAGGTGCGACTGTCCAGCCTTACTGCCTGCAGCTGGTAAACAAGTTAGCTTCTTGTTAGTTTCACCTTCCAACTGGATCCCATGAGGCAATTTAGAAATGTGAACAATTTCGTCCACAATTAATTCCAGAATGTGCTCTTTGTGTCACGAGAAAATTATGACATTTACATCTGAAAGCAGAACATTACCCCATATCAGAGCACTGCTTCTGGATGATGACCTAAAGAGGTTCCTTCAATTGCCTCATACCTACACTAGGGGTTGCACCTACACAGCATGCCCTGATATTGATGAACTCACTGAACGATAGACGTGACCACCGATTACACCGGTGGAAGGTGAAAAGCAGCCCCCCTCCCTTGCATTGCAACTGTGGCTATCAGAGCCAAACCATGCAACAAGTCGTCCAAAAATTCCCCAAAGCCTCACTTATTCACTGGCAGTATCTCAGACATTTTCAACGTCGCTTCCCCTAATCGCCTTCAACTGGCTCACCATCCTCGACATCAACGAATAACGTTATAAATCACCGTGCCATAAAAACAAAGAAGATTGGATGGCAATCAAATCAGAAGTAATTTAATCATCTGAGCTGGAATCAAATGAAATGTGAAAAGTAAATTGAATAATATTGGGTTTTTTTGTATGTAGTCATTAGAGGCCTGGCTAAGATCATCGAACAATCTCCATTTGAAATCTCCATTTGAAAACTTCGTTTATTTCATGGGTGATTGCCCGGATTTTAACCAAAAATCTCCTGGGTGGCAGCTCAGTTCTCTGACACAGTGTTAACTCCCGAGTCACCTAGCCACCTCTGAGAAAAATCTACCACAAGTGTTTAAAATGAAACACCACATCATGCCGGAGAGGAGAAGGCAAATATATGCTCGTCATTTATGCACTGAACACAAGTCACTGTCACCGTTATAATGTACAATAAAAACGTTCTGCCCATTGTCAATCCAATGTGAGTTGAAGGTCACCCCCCCCCCCCCAAAAAAAAATGTCTGTCATGCAGTTTATTTTGACCAGAATCAATTCAGATATCACTCGCGTTTGATGTAGCCCCATCCATGGCTGAGACTCGAACTGAGATAGGTGGAATTGTAGTTCAGTGCACTCATCACTATGCCACTGCTCCCCCCCCCCTTCCAACACTGCCTCGACTGTCACCGGTTACTCTTTAAACATTCCTGGATGAGGCTATTTGAACACCGCGACCTCACATCCTATGACTTCACTGCTCCGTCACCCTTCTCTGCACATCCCTTCAACCATGTCAACCACACACCCTGCCACTGACCGACGTAGTGACGCAGACAATTTTTTTCTACAGCAAATCTGCCGGTGCAGCTGTAAAATTTAATGGACATTACTTGATAAGAAAACCCCCATTTTGGGCGATAAACGAAAAGCATTTCTGAATTTTACACGCAACCACGCGGCTGTGGATAAACTCTGGAGGCACGCGAATTCGTCTTCACACAAGCACAACAATGGAATTGGCAAAACTGAGTTTGCACGGGCACATCTCGCTGATGGAATGAAGAAGCCAGTGGCTTCCAAAGTTTTTAAAACTTTCATTTGGGCCATTCAAAAGTTTAACAATAGAAACAACGTCCGAGTACATTACAGGCAGATTCTGATGGGTCTCCTTAAGAAGTCGCCACACCTTCAGTAAGAGATGTTTCAGCGCAGACCTCCGATGATGGCGAGCACAAGGCTGGACGTGACCGAAGCTGCCAAACACAACAGCCGAGGCGATGCCTGGGCTCGGACCTAATGAAAACACCACACTGCCAAGCAGCATTCCCCCCTCCCCTCTCTATAACGAGTGCAACCCTCTTCGAGAGAGCCAAGCAGTAAATGTGGGAAAACGGTTATGTCAGACTGTGGTGGGTCACATTCGTTTTGAAAAGTTTAACTTTTCCAATAACGGTTCTTCTGTACAAGAATGGAGAGGCAAAATGACAACAACATCCACCACCACCACCAACAACAACAAATCTACCTCTCCCCATTCCTTGTCCCTGTGCAACGAAAAAAAATACAAATGTGAGATGAAAATTTGAGTTCCACAGTTGTTCCACTGAGTGCTTTCAGCTTTACAGCTTTTGATCTCGACACCACAGCAAGGATTTTTTTAATTTGTACATATTCGTATTTTCTTGTACGGAATATTGCGTGCATCGTAAACCTATTTAAATAACTGAAACAAATTGTAAACAATGTGTGTGAGCTCCAGATTTGAAGTTTTCGTGACTGCAAGGATTCATACTCTTTGGTTTTTTCGATAAAGTCACGTAGGTAAAATTTTTTAAATAAATTAAATCACGACGTTTCGGGCGCAACACAACCTTTCGCTAAGTTGTCTTCACCTGAAGAAGGACGCTTGTGTTGCGCCTGAAACGTCGTTATTTAATTTATTTAAAAAAATTTACCTATGTGACTTTACCGAAAAAAGACAAAGAGTATGAACGTGTGAGCTCAAATATGTTTAACCTCCATATTGTGAGCGTGTTTTAAAAAATATATAATAAAATATACCGTTTCGTTTATCTTGAAAGCACAGACAGTACAATGTTAAGCTGATTTGGGATCTATAAGAATAATCCATCTCACAGACCGGAATTTAAAGCCAATCCTCGTTGCAGCTGGTTACAACATGCGCTCGTTTGTGCCGAGCGATTGTGCCCATCGCTTGTGAAGTGGCACGAGCCAGGATAAAGGAGTTCATTTTCGAGTCAATGTTTGGACAAATAAGTGGCTGTTTGCCAGGTGGCTTGGAAAGAATCTCTCTATCAAGAGCCAGCACACCAGCCAGGCAGCGTTCCTGCACACCAGCCAGACAGCACGCCAGCCAGCCAACCTACACACCAGCCAGCCAGCACACCAGCCAGCCAGCACGCCAGCACGCTGGCCAGCCAACCTACACGCCAGCCAGCACACCGCAAGCTCACCAGCCAAATGAGTCTCCACCTCCGTAGCCCAGCCTCCCTGCATGCCCCGATTACAAATGTTTTGGCTGCCAACTGTTGAATAACTTAAAGATGTGCAGGACCATGCTTCCTCCAGCATACAATAACCACACTGTTTCATTCAATCCAAATGACAGATGTAAAAAAAAAAACATCGTCTCATTCTTTTAACATTCATAAACCGCTAGTTGCGATAAGCGCCTAACATCGAACATACGAATATGCGCACACACTGAATGGGATTATACAAAAATCCCAAGTTTTTCTTTACGACGAAAACTATTTAAAATCAACCATCCCAGCCAAGCACATGGTCAATGTTCGTCGCGTAACATTCCCAACGGAACGGAAATAATGACTGGCCACCCTACGCATACCTCCAATTGTTTAAATCCTTTGGTACCTTGGCTTGCGAGGGGGGACACGTCATGCACCTAAAGTACATTTCATTGTGACGCATCTTCTTTTTTCAGTCTCTATAATCGACAGGCTGGAATGTTTGTAATTGCTTGCATATGCTGGAAATAATTCAAAATTGAAATAGCAAGAGTAATCATTACAACGTAGTAACTCCCCCTCCCCACAGCCCTCACCCAAAAAAAAATAAACCCTCCAAAAATGTGTCCACGTAACCGGCCGAAATGGCTTTCGTAACCGCTGTACAGTTGGAAATCAGCTCGCTTAAGCGGGTTTAATTTCCAGCAGGGTGAGACGAAAGAAGTTCGATTTTTTTTTGTGACTACTCCACCGCATTGCCATGCTAAGGTAAATCGGACGTGTGTTGAGTTTTAGTTTTCGTTTTAGGCGGGCCCAGAACGCGCGGCCATTCGCGTGCGCCCGGCGATAATCTCGTGCAACAACTACCAGGACTATCCATGGGCACACGAGGGCTGTGACTCAATGCCAAAGGTACTCGGATAAGTCACGGCGCTCTCATCATCGACGAACTGCGCACGCTTGTGTTTTAGAGAGGGGGAGAAAAAATAGTAGAGTCTTGTTTGTCCCGAAACAGAATTCCCACCATCTGCAACTGATTTTCCTTTTCAAAGTGAAACTCTAATGCATTTCATGAAAAAAAAAAACAACGTTATAACGTAAGTACAGTTCTTTAAGCGTCAGTGTTTTAACTTGATCCAATTAAGTTGGCACTGTAAAGAAAATTACATCCTGTGACAGATCTTGAGGGGAGCGTATGGAGCGTAGCTCGCTAATATGCCACAAAGTTAGATATTTTTTTGCATTCGTCGATACTTTCTTTTGTTTTTCATTTCAAATATTTTAAAAGGTAATCGGTCACGTCCTTGAGTAAAACAAGCGAGGAATAAGTAGTGTGTGTGGGCATATATTAAAGACTGACTTACCGACAGTGTCACAAGGTTCGTCCGTGTGCACACAGAAATCTGTCCTAGATACAACAAAAATAAAAACAAATTGTCAAAGATGAAAATTGGCACTTTGTTGTTTCACGTTATTCACCAACGGTACTTATGTTAAAGTGCAGTCAATACGGCACGCTTCACATTTGGGCCACGTTGACTTTCATACTGAAACTGAACGGAGCACGTCAGCACGACCTAATTCGATTTGTGGGAACAGTAAAATTGTCTTCATTGAGAGAGCACTTTTTTTTTAAACTCGAGTCAAATTTTGAAATTTGAAAGTAATTTCGTTTTAAAATCACGTTTTAAAGAACAATGTACACATGTGCAGCACGCACGCACGCACGAACACACACACACACACGGCCTATTTTGTTTGTTGCGGTTGCACCCGAGTTAAGAGCCGCATTGCTCACAGGGCTATATCTAATGAATGAAACTTGAAACTTGATTATTTTTACACTCGTCAAATAATGATTATCATGAAAACTAAGGGAAAGTAAATTGGTATGAATTGTTAACCTGGTGAAGTAAGAATGCAATGCCTCTGCCGCACACAAACTGACCACTGCAGACCGTGTCACCATTTAACCAAGAGCAAGAGGATGTATCCGCCAGATCAACTTGACAATCAGTGGCCACCCACCACCAGTGCAATGAAAAGGCTTTTATGAGGTAACATGCAATTGTCTCCAAGAGAAATCAGTGCTTTTAGGCCATACATTGATAACTATCATTATTAAAGGATTATAATTATCTTTGAACATTCTTCCCAATGTTTCCGTGCCCAAAACCTCTCATTCCACAAGAGTGCACCTTGTAATTGAAAAGCACTTCATGCTAGCATGTCGACCCTTGTTGAAAATAAATATTTAATACAATGACAGAAAGATGCATCTCCTTGTTTTTTTATTGTCACTATTTAAAGAATATTCCTCATTGCAAACAACTAAACTGAAGATGACTTTAATTGTGTGAAACCAGAGTAATATGGGTTATGGCCGTAAGCACTGAGGCCAAAACGAATCACACGTACTCCCACTTTTATAACCTGTTATAAACGACCCAGAATCTTTTGCGGATTGCTTACACATCACCCTGTCCTACAAGTCTGTACCAAGATAAATATCTTCCTGCTTGGTCTCTATTTTCACATCTCTGACGACAAACTCTACCTTTCAATGTACAGTGTTTCTTAAACTTAAATGTAGATGAAAATAAATGTAGTCCTGTTTCTCCGAAATCGCTCAAAACTTTCAAAGGTAATAGATATTATATCCAACATGTGCTAAATCACGTGTCAATGCCAGAGAAGTACCACCCAGTTGTAAATGTGGCTGAAACATTGTGTTCGCACGGCCTAATTTATTTTTAATGTCACAAGTTGGATGGTTCAACGATCACAAAAAAAAACCGTTGCACAAGTCAATTAGGCACATGTGCGGTCATTTTGCAGCTCGTTGCTGGTGTCGTGAGAGCAGCCGAGCTACGTTCATAGCTCAACCATTTTTTTTCGGAGGTCAGCATTCTGCGCCGATTAGAATCTGCGGAGAAAGCCCACCGCTTCAAAAGGGCAGAACACAAAAGGGCGCGTGAGGCCAACATTGCCGGAATAAATGTGGGATTAGGCCCTCGCGCCGATTCAATCACGTGCGAGTTCAGCCCACAAAGTGCTTGCAGAGGCCCAACACAACGGCGTCTGCGGCTAAGTGATTGGCGACTCAACAAAAGGGGTGAAATCGAACCCAGCGAGACGTTCATTTGGCGACTCCGTTAATTAATCCGTCTGTCCACCCATTCAGTTGCCGTTGCACAGTGGAGCACGCACAACTCGACTGCAACTAATCGGCATGAAGCCTTGGGAATCCACGCTGGGATGCGTGAGTTTAAAGTTATTTAAGCGGTCCTAAAAACTGCTGGGCACTGACAAAACACGGACTGTTTGATGTGTCTCAATGGGGCCACAGGCCAAAAGCACATGGGTGCTGCACGTTTTAAAGTGAACTTGGCTCGAGGATGTGACAGATTTGTGTGTAATGTTGCAATTGTTAATTTCCGGGATGTAAGCCAGTAACAGCATAAGTCAAATTTTCCCTCTTGGCAGAATCTGATGCCTATCAAAATTAAAGTTTATAAAACGGCACAACTCCAATTGTTAAAAAACCTTTGATTATTGATCTGAGATTCTGTGGCACCAATGGATAGTGATGTGTGATGTTCATCGTAAAAAAACAAAAACAAAGATGTGTTTCATAATAGAGAAAGATCAGACCATTGTCTGCGAGTCCACAGGGAAGCTAAAATTGTTGAACACAATAAAACGCCGCCTATACGCTGTCAATCCAAATGAGCAATGTAAAATCCAGGAAACTGCATTTCAGTTAATATTTCTCAAACTGTCAATGTATCACCAATCAGACAGTGTGAAACGCGTAAGAGAGACAACACTAATGTTTGTACAAGTGAAATCGGTGTCATGCTCACATTTTTCAATCTAAAGAGGCATGAAAACAGCAAATACGTTCATTAATATAAGATAGTGAAACCATCGGATTAGGGAAGTCTTCATCCAGCAGTAGATTGACCATGGCTGTTGATGATGAAACCACAGGTATTATTTTTATTTAAACGTGCGTTTAATACACATGATCAGTTTCAGTCAATCTCGAAACAAAATTTGGAATGCAGTCTTCAAAAAACAGCTGAAGGGTTGTACCTGGCATGCCCTCTCCTTCCTAACCCCCTTTAATCAAGGCTTGTAGCCACATGGGTGGGCAATTCCTGAATGTCGATTGATCGTAACACACTTCTCCTCTGCACCCACAGCCCCGAAACAATTCTCACAATTCTGGAAAGCATCGCTTTCCAACCATTTTTTACAAGTACACTTTAGCCAAACAAGTTGGGCGTGCGTTTCATACTGTAGATTATTACGTGTGTGGCCATGTCACAGTGCAGGCAACAGTTGTGCTGCTAAAGCGTACGTGAAAAATGACCAAATTTTGACAAGAGCGCTTTATTTAACATTAGAGGACAAAAAAAAATGGTTGGAAGATCTTGAAAAAAGAAAAAACATCATACGACAAAGTATCATCCTCGATGAGGGAGCACGAGGTTGGTTCTCATCTCTGTTTTGGGGTTTTGGTCAAGTGGTGGAAATTCCACCTTCCTATGGTGGGGAGGGGCCTGTCTCTCATCGAATAACCACTGTTGATTCTAGATTTGAAGCTTTCGTGACTGCAAGGATCCATACTCTTTGGTTCTATTCGGTAAAGTCACGTAGGTAAAAAATTAAAACAACAAAAATCACGACGTTTCGGCCACAACACAAGTGGCCTTCTTCAGGTGAAGGAACAGAACTGTCGGGACGACAGCACTTCAATGACCGCTGCTAAGAATCGCAGCGTCTTTTAAGCTCGGTGGGAGGAACAGGGCGCCTTGACAAAGGAGTTTATATATCAAAAATAGCTGTGTTAAAGTGTTGAAGCAGCAGGGTGTTAAAGTCAGAAAATTAGCTGGGGGATCAGCATGTTTTTGTGTAGAGGGTGCAGAGGATGGGTCACTGTGTGTGTGCAATAGAAACGGAAAAAATTAAAGATCGGCAAGAATGTGCTGTCAGGGGAGAGTAGAAAAAAAGGGTTTAATAGAAAGTTCGGAAGGAATATGCTTGGTATACCATTACTTGAAATTGCTGTTAGAAATTAGTTGACGTTTGGTATGATTTAAAACGTCTTTCCAATGGTTGCTTAATTTGAAACCATCCTCTCGATTGAAGTTATGTCTGTGTTTGTTTATCTGAATGGCTTCGTGGACAAATCTCTGGTGATAACCTGTTGGTTTACATTTGACCTTGGTATCGGAGAAGACAATCTCATGATTACCCATAGCGTTGTAACAATGATCAGCCACAGCAGATGAATTCGTTCTGCCGTGTTTCAGATCTGATTTGTGCTCGCGAATTCGGTCAGAGATATGTCGTTTCGTCTCCCCGATATAGCAATCACCGCACGTACAACTCAATTTGTAAACTCCGGGGTACTGTAAGTCAGGGATGACATCCTTCACGGATGGGATCAGGTCACGGATTTTGTGTACTGTATTGAACCGGACCAGGATCTTGTGTTTGTTTAGAATTTTGGAGATCTTTTCAGTAACGCCTGCTATATATGGTAGTGTGACTTTAACACCCTGCTGCTTCAACACTTTAACACAGCTATTTTTGATATGTAAACTCCTTTGTCAAGGCGCCCTGCTCCTCCCACCGAGCATAAAAGACGCTGCGATTCTTAGCAGCGGTCATTGAAGTGCTGTCGTCCCGACAGTTCTGTTCCTTCACCTGAAGAAGGCCACTTGTGTTGTGGCCGAAACGTCGTGATTTTTGTTGTTTTATTTTTTACCTACGTGACTTTACCGACTAGAACCAAAGAGTATGAACTGCTGTTGACTTTCCACAATGCGGTACTCGACACTCGGGCTGGGTCTTCAGTTGAAAAGCGTCCAGCTTGGAATCAAAAGACCTCGAAGCACTTCAACTACGAAAGAGTGAAGTACATGCGTGTGTCAAAATTGTGTACGGTGACGTACCTAGTCACGAAGATCGCGGCGTCAAGGGGGGGAGCCTGGGACGATGCCCCGTGGCCCATCTCGCTGTTCTGCCAGCGGCAAAAGCTCTGCAGAGTCCTTTCTCCATGGTGGCCCACGTACAAACTCTCCTGCAGACAAGGGGAAGGCAATAGGTAAAACGGTGCAGCCCTATTACTCATGCCACTGCCGGTAGAAGAGCTTCCGAGAGAGAGAGAGAGAGAGCTCACTCTAGAGAGCACCCTCCAGGGGGTACCCAGGCTTTATCCCACCACACCTGATCTCCCAATCGATGAACCGTGCTGTACCCATTTATACTCCTGGGTGGACAGACACATGGGGGGGGGGGGGGGGGTTAAGAAGCTTGCACCATCCTTTCAACTGCCGCGCCGGGAAGTTTGAGTCGAACAGACAGCCTCTGGATTGCAAGTCGAGTGTGCTCACCATCATTGCCATCATTACACCATGGCACCTGAAGGTGAAATTGCAGTTGTTGCTCTGGATCTACGTCAGTCTCACGAAAGAAGACCACCACGGCAGAACCCCGCTGCAGGCACGGGAATGGCAAATTTCATAAACAGGCAGCAATTAATCGGTATAATGAAACCCTCAAGTATCCAAACAGCGTGGCTGACTGACGAGTGCTTTGGAAAATCGAGAGTCTGAGTTAATAGAGTTGGAACGTGTTGGTTTTTTTTTTATTACGTGTAAGCCAAGTCTTGAAAAACACCATTTTTCAAAAAAACATGGCTTCGCTGCTCTGCTGACAAAAGTGAAGGCTGATTTATTTTCTTTTTCAACCGTTTTTTTTGACAAACACTGCATTCAAGCACAACTCAATGTTTAAACTAATATTCGAAAATATGCGGAGAGAATCATGACGTGAAAATGTGAGAACGATGATGAAAAGGGAAAGATTCTGGAAGCATTCACTTTAATTCACTCTCAACACAAGGACTACCACGGTGTGGATCATATCCGGGTTCTAAACGTACCCACGGTCATGCAACTTTGGCTTACGGCGCATGGCAGACTGCTTGCCGAAATACCGAGCAATTCGGACTGATATTGGTTGTGTAAACCCCCCCCCCCCCCTTTAAGTTGCAGGAATACAAATTTTAAAAAATATTTGCATTTGATTAGCTGCTTGATACCAACATCACAACCACTGCCATCATAACGTGCTAAATTATTACAATTAAAACTATATTTAATAACATATAGAGTATATGAGCATGTATGTTATATATATGAATGTATTATATTACTGCATATTGCATGAAGCTGTCTCTTTAAACCAAGATTACACACGATGTGAGTTTGTTAGATCATGGCGAAATCACGTTGATCTCATGAGATCTCGTAAGCTAAGCAGGTTTGAGATTATATTCTTAGCTCTTTCGGTAAAGTCACGTTGAAGGGAAACAATAAAATATATATATAAAACAATAAAAATTCTCACGACGTTTCGACCATAACACAAACGGTCGTCATCAGGTGTGACAAAAACCAACGGCAAGAAACATTTGAAAGAAGTGGCGGTCAGAATTTTTTCAATTTATTTATTTATTTTATTGTTTCCCTTCAACGTGACTTTACCGAAAGAGCTCAGAATATGAATTACTGCAGTCACTAAAGCTTTAAATCAAAGGTTTGAGATTAGTTATTATTTGGATGGGAATCCGGCTTTGGCTTATCAGGTGTTTTGTGTTTGGGCTGCGAGGTGGCAATGAAATGGCAGCAGAGCAACGGATTCTCTCAACCATGTGTGTAACAGCTCTGAGTTATATCCAATCATATTAATACACTTTCTCCGGGTACTTTGGCTCTCCTCTAACATGGCAACATTTTTTTTTAATTAAAATTAACGGAATTGGTCTAAATATCAGCCTGCAGGAGTGTGGACATTCGGTAGGACTTTCTTGGGTAAATAAAGGGCACTGTCTCTCATGACTCCACTGAATTCTAGATTTGAAGCTTTCGTGACTGCAAGGATTCATACTCTTTGTTTTTTTTCGGTAAAGTCACGAGGGTAAAATAAAATAAATGTAAACAACTAAATTAAATCACGACGTTTCGGAGGCAACACGAGCTTCCGTCTTGTGTTGACTCCGTCTTGTGTTGCCTCCGAAACGTCGTGATTTAATTGAGTTGTTTTCATTTATTTCATTTTACCTACGTGACTTTACCGAAAAAAAACAAAGAGTATGACTCCACTGAAGTTGATGTGCTCTACCACTGAAGGTCACTAATTCATTTCTCCTGGTCTACCTTGGCAAACGCTCTTTGACTGAATTACTTTATTCTTAATAAATGTCACCACGTTAGTCACGTGGGTTGGTGACGCGTGGGTACGGGGTACCAGGGTCAGTTCAGGTATTGGCTTGCCAGTTATTGTTAGCGATAGCCAGTAATCGAAGTGCGGCTTCCCAAATTGCTATCCGATAAGTCCACACGAAACAATATATTTGAGTGACCTTACACTGGCCGGCCAGATCAATGGCGAGCCGGTGGATGGACTTGATTTGATTAGGGAGGGGGGAGACAGACGTTCCACTTGTAACGGCCGATTAATGTTCTCTGACGTTGTTTTGGCTGTTATTTTTTGGAATTACATCATAAACTACGTAATTGCAAGTGGACATTGACATGCACTGCAACGTGCAAATACAAAGTATATCCTCAGTATACCTACTATAATCACCCAGGAATGTCTGTCTTTAATGCTCATGACGTCACTCCACATCGACCAGCCCCCCCACATTAATATTCAACGTGGTCCAAATGGACACCCCCCACCCCTCCTTATTAATAATCATGAGCGGGTGACGTCACTCAATATGGAGTACTCCCGCCCCCCCCCCCTCACTAATAACCATGCGCAAGTGACGTCACTCCACATCAAACATTATTACTACCTACTATAACGAGCCAATAATGTCTGTGTGCAACGCTCGTGACGTCACTCCACGTCGACCAACCCCCCTCATTAATAATCATGAACAAGTTACGTCCTCCACATGGACCCCCCCCCCCCCACATTAATAATCATGAGCAGGTGACGTCACTCCACATGGAGCACCCTCCCCTCTCATTAATAATCATGAGCAGGTGACGTCACTCTACATCGAACAGCCCCCCTCATTAATAATAATTATAAGGTGACGTCCTCGAAATGGACACCCCCCTCATTCATAATAATTAGCGGCTGACGTCCCTCCACATGGGGGTGGGGGGGGCGAGGCGCCTCCTCCCCCCTCCTCGGCGTCAACTTACAACCCTCACTGCAAAGGCAGAACCCTCACTATGTCACGTGATCTCCGTAACGCTACTGAGACATCGAAGTAAAAAGGACGTCATGATGAACAAGGGATTATAACCTTAAAATTAAATAGGTCTGTGTCACCGCGTCCTTACAAAAGGCTAGTTAAGGAACATTCGTCAAATGTACTTATACTTCTGATTGTAATTTTGCAGTTGAGAATGGAAAATTAAGAAATGAGAAAGTACGGAAGAAAAATCAGTACTCTTTGGTTCTTTCGGTAAAGTCATGTAGGTATAATTTATTTTTTGTTTCATACCTACTACGTGACTTTACCGAAAGAACCAAAGAGAATGGATCGCTGGAGACACGAAAACTTCTAATCTAGATTGAAAAAGCAGTAATTAAAACAATTACATCCAAGATTATTAACGTTCATTAGCATGGAATGCTAAAGGTCCAAGATTATTCAAATGCAGCTGGCAGCCCAAATCAATTCAAGCTGTTTTACTTGGAATTTCTACAGAAAGATAATCAGCAAAAGACATCCATTATCATAACTTCTCTCGTCCAATACCGTACTAAACCGTAACGATCCCAGTATTGATATATACAACTAGCCTTTTGCCCATCCAAGGACGGGTGTATTGCAGTAAATGTGAAACTTGCAAGTGAAAATCAGACCGCGACGTGATATTATTCATTGCATTAATGCGTGTGCAATTTGTAAGGGCGCGGTGACACAGACCTATTTCATTTTAAGTTTATTATAATCCCTTGTTCATCATGACGTCCTTTTTACTTCGATGTCTCAGTAGCGTTACGGAGATCACGTGACATAGTGAGGGTTCTGCCTTTGTAGTGAGGGTTGTCAGTTGACGCCGAGGAGGGGGGAGGAGGCGCCTTGCCCCCCCATGTGGAGTGACGTCAGCCGCTAATTATTATTTATGGGGGCGGTGTCCATTTGGCGGACGTCAACTTATAATGATTATTAATGAGGTGGGGGTCCATGTGGAGGACGGAACCTGTTCATGATTATTAATGAGGGGGGCTGGTCGACGTGGAGTGACGTCACGAGCATTGCACACAGACATTCTTGGCTCATTATAGTAGGTAATAATAATGGGAGGGGGGTCCATTTGGAGGACGTCACCTGCTCATGATTATTAATGAGGGGGGGGGGGGCTGGTCGATGTGGAGTGACGTCACGAGCGTTAAGGACAGACATTCCTGGGTGATTATAGAAGGTATTCGCTTGTTACTTGAAGTGTTAACGGCCTCTTTCTCATACGTGGAGGTAAGGCCAGACTTTGCTAGACATTTTCAAAGATTTGCCACTCCAGCAAGTGCCAAGAGTGGCGCAAGAAATGAGAAGCACACTCCAACCTAGATTATATTTTTCATCAGCAGTAGCCATGATCAATCCACTGTTGGACAAAGGCCTCTCACCATCTCTCATGATCCCACAATATAATAATCCACCGAGCACCCGCACAAGGGCTGATTTCAACACTCCATCTCCTTGGAGTACGTGGCCTCAAATGCATCCCATTCCTTGGCTGCCAATCTGTCACCGCCAAAACTGCTTCACTTAATTATGTTCAAATATATTCAGAGTTACATTTCTGGCCATGACTGATGTCAGTGGTGGGTGGCATTTGAACTGATTCTGGGCCCTCCCTTCACCAACCCACATTGACCAGCATGGTAAAGTATGCACAAAACAACCACCCATGACGAACATGACATCAGTAGGTCTTCATTCAGCAATAGCTGGACAAAGAGTTGAAAAACACTTAAATTACGATTTTAACTATTTGGTTCAGTATACTGGAACCTCTTGTCTTGGAGAAATCAATGTCATGTGAGCCTACTGAATTATAACAGTGATCTGCCACGGCCGAGGTGTTGGTCCTACCGTGTTTAATGTCTGCTTTGTGTTCACGAATGCGGTCCGAGACATGTCGTTTGGTTTGCCCTCGATTTGGAGCACCTGCCCACGTCCTTCATTTCGAGTGTGCAGCATTAAGCTGAGAATAGAGTAATTTGTACCCACTAAGGGGAGCCAAGGGACGCTACTGGAAAATATCATCAATGCCTTAGATGAACTGGGCCAGAGAATACTTCTCTATTTGAAGAGCCCTTCTCGGCTGGCAGAGAACTGGCCACCACAGCCAAAAGGGTGACCTAACGTATTTAATAAAAGCCTCAAACCATGAAGGCGTGATTATGCATCTATCTACAATGATGGAAACAAGTATTTGATCCCCTATTGATTTTGTACGTTTGCCCACTGACAAAGAAATGATCAGTCTATAATTTTAATGGTAGGTTTCTTTGAACAGTGAGAGACAGAATAACAACTAAAAAATCCAGAAAAACGCATGTCAAAAATGTTATACATTGATTTGCATTTTAATGAGGGAAATAAGTATTTGATCCCTCTGCAAAACATGACTTAGTACTTGGTGGCAAAACCCTTGTTGGCAATCACAGAGGTCAGACGTTTCTTGTAGTTGGCCACCAGGTTTGCACACATCTCAGGAGGGATTTTTTCCCACTCCTCTTTGCAGATCTTCTCCAAGTCATTAAGGTTTCGAGGCTGACGTTTGGCAACTCGAACCTTCAGCTCCCTCCACAGATTTTCTATGGGATTAAGGTCTGGAGACTGGCTAGGCCACTCCAGGACCTTAATGTGCTTCTTCTTGAGCCACTCCTTTGTTGCCTTGGCCGTGTGTTTTGGGTCATTGTCATGCTGGAATACCCATTCACGACCAATTTTCAATGCCCTGGCTGAGGGAAGGAGGTTCTCACCCAAGATTTGACGGTACATGGCCCCGTCCATCGTCCCTTTGATGCGGTGAAGTTGTCCTGTCCCCTTAGCAGAAAAACGCCCCCAAAGCATAATGTTTCCACCTCCATGCTTGACGGTGGGGATGGTGTTTTTGGGGGTCATAGGAAGCATTCCTCCTCCTCCAAACACGGCGAGTTGAGTTGATGCCAAAGAGTTCCATTTTGGTCTCATCTGACCACAACACTTTGAATCATTCAGATGTTCATTGGCAAACTTCAGACGGGCATGTATATGTGCTTTCTTGAGCAGGGGGACCTTGCGGGCGCTGCAGGATTTCAGTCCTTCACTACGTAGTGTGTTACCAATTGTTTTCTTGGTGACTATGGTCCCAGCTGCCTTGAGATCATTGACAAGATCCTCCCTTGTAGTTCTGGGCTGATTCCTCACCGTTCTCATGATCATTGCAACTCCACGAGGTGAGATCTTGCATGGAGCCCCAGGCCGAGGGAGATTGACAGTTCTTTTGTGTTTCTTCCATTTGCGAATAATCACACCAACTGCTGTTACCTTCTCACCAAGCTGCTTGGCAATGGTATTGTTGCCCATTCCAGCCTTGTGTAGGTCTACAATCTTGTCCCTGACATCCTTGGAGAGCTGTTTGGTCTTGGCCATGGTGGAGAGTTTGGAATCTGATTGATTGTTTCTGTGGACAGGTGTCTTTTATACAGGTAACAAGCTGAGATTAGGAGCACTCCCTTCAAGAGTGTGCTCCTAATCTCAGCTCGTTACCTGTATAAAAGACACCTGGGAGCCAGAAATCTTTCTGATTGAGAGGGGGTCAAGTACTTATTTCCCTCATTAAAATGGAAATCAATTTATAACATTTTGGCATGCGTTTTTATGGATTTTCTTGTTGTTATTATGTCTCTCACTGTTCAAATAAACCTACCATAAAAATTATAGACTGATCATTTCTTTGTCAGTGGGCAAACGTACAAAATCAGCAGGGGATCAAATACTTTTTTCCCTTACTGTATATATTCCTTATTTCAAGTAATGGCAAAGCAACTGTTTGGTTTGGCTGGGATTCAGGGGATTAGCAAGACGTTCTCTCCGTGCATTTCATATTTTTAGCCCATAATACTCTTTCATGATTAGGCGTCCACGATCTGATGAGAGCCACACAGTCAGGCACAAATAGTGACAGGAAATTTAATACGTATGGATTGGCATCTTGAAGTTAGCCGAAAGCATTAGAGCTTGTTATAAAACATATTGCATTTCAAAACTGACTAATCCTATTGTTAATAGCGAATATAACTTTCTAAATACACAGTGCCAAAACACGCACAGCCTAAAGCTGCCACTCGTGGCAATTCAACAATATTACATAAGCTGTGGCACAGAGACAAAACGTCCATTTAGGAGGGAGCGTGAGATGGTGTCGTGAATGGTAGCAGTATCTCAATCAACTTTTATGTTGTACTGCGACAATGGCAATTTCGGTTTATTAAAGGGCGCTGGAGCCAGAGAATGCGAGACTTTCAGGATGAGTGGCTTGAATATCATCTTTACCGGGTGCTCATGAAGCAGGACCAGTCGGGCCAGGCGCACGTGGATAGGGATGGCCAGGCTGGAGTGCTGGAAGATGTTGTACACCTAAAAGAACACAACAACACAAGCACGAGCTGACCTATACATGTTGCAAAACACTCAATGCAATGAATGCGTACATTCACATATGTGCGCCGGTGAGGAGCAATTGCGCCGTGGTGAGCCCAATGCAATCAGAGCCCGGCACGCCTTGAGTTCAATTCCCAGCCACGGCTAACATCAGTGGCCAGTGAGATAGAAACAGTGCCTGGGCCTCCCCTAGGACGACTCAGCCTTGTATGTATGTTGAACTTCTTCCACACCATCCCGTGCTAATTGGAGGTGCGGGGGAAGGAAAACAAACTAAACACAAAAAGCAGTTTCTAAATAAATTAGTTTTATCGGCGGATGGATTTATACACTTCTGGTGTGGCGTGCAGACATCCGCATCGCAGAGGCAAATGAAGCGGCGAACGGCGCAGACCACGCCACACCACCTCTGTGCACCGCGCGGGCCCGGGTTCTCGCCAACAGCACTTTGCCCGGAAAATCTATGAAGCTATACAGGGGCACTTGTGTCCTCGTACATTTACAGGAAATCGTGAGCGCTAATCAAGGCTGGCAACGCACCTGCCTCTGGGTAACGTGGCCAGCATAACACCTGGCCACATTTGTCTCCTCCCCAGTGTGTGTGTGCTGACAGTGTTGCGCTGACATTGACACAGCGCACCAGACGAGATTCCACTTATGGAGTGGGGGGGGGTGGAAGCCCAAGGCTGCTTCGGATTCCAATTTCCACTCGCGTGGTGAATCGTGAGCTTCGGATCGCAGCGTAATAGATGTTTCATGAAGCAACCCTGCAGCGTCACCTCGTTAATATGGTGGAGGGGCAAACACAAACTCTGATGAAGGGGGGAGGACAGTCACTGTTAAACAAACTTTAAACCGATGCTAAATGCTTAACAGAATCAGAAACAAAATCGTCTGCTTTGGACTATTGCGCATTCTGCCCTCACTCCCACCCCCTATGTATATCAGGATTAAAAAAAAAACATCACTGGTGTTAAATATTGTACCAAGAGTTGTTGACTCGACTCTAAATAATTTTGAAGGGGAGCTGAACCTTCAGAATGGAGGGGGGGCTGACTCCACCCCCCCGCCCCCCTTCAGCCCTCCCGACGCTACGGGTCTATCGCTAACTATTCCTCCTTAAATGCGTTCATTTTTTCCAGGGACGCAGTGGGAAATCTCAGACAATCTGCTCATTCGTAATGACCAGGCATGCCATCAAAGTGTTTTCAGAAAATTCTGTCGGGTTTATCCATTCGGGAGATTCAGAGGGAGGCACGTGGGACGTAAACATTCGCAGTCCCTTTAGATCCTGCTCAAAAAAAAAAAAAACCGATCAAGATTGATATTTTCTTTTAAGCCAGATAAATCCTTACAATGTTTCTGCCAACAAAAATAAATTGCAATTTTATAAAAAAAATATAATTTTAGTTTTACAAGCCATTTCCAGAGTGTACACATGTACGCGCACGTGTACACACACACATCAGCGCAGATCAGACAGAGTTGGAGGGATCGTGCAATCTTTCACTTCATTTATGTATTTAAAAAAAGCCCCTAAAAGTTGGGAGTATCGATGGGTCCGCACCACAGTTGGTCGATCAGCAGAGCACGTGTGCGGTGGGATAAGGTATGGGAACACCAAACTATTTCACGACATCTGACCGGTGTGGAAGAGTAGTCCAAAATGTATGTATCGTATGTAGCCAGCCGTGCTAATCGGAGGTGCGGGGGAAGGACAACAAGCTAAAATAGCTTCTCCCTCTCTAAACGCTTTCTAGAACGCTCTCTAGCCAAGGCCCTTTCACCAGCAGTGGCGTAAACAAGCAATTTCAGGGCTGCACCTTTACCTCTACCTTGTAAATCACATCACAGCTGCCAAATGAACAACGTCCACACAGGGTTACGTGGCGCCACAAACAAAGACAACAAAGATTGCTCCACCTATCGCCTCAACAGACTTTTGGGGAGAGCGCTGTTAGCGAGCACCTATGAAGGCTGGCACGGCACACGAGGGGGTGGGTGGCCAGCACCATGCCTGGCCGCCTTTGTATACTGAGCAGCAATATTTACACACCACACACAGGCACTCATTTTGAGGCTGGGTCGACCTAGGAGAGGCCCAGGACCGGTTTAAACAATCGTCACTTGGCGTTGACTGTGAGCGCGAAGCGCAGCGTGCAAACCGCTGCACGAATGCAAACCAAAAAAAATAGACAGAAATACCCCTTAGCCTTAATAGACTGTTGGGGCACGTGTTGTTAGTGAGCACCACAGACAACAACAACATCAACCGCCATTCGCCACTACGTGGCGGTGACGTCACCATGCCGCTTGTGCCAGGCTACGTGCACGTTGAGGACACGGGGTCAGACCCAGGTGCCACGGGTCGACTGAGATGACTGGCTGATGCACCACCTGTGGGGGCCCCTACTGTGCCACACAAAGACAAAGATCCCCCGTACAGCCTTAACAGACTGTAGGGGCAAGTACTGTTCGCGAGCACCTATGAAGGCTGGAATGGTACACGAGGGTGTGGCTGGCCAGCACCACGCCCGACCGCCTTTGTCTCCCCCAGTGGCGATTTTTACACACCGCACCACTCATTTGGGGCTGAGTCGACCTAGGGGAGGCCCATGACCGGTTCAGATAATCGTCACTGGTGTTGGCCGTGAGCGGGAATCGAACTCGGGTCGCCGGGTTCATAGCGCAGCGTAGCGCTGACCGCTACACTACGGCCACACACAGACACACACAGACACACACACACACACAGGCACACACACACACAGGCACACACACACACACACAGGCACACACACAGACACACACACACACACCGCCGCCGCGAGACACACCATGCTCATGACGGTGAGCAGCAGCTTGGTGCTGCCCTCAGTGCCGTGCTCTTCCACCACGTCCCTCGCCGCCACCACCAGCGTCTCGACAGCGTACTCGCGGGCCGGGGGCCGGATGGCGTTCCGTCGGCCGCGCGGGCCCTCCTCCTGCCTGGCCCCCCTCTCCACCTTCTCGCCTGCTCGATCGGCACCGCGAGGGAAGAAGGGAACGCAGCAACTGCGGTGGAGTGCGCGACGTCTGCAACCGTCGATGGTGCCGCCCTTGCACGCACTTGATGCGGAGAGCGGCGATAGTTTCACGGTGTGGAACGAGTTTAATTTTGTATTTGAATGGGGAGTAAATTGGTAAAACGTGGGACGATGTTGCGTGGTGGTGGCTTGCGAGGATTGGAGTTTGGGAAACCCTGATGTGACTTGTTGTATTTGTCCAGCATGAACAATTCAAGTTCATGCTCCCAAGGCCAAAAAAAATCCCTGTCCCCACTATTTTTCTAAGTCTTTACGAAATGTTTTGTGTCTTTATTTCACGGCGTGTGTATCTCAACAAAAAGTAAAGCCCTCTCTATATTGCCTCACGTAATGGCGTGACCCTAAGTGCTGGTAAGTGGAACCACTTCAAGCAGTAATGAGGCAAGCTCCATTGGGATCGCAATAATTACGGCAAAAAAATCCAGCCTATGCCGGAGGAGAGATAGGTACACTGCCCCCCTTTCTTGATCTAGGATTTCAGGAAGTGACTTCAGTTTGTTGTATTTATAATTAGTGCCAAATTTGTTTTTTTCCCCAAAGCATTGTTTAAGCTGAATATACAGTTTTTGTTAATGCAGGTGGTTTTGTTATTTTGCCCCGAAGTGAGAATTCAGGCTGACAGCCAAACCTAATCACCACCATGCACCCACCCACCCCAAAACACCTTCCAGAGAATGGAACTACTCTTCACTTACTTTAAAGTTGGTTTTGAAACGTAACTACTTTGGCAGCATAAGCGTGTATAATTTAAAATGCATTAACGCTGGATTAAACTAATCAACATGGGTTTGAGAGAAATTAAAGAAACATTTAAATATGAAAAGAAATTCGGTGCACAAAGGAAACATAATATGCCTGTAACTATTGCTGATCAATCCAGCCTGCTCTTGTGGAATCGATTCAAGAATCAATGTAGCATATCCAGTGGCTGTAAGGGTCACGTGAACCTGGTAGACACAGTAACATTTTCACGAATTCAATATAGTCTGCATTATCCGTACGACGGATGTACCGTGAGCGTCAGAATACATTTTCATCGATGGATCACTTCACTCAGCGATGAATCGCTTCATGCCACAGTGGTTATTCTGTTAATTTGTTTCAATCACAGTGCCTCATTGTAAAGTTAAAGTACCGCAATCATGAAATTGGAGACGAAAAAACAATTCCACGTCGTACATCACAAAAGTCAGTTATTCTTGTACAATGCCTTTTAAACTGTCCAAAAAATAAAAACCCATAAATTGCCACAGCAAATTGTGCAAGATAGGCACCATATGCCAGATGCCCAACCCAGTTAAGTAATAGTGAGCAGCTCTTGCCAAAAAATCCCTGCCAAGTGTTGGTAGTCAACCCCAATTGTCCCATTCTGTTAGCATTTGTCCATCTCCCCCACCCCACCACCCTCCCAAAAATATGGTTATGCGGCAAGTATGACAATCACTAACTCTAACCGTTGACTCATTCACTTTAACCTCTCACTCCAACGCTCGCTCCTAATTATAAACGTGCCCCCCCCCCCCCCCCTGTTAAACTCTACGTGTACCCTCGAATCTAACCAATCCATGGGCTTGGAAAGAAAGAGGAAAACTCTCACCACAATGGGGTCAAGCTAATCACGATGGGGTGAAATTCCAGCTGAGCTCCGGCATGCACGTACAATCATCAAGAACCTGAAGAATCCTAATTGATTCATTACGACCTCCCCCAAACAAAAAAAATGCTCACAACATTTCTTACCCTGAGGGATTTGCCTTTTGCCTAATTCCCGAGTAAAGAAACATGATCCGTGTAATATATTTACGTAATAAAGTGCATCTTTAATATCAGATTGATAAAACTGATGCTCTAGGGGGGTATGTGACAAAAAAAAACAAATGTCATCTCTCCTTTGAGACGATGCCCTGGACGTGATAGAATTTACAGAATTGCATGCGTTGCGAGGAAGCAATGTGTGTTGCGTGGATGCGCTGTCCTTCCATAAAATAATCTCCAAAACATATTCCCGATGACTGGTCTCATAAATGTGTTGTGTCCTTGAAAATGAATTATTAGGCTCCCAAGTGTGTTGTGAATGGAAAAAAAAACGAACGCTAATAACGGAAATGTGTATTGCGGCCGTACATGGTGTTTGTCCAAAAGCTTGGCTAGCTAAGATTGCATGCATTGGAGGTGACTGGCTGACTTTGAAGGCCAGAGCACTGAGGTGACATCACTGAGATCTGGCGATGTTGAGTCCACATTGGCCGCCCGTGATTAAACTGGGATCTCAAGTAGAGTACGTGGTGTGCGTGAGCCTGGTAACCAATGACTGCACTCAAAAAACCCCATCATAACACTTTAGTTTTTTTCCCCTTATTGTGGCTAAATTCCAACTTGAGAGTATTAAAAATGATCAGTGCGTGATGAACATTTCTCTGCAGTGAGAACACATGTGAAAGGCGAACACCCCCGATTAGTTGGACGAAAAGGTCCCTTGAGATTTCAGAAGTAGTTCTGGGATATCTCCTTCCGTTGGGCATTCTCTGACACCGCAAAGTTCTGAATGGATTCTTCATTTCATGACATGCTCCTCTTAGCACATGAGATCAAGTATACATTCCGACCTCCCGCAGAGCAGTACAACGTTTCGTGTTAGAGAACGGCCCACATGAACGGGCATCACAGCACTATATTCGACATCTAGTCACGTGACCTCTGGTCAACACAATAAACAGCAGCGCTTTCCCACCCATTCTATATGTGAGACTAATATTCCTCAAATGAGAGTCACAATGATATATCTTTTTTCCCCCCTCAAAACTGGAATTTAAAAGACATTTAAGGGGCCGTCCATAAATGACGTCACGCGATTTTGGACGATTTTTGAAGCCCCCCCCCCTCGTCACACATCATCACAAATATCTGACCCCCCCCCCCCCAGGTGCGTGACGTCATTTATGGACGACCCCTAAGTGCAAATCCAAATGATCACGTGGTTTTTTTTTGGTGCCATTACTGGTGACCAGGTCGCGACCAGACACGAAACAAAACAAAACTTGTTCTATTTTAAAAAAAGAGTCACGTGTGTGCACGATGCCAAACAACTCAGCACATCACTTGCATTGGAAAACCGAAATAGGCTCTAAGCAAGCCCGATGGACTTGGCAGCGTGGGCTAAGTGGCTGGCAGGCAATCTGGAGCACCATTGCTCAGCCCCTCTCTTGGCCAAAACCAACACGGTGCACACATTCAATTGGAAAATGCTTTAACGATCTGGGCATCTAATATTTAGAGTCAACAATATATTTACGTCGGGTAAAGCTGGTGGCTCTGTTTCGAGAATTTGGCAGTGCTATAAATGCGCTACATCTCCAACACAACACGGGGTGAGGGTTTCATTTCCATGTGACTGCATGTTAGGCATGCGATAACTGAACTCGTCCTGGACACAATCCCACTTCACGAACCCACGGTGGCCAGCCTGTTAGAGTATGGTCAACCAACCCCCACAACTGAAAGCTGTGTGGTGGGGGTTGCGGATTTGGCCTTCATCCAGCAGTGGGTTGATAAAGAGCAGTACATTCTGGACATTAGGCATGTAATCATTTCCGCATCCCCAATCCCCCTTCCTTGAAAAAAATGTATCGTTACAGACGAAGATCACAATTTTATTCAATAATCAATTGATTTATAGCAGCGGCGAATTTAGCACCTCTAGCGGCTGCAGGGGTGACATTCATCCATTATATTTGTGTTACTATATCCAGCGGTGTAGGGAGAACACCCGTTCCCTTATAGGTGATCTAATGCTTCAAAATCCATGCAGACAGCTCAACTTATCATTCGCTGCACTACCGCCTTGTGACGCATCAGTACCCCAAGCAACTGCTCAATTGAATATAGTATATTTTTGCACATTTACTGCGGTGTAGGGTGTTCGATGTTTTGTTTTTTTACCGCTTGACAAAAAAACCCACAATGTACTTATAACTTGCGTCTAGGCAAGGCTTCGCATTTGCGGGGACGGGTATAGCTCTCCGATGTTGTTCGCCACGATGTCTGATGTTTCGCCCCACGTGCCGAGAGATTCTTCAGAACTGAGCGAAATGTCGCAAGTCTTGCCGAACAGCACGGTGGCACAACCCGAAAACACATGGGAGGGCTATCTATGCACCTTTGTTTAACGTCTCTGACATACGAGGCGGTACGTATATGTAATGTATGTGCGTGCGTGGTTATGAACGCAAGCCACTTCGTTGAGCTATAATCTGTGGCCGGGTCACTTCTGAAAAAAGAAGCTCATGGCTCAGTGGGCTTTACCTGGTAAAATAAAAGTTGCCCAGTTTTTTTTCATGATTTGCTTAACCTTTCTATATTTTGCACTCCTATGGTGTTTTGATGTTGTGTTGTTGTAACTTTCTGACCCGCCCCAACTGGGCATCTGTGAAAAAGAGCTTCATAGCTCGTCGGATTTCTCCGGCATAAATAAAGGTTTCTAATTCTGTTTCAATGAGGCTACTGCCAAGGAAGAACAGAGCAGCCCCCAATGCTTGCGCATGGCTTAAAGGGCTGTGCACGTGCAAGAATTTGGAGCTCTTCGTCCGCCGCTGGATTTACTCAATGACACAACCTCCAGCGGGACAACGTATGCGGGCGGGAGGGAGGAGTGGGTGGGAAGGGTGGGAAGCCATCTGTAGACAGCTGCAAACCAAACTTGTTCAAACTTGAAAGAAAACGTTGGACAGACTGTTCACCCGCTGCAATTCTTAATATTTTGGCCCAATGTCAAAAGACGAGCGTAGTAAATATAATGTAATGAGGCCCAAACTTTTCAAATTGTTTGGGCCATGGGTGACTGGAAAGAGATACAGTATGTGTGTGTGTGTGTGGGGAGCGGTATTGCAGCGGTCAGTGCGCTGCACTACAAAACCAGTGACACAGATTTATTATTTGAACCGGTCCTGGACCTCCATTAGATCGACTCAGCCTGGTGCGATGTGCAAACATCACAACTCGGACGACAAGGGCGGCAGGGCGTGGTGCTGGTCACCCACCCTCCCGTGTGCCGTGCCGGCCTTCATTGGTGTTTGCTAACAGCACTTGCCCCAAAAATATGTTGAGGCTATACAGGGGATTTTTGTCCATGTCTTTATACATGTATATGACAGATACAAATATTTCCTATGTAATAGGGAGCGGTTGATTCGTGCATTACAATCACAATTACACTCGTTAAATTCTAAGCAATGCATGCCACTGTCAATTGGGTATTGGAACTTGGCTTAGACTTATCCTAGGTCAACCCTGCCTTAAATAAGTACCTGGTAGGTTGGTACACATTGATAACATCAATAAAGGAGGGGTGGGTGGCGGGGGACGAAGGCGTTTGCTGCCGGCTGCAACACCACCAAGCTTGAGGTTCCATTAAACTTTTCTGGGTGCTCGCTTACAGAGAGTTGGCTTCACGATGCATAATTCTCAATGGGGACCTTTGTCTTTGTAGGTGTGCGCGTGTGTGTGTGTGCGTGTTCACATGCTACGAACCCAGCGAGCCAAGTTCGATTCATGCTCACAGCCAACACCAGTGATGATTATCTGAACTGGTCCCGTGCTTCCCCTAGATCGACTCAGCCTCAAATGAGAACCTGGTGCGATGTGTAAACATCGTCACTTGGGAGATAAAGGCAGTCGGCGTGGTGCTGGCTACCCAACCCCTGGTGTGCCCTTCCGGCTTTTATAGGTGCTTCGTGAACAGCACTTGCCCCAACAGTCTGTTAAGGCTATAATAAGGGGGGGGGGGTCTTTGTGTGCGGCGTATGCTCACGTACTTGGGATGATCTTGCAGTATTTGCTGGAGGACAGGCGGCGAGGCCAGGATTGGAGCTTCATCGATCGCCGTGCTCGCCCAGAGCCAGCCCGCGCCTCCGGCGTGGCAGGCTGTGAGAGATGAGACACAGAGACGGATGAGGTGCAACTGATGTCTCACAACGACGAAGTGTCCTGGACAATGCGCGAGTGCGTTCACGTTTCACGTTTTCCAAATAAACTAAAATAAAAACATCATCCGTGATGTCCACGTGGGGCAGTTCCTTGCCGAGGCAGAGAGACGCTTGAGAACGAGCCGTGCACACACCCGAATAGCTCTCGCACTGAAGAGGAGCACCCATCACCAGCCGGGTGCTCGGTGACGGGACAGCCAGAATGTCCTCCCCTTCACAAAACCCGCGTGGTCACGTTCGCACTTCTTCGGTGGAGCAGTGGCATAACAGTAGCTCACGCACTGCGCTACAAACCCAGCGACCCGAGTTCCATTTACAGCCATGGCTACAAAATGAGCAGTGAGCGGTGTTAGAACTGGTACTGGGCCACCCATTAACCAACGTGCACTGGCCCACGTGGCGAAGTATGGTGGCAAACAACCCCCATGACTCAGGCTGCACGGGGAGGGCCTTCATTCATTCGAAAATTGACAAAGGGCTGCAATTTGTTTTAAACGCTTTTATTAGTTTGCATAAGTGTAAGAGATATAAGATTGGTCTTATATCTCTACGTGAGCAATAAAAGAGCACGTATCATTGTGTTGTCACTTCAAAAAAGACACCGAAGAGCTGTCAGTATGCATCCAAAACCGGCATTCACGTGCTCCGATGCTCAAGCGAGAGCATGGCGGTCAATGTCACTATCAGCAGTGGCGAGCGTGTGGTGGAATTTCCGTACTGCTATGCCCGAATAAGAAAGTTTTCAATCAGTGCATGCTGGCAGCCGTGAAAATATTGATCAGAAACAGACGAAGCTAATGGACACTGACAAAGGAAAAAACACACAAAAGTTGCGATGTGCACGAAGAAGCGCGGAGGAGATGCCCTTACGAGACGACGATTCGAACACATGGATCAGCAAAACAAACACAAATCAAAGACATCGCATTGACTTTCGACTTAAAACTTTCGTGACTGCAGGAAATCATATTCTTTGGTTCTTTCGGTAAAGTCACAAAATCCAGGACGTTTCGATCGCAACACCGCCTGTGTTGCGATCGAAACGTCGTGGTTTTTATTTGCATCATTCTTTTGTTCTACCTACGTGACTTTACCCAAAGGACCAAAGAATATCACATTGACTGTTGTGGCAAGTAATGCACTTCGACAGGACCCATCACCAGAAAGAGATGATAGCCGGCGGACAAGGCTGGTGTCAGAATTGTAGCCAGTGGAGGAAACACGATTGAGTTGATGACCACCGCGGAGAGCAGCAATGAGGTCGGCTCGCGTGCAGGAGAGACATGAATTGTGGCATTGTGGGCTGCGAGGATTGGCAATGGTGTGGGCAGGGTCTTTATCCACCAGTGGAGAGACAATGGATGGTGATGCTGATGATGATAGGTGGTAACCCCTTTAACCGAACCCAGAGCGACGATGGGCTGCGTGAACCCTAGAGGGATTTAACTTCGCTTGTGGTTTGGAAGCCCTGCTCCCGTACTGAATTATACTCTGGCCCAAAAATTATATATAACAAGGTCAATAAAAATGGCTAACAGGGCGATTGTTTGTTTTTACTGCCTCTGACAGACAAGGAAGATTCCACGCTTCAGCGAAATTGCCTTCTTTAGGAGGCGAGTCAGCCAAAACATTTCAAAATCTTCCTTTCCTCTTAGTGACAATAACAAAAACACCTGTTGCAATTTAAATAACCTGTTACATGATGCATTATCAGATGGCAGTGCAGCAAAATCCATCGTTGTACTGTACTATGATTCAATGTCTATGCTCCCCATCTTCGTCAACCTGCCCTAAAGGCGTTGTAAGGTGAACTAACCCCCCACGAGCAGCAAGGTGTGTGGAGGCCCTCATCCAGCAGTGGATTGACAAAATAGCTGTACAATATGATTGAATCCAACCAATACCACTTTCAAACAAAATACAGATGTTCATTCGGTCATGCATGGGATTCCCACGACAATTTAACGCCACTGGCAAAGGGAGAACAAGAGGCCATGTGGTTTTTGAACGACGCATTACAGAAATGAAGACCGGTGATGAAAGTTAGGTACACGGGCAGAATACAGATCGCTGGTTTCAAACTCATGATGATGGAGGGGGGGGGGTCTCCTTCGAAGGATTGAGGGTTCTCTTTCCCAAGCAAAACATCGTTGTCCTCAGAGGTATTCGAATTGCTCACCTGTGGGTCGTGACTGGACTTGACGTGCAGGCCAGACCTCCTGCTCACCAGATGGGGGAGGCCCAGCGAAGCAGGGGCAGCTGCTCCAGCGAGGGGTTCAATAAACAGTTGCTCTTCTCCAAAACGGATGAATCCCAGCTGTCGGCAGTGAACAACAACAAACAAATACACCCTCGTTCAATCTCAAGGGGTGGGAATGGTCAGGGGGTGGATGCTTTATGTGTTTTCCTGAGCATTGTTTCGCGTTACTTGATTAGGAAGAATATAATGCGCGTGCAAAGCGCAACATCTTAAAACGTCGCTTCGTAATACGGCACGGGAATTCGAGCCATAAATGGCGAACCGTGTGTAATCTATCCTCTGGCGCGTTCCTATTTAACTGGTTAAATCACCCGCAGCTTAAGCCGTCACACTGCCCATCGTCTTACGAAAATAAAGCAGGTATTTATCTCCGAGACAGTTGCCTTAAGTCTATTTAATGTCACCTCTTCATCCCAAACACCTCGAGTGACTTGCAGGAAAAAATTGCGTGGCGCACTATTTCCATCGTATTAAACGTAAGTGTATAAATCCATTCGCCAGGCAGCAGATAAAACTAATTTCTTGAGAACGAATGTTTGCGTTTAGTTTGTTGTTCTTCCTCCGGCACCTCCGATTAGCAAGGTTGGCGACGCACGGTGCGAAAGAAGTTCAACATCATGCACACCAATGCAAGCATCTGATTTTTGTTACCAATGATAATTTACGTCCATTTTGCCAATCCACTGCCGGATGAAGATCTCCCCCTATGCCGTTATCAGTCACGGCAGTTGTCAGCGCGTGTTGGAGAAACGCCACTTATGTGAGCCATATCCAGGCATCAAACTCAGATTTCCTGGGTTCACGGGACAGTGCACTCTCCACTTCGCCGCGCCCTGCCACTATTGCAATCACGGTAATTAAAATACCGCTCTTGAATCCTGGTGCAAGGATATAAGGACTTTCAATCGACATTCCTGTACCTTGGAAGTTAAAATTACAAGGGGAGCGAAATCCGTGCACTCATGGCAAGGTTGCGTTTAGACTAGGTAGGGCGCAGAGCCTTGATTTTCCAATCAAGATTTTTTTTTTATATCAAGCGGCTTCACCCAGTGAGGCATTAATTTGACCCCCAGGAGGGGGGGGGGGCTCGGCAAAGGGGGAGCCAGTGGGAGACTTCAAACGTATTCCGTTTCCACTTGATTAAAAGCAACATAATCACAGCAGACCGCAGTGTGCTTGTTTGTTGGCGGTGGGGGGGGGGGGAAAGTAGGCTTTACGAATTCATCTTTCTCCCCGCAGACACAATACAACCAGCGAGCGGTATTTATAGCAAAAAAGAGGCCAGGGCATGGGTGAAAACGTACTTCAACGATGTGGGCAATGAAATTTTGTGATCGCATTATGCGTGATTATGTCCCAGCTACTTTCTTAGTTAAAAGCGCACCCGCCTGCTTCTGCACATGGGACACGCGTACACGCACGCACACACCCACGCACGCACACACGCACGCACAGACCCACGCACAGAACCACGCACACACACGCACACACACCCACGCACACACACACACACACACGCACGCACACACCCACGCACACACCCATGCACACCCACACACACACCCACGCACACACACACCCACGCACACACGCGCACAACATTTACCAGGCAGCAAAGGGCTTCTTGAAAAGGCTATTTCAGGCGTCTCCAACGTCATGGAGCCCTCACTCCACCTTTGATCTAGAAAACCTAGCAAACTAGCCCGACATGTTGAATAACCTACTTTTTGTTGTGGATCAGAGCAAAATGAGCGGGTGTGCGCCTGCTGAAGTATAATGCGCCGAGGCAGGAGGGGCCGATGACGACGACGATGATGATAACACGATGTAACACAATTTTTGTGCCTGGTTAGTAAGTGTTATTTCGTAATTGCTTATGCGTAAAAAGTATAGAAAATGGATATTATTATTCCCCATAAACTTTGCTTTTGTGACCAGGACAGTGATGGATTTTTTTTAATTGACCTATTTTCAATGTGAAAACGGGTGAATTTGTGTCTTTTCGTTCACATAAAGTCAGAAAAAGCAACATATTAATAAAAATGTACGTGTATTTATACTAACGAAATACAAAAATTACTACAAAAGATTTAGAAGTGAGTAGTTTTTCGAGATTTACGATTATACTGTAAATCACTTTCATGAATCAGCCCCCAAATGTAGTCTCCCATCATGTTCTCGTTATACTGTCCTTGGTAGCGGCGTGCAAATTCCAGTATATCCTGGTGGAAGCGCTCGCTTTCCTCCTCCGAATAGGCTCCCATGTTCTCCTAGGATTTATTAAGCTGAGCATCAAGGATATGGACTTTGAGGGACATCCTACATCCCATTGTGCCGTAGTTCTTCACCAGAGTCTGAACCAGCTCCACATAGTTCTCGACCTTGTGATTGCCCAGGAAGCCACGAACCACTGCGACAAAGCTGTTCCAAGCCGCTTTCTCCTTACTCGTGAGCTTCTTGGGGAATTCATTGCACTCCAGGATCTTCTTTATCTGTGGTCTGACGAAGACACCGGCTTTGACCTTTGCCTCAGACAGCTTAGGGAAGAAGTCTTGAAGGTACTTGAAGCCTGCCGACTCCTTATCTACAGCTCTGACAAATTGTTTCATAAGGCCTAATTTAATGTGCAGTAGTGGCATCAGCACCTTCTGGGGGTCCACCAGTGGCTCCCACTTGACATTGTTCCTCCCCACAGAGAACTCGGTCCGCTGTGGCCAGCCCGCCTGTGGTAGTGCGCCTTGGTGTATAAATCTTTTTGTAGTGATTTTTGTATTACTTAAGTATAAATACATGTTCATTTTGATGACTTTATGTGAACGAAAAGACACAAATTCGCCCGTTTTCTCATTGAAAATAGATAAATTTCAAAATATCGTTGTCCTGGTCACAAAAGCAAAGTTTGTGGAGAATAATAGCCATTTTATACACTTTTAAGGCATAAGCAATTACGAAATAACACTTACTACCCAGGAACAAAAAAAAATTGTCACACAGTGTTATGTGATGATGACGATGCTATTAACGTAACGATGGCAATGTGATGATGTTCGTGACGATGATGACAATGTGATGATGACGTTGGTGATGATGACGTGATGATGCTGAAACGATGTAACGATGAGGACGCTGTCGACGATGTGCGACTGATGTTAACGCGACCTCCGTGCTGTTAGCAAGCTGTTGGTGCCTCTAGGCACGTTGCGCTGTGATATCGCCGCTGCCTGTAGAAGTATAACGAGGCGAGGCCCGAGGGGCAACCCCCCCACCACCACCGCTTGCTGTCACGGTCTGGCACTCCCCACAAAGTTGGCGTGGCGCCAGGTCGGGTAGATTTGCTCTCTCTCTCTACTTAAACCTGTTGGCTGATATTATTAACACGTGCGGCAAATATTCCCTGACAATTACCTCTCTCTCGCCCACCCTCGACTCCCCCTCCCAACACAGCACATCATCCCTTTGACCCCTATTTTCCAACCTCCAAACAGGCACACCTACACCCCATCTACGTCCCCCTCCACTCGCAAAAATGGCCCTCATGCCTCCCCCCTCCACTGCATGCTTGCGAGGTGAATTAAACCCTTGCAGAAGGAGACATGTCACTTTAAAGGCCTTACTTATCTGGCAGAGGTGTCCACAATTCACCCTGCTCAAAACAAAGTTTCCATGGATACAAACACCCGTCGGCTCAAGATGTCGTAACGCCTCTCAATATAGTCTTACTTAGCCTCGGCAATTGCTACGTCAACTTAAGCAAACACTTTTTTTTTCTCACCATTATCGTCATTTCGCGTGTCTGCTAATAATAGGCTTCACTCACCAGGCCGTTACACATATTCAATGTCACGGCGGAGTTGCGCTGCCCATGCACGAACCCACTGTAAAAGCACAGCTTCTCCTCCTCCGTCAATGTGTTTTGGACATCTCCGACGCCCGAGTTGTTTTTGGCCACGGATCCGCCGTCCCTCGACGGCCCCTTCAAATCTCCGTCGCCGTGTGCGTTCTTCGCGGGAGCGCCGCGCCCCTCTTCCCCGGCGTCGGTCGGAGCCGGCGCTCCGGCAGCATCCCCGGCGCCATCCGAGCTCCGCGGAGTCCGGTGGCTCCCGGGCGGCGAGCCTTCGACGGAAGCGGGGTCACGGGCCTCGATCGAGAATCCCTTGGCGAGGAAGCGGGCATCCCGTCGCAGCATGAGCACCATGCTCCTCCCGAACGGGGAGAGCCGCACGCGCAGCCTCTCCCCCGGCGGCGACGGGGAGCCCCTGGCCCAACGGGCTGCACTTTGGAAGGAACTCGACGGGTCGGATCCGGGGCGGGCTGCTGGAGCCGAAGCCGAGTAATTTTCGTGCGCGGAGACTTTGGAGGAGGAGGTGGCTGCAGCATGGCCCTGGATGGTTTTCGCATCGGGGCGAATGCCCTTCTGCGGGCCAACACTGGCACCCGGTCGAGGAGGCTTTTCTCCAGTTGAACTGGGCTGAAAATGCACCAAGACAGGAGTGACCACGTCAGTCTGATGTCGTTCCAGCATTTTATTCTCCAGCCTCACCGATTCTGCAAAAATGCATACAACATATCACTTGTTATATTTTTTTGTATAATTCACAGCTCTCTTTTTTAAGAGAAAAAAAAAACCTGCCAACCCACACACACGCACAGAGACACACACCGGCTCTACAGTACACTTATGGTTTTATTGGAACGAGAAGCACGCAAAGCAAGAATGACAAAATTGCAGGAAGAAATCCCCAGATGAGAATCCAGAGCGGTGAACCGTCAGAACCCAGGCAGCTCCACGCGCTCTGCAGGGTCCTTGTGTTATTGTTATTGTAATAAAATCCTTTATAGCGGAACAGGTGCGGAGGACTCTTGGAACCAGGGTGGGCCGTTAGGGGCGTAAGACCAAAACCAGTATACCCGAGACTAATTTGACAATTTAGGTTTTGTTATTTAATAGGAAATAATCATGTGAATTGCTCATTTGCAACAACAAAAAAACTGGGAAAGGTGGATGGGGTTGGGGAAAGAGAAATTTGCGCAGATTTTTTTCCAGACTGCATACTTCATTTTATAGGACATTACATTGGACTGGAAACAAAAACAGAATTATTTTCTAAGAATGTTACCGTGCCTTAGTTTGGTTCTACGAGCCCCACATGCTTAAATTAACCTTTAAAATCCTCAACAACCGCAAATAAAACAATTCCCCATATAAACGTGCATACTGGATGACCGTTGATGCACACGTCTTCTAAATACATAAACAAATATCACAGGATATAACTAAATAATGTAGTCGCAAAATTGAACATTAAACCACGATTATTTACCAAACCCAACAACGAACGGGCACAATTGTAAAAGTGCCCATCCAGTCAAGTATAACTGTTCACATGTATATTTTGTCACTGTAACTGTAGGATAAACTTGCAAAGCATCTACAACCCACAGAGGCTGAACAGAAAAAAAACAGAATACACAGAGAACACCATCATCATCATCATCGCCATCATTCTCATACCTCCAGTGCCTCCACAGCAGCATAAGAAGCAGCTGATCCACAGCGGCACGGCCACAGTCACCTGCAGCATGAGCAGCCGAGGGGAACTTCGGACTGGAACTTTCATTTTGCTGAGTCGGCCTTTAAAAAATATATTAATAAAAGGAAGAAGAAAAAAACGCACAGCACAAAGTAAAAAAAAATTAAAGCAAAACAACCCCCCCCCCCCCCCCCCCCAAAGCCGCAAGAGACTGCGGCAAGATGCTTCTGAGCCGTGCGCTTAAAACAAAATGCAAAGCAAAAAACGTTTTTTTGGGACAAAATTACATGGCACTGTTGGAGTTACCACCCTACCACAACCCACCCCTCTTCTTCACCCAGTCCCGCCGGCTCCCCCCCCCCCCCAACTCAGCCACCCCTAAACCCTCCCCATTACACAGAGAGAGAGAGGCACGGCAAAATGCGCATTGAACACACGCACCAAAAAAACCAGGTGCCGCTCTGGAACCCGTGGCGGGCCAGTGTTACGTAAAGATTTCTCGTTTCACCACACGCACACACATCCCTCCCACCCATCCACCACCACCACATACACCTCTGTATTCTTATATATATTCTCTCTCGCTCCCTCACTGATGGTTAGCTAGATAGTGTTGGCTGTGCCTTTGGTCGGTAACAAATACAAGTTGGAGCCCCTGCACCCTAACACTCGCTGGCGGAAGGCCCTCCGCTAAAGAAGAGAGTTTCTAGGAGAGAGTTTCTCGGAGAGAGAGAGACCCTCTCGAGGTTATTTCGGCCTCGTCTCTCTCTCTCTCTTCCACGCTGGCAAGACGTCTTTATTATAGCTAGCTAAATCGGGATTCCCCAGGAGTGGGACTGGGATAGAGCCGTGCATTGTGGTTTTCAAAGGAATGTTTTCAGCGTTGAATGAATGACAAAACAAAATATACGTTAAAGAAATATATTTTTAAAATCGTAAATTATCTATGATCGTTCACTCGCCTCGGTTGCAATGTATTCAATAGGCACGCCTCCAACCTATTCACCTGCTTCTTGTTTGAAAATGCGAATGTGTAGAATTCACGTTATAAAATATGTGAATATTCGAACGTATAACTACGTTTCAACATAATTAACTATATATACTGTACTATACACATAACTTGTACACTGGCTCTTTGTATCCTGTGCTGTGATTATACACTTGGGTGTACACTTTAAACAAACTCACAATGAACTAACAATTAGCCCTCTGGCAGACTCGTCTCTCGAGATTTGCCAGAGTTCTGACGGGCTGTCTGCTGCTCTTAAGCACCCACCGAGCGCTGGCTACGTTCGGTGCGAAAAAAAAGTCAACAAAAACACGAACGTGAAAAATGATGTAGTCAATACGCTGACGATGACGGTGGCAATGTGAGGATGGCATTATAGTGTGACTATTATAGCAATGTGATGATATCGCTGATGGTGGTGACGATGATATTGACAATACGACGATGATGATAACAACGTGATGATAATGTGATGATGTTCGTTGGTGATGAGAACAATGCGATGATGCCGATGATGACCACGCGACGACGATGACGTTGTCGATGCTGGTTGATGGTGGTGGTGATGTACTCCTGATGTGAACGCGACCTCCGTGCTGCAGCGAGCTGTTGGTGCCTCTCGGCACGAGTGCGCTCCGAATCGCACCCCCCCCAACCACCTCCCCAGCACGCAGAAGGGGGGGGGAGGGGGAGAGGCTTCCCCGCTGCAGGTGATTGGACGACGGCTCAAACATTCATCTCCTGCGAGCGCTCCCAACTCAGACAAAGACAAAGATCCCCCGGTATGAGCTTAACAGACTGGCGGGGCAAGTGCCGTTCGCGAGCACGGCACACGAGGGGGTGGGTGGCCAACACCACGCCCGGCCGCCTTTGTCTCTCCCAGTGGCGATGTTTACACACCGCACCAGGTACTCATTTGAGGCTGAGTCGACCTAAGGGAGGCCCGGGGGACCGGTTCAAATAATCGCCACTGGTGTTGGCCGTGAGCGGGAATCGAACCCGGGTCGCCAGGTTGGCAGTGCAAGGCGCTAACCGCTACACTACCGCTCCCCAGAACATGCACGTTCACACACGCACACGTGGATACACATGCACGCGCACTCCCAGACAGCCAAGTGCACGCACACGCACGCGTACACTCAAGTACACTGACAAAGACCCCCCCCCCCCCCGTATAGCCTTTAACAAACTGTTGGGGCAAGTGCTGTTAGCGAGCGCTTATTTAGGTCGGGGATGAGTGGCTAACACCGCGCCCGGACGCCTTTGTCTCTCTAGTGACGATTTTACACATCGCACCAGGTACTAATTTGAGGCTGACTTGACCTATGGGAGGCCCGTGACAAATTTCAAATATTCGTCACGTATGTTGGCTGTGAGCGGGAGTCGAACTCGGGGCACAGTGCGCTAACCACTGCGCCACCGCTCCCCACTGTGGCACCTACATCCATTGCACGTACATACATCTACACACTGTCAACCCACACCCCCCACGCTCCTTTCACACTGATAATCAAGCAACTGATTATGGCGGGGAAACTGTAAACTTTACGAAACATTAATTTCTCCATTGTACAGTGTGTAATATCTAGCCTTATAAAGTATTCTGAAAGAGGCCAGTCAGCCTAAACGTCCATATTCCTGTTATTTTCTCTTAATAACAGGAATAGAAAATGTATTACAGTATTTGCAACTCCACTTATATTTCATTTGATATCCTGCATTATTTTATAATATAGCTTAATAAAGTTCAATATTTAGTTTTGTTTTAACGACCAATTTTGTCCACAAATGTGTAACAACGCACAATAGAGAGGTGATATTCATTCGGTTAATAATGCCAAAGATAAACTCTCAACTGAAAAAGTGACCTTCATGGCCGACATACCTGCAAATGAAATATTTTACATTGACAATTGCGTTTTATGGTTTTGCGTTCTTAGTTCTCATCAGGCAGCCACTGTAGCAAGGGCTCTCTTGCCAGATTTGACATCAGAAGGGCAGGGGATGCCAAGCACCGGACAGCAGAGGGCACTGAAGCAAAAAAAACACCCCGTTGTTGGACTGCATATCTGTGCTATTTAAGTCACGCTCCTCCGCTTTCATCACCAACGTCATCGAGACATGCCCGGCTTGTGTGGTATCAAAGTCTTGTCACATTAACCCCCCCGCCCCACGATCCACACTTGGTGGGATGGATCTCATCCAGCAGTGCACGCACGTATTAAATAAACTCATTAAAACAATTTTAAACAACGGTTTAGTTAACAACTTCGTTTAACTCACGGCCGAGAAGTACGTGAATGGTGCGGCGCATGCTCCCACATGAACGCTTACTTGAATTAATAGATCACTTCTGTAACTCGTTCACAAGGAGCAGGAGTTTGACCTACACAAATATATAAATAATAAGGCGTCCATACTAAATGTAAATTGCTTTAAAATAGCGAATTAATTGATTGATTGATGCCGATTTTGACACAGGCATGCATTGTCACCGGATCTGAGTAGGTGTGCAAAATGTGGAATTGATTGGACAACGGGAAGTGGACTAACTTTTCGATTTAAAGCTTTCGTGACTGCAAGGATTCATCTTCTTTGGTTCTTTCGGTAAAGTCACCACGTAGAATGAGAATAAAATAATAAATTGATAAAATAAAATAATAATTCATATTCTTGGTTCTTTCGGTAAAGTTACGTAGAAGGTAAATAATAAAATAATGCAAATAAAACAATAAAATTCTCACGACGCTTCCATTGCAACACAAGCAATCATCATCAGGTGTGAAAACCACACCTGATGATGACTTTAGCGAAAGAACCAATAATAAATTTCGATTTAAAGCTTTCGTGACTGCAAGGATTCATCTTCTTTGGTTCTTTCGGTAAAGTCACGTAGAATGAGAATAAAATAATAAATTGATAAAATAAAATAACACAATAATATTCTCACGACGTTTCGGCCACAACACAAGCGGCCTTCATCAGGTGAAGGGACGAGACTGTCTGGTAGGACAGCGCTGGAGTGAAAGAGCCACGTTCAGATCACGCTGTTCTCCAGACAGTCTCGTCCCTTCACCTGATGAAGGCCGCTTGTGTTGTGGCCGAAACGTCGTGAGAATATTATTGTGTTATTTTATTTTATCAATTTATTATTTTATTCTCATTCTACGTGACTTTACCGAAAGAACCAAAGAAGAAGAACCAATAATACTTCACTGCATTTCACTGTAGCACTGTATATAACTGACCTTCAATTTGTTCAAATTCACTGCTCTGATACTTTATTCTCTTCTTCTTTCGGTCGCTGGGGTTGAAATAAAATGGAAATCGATACAATATCTGGAAAACCACCGCGAAATGTCTATTTTGCCATAATGTAGAAGCATAAATTAGACTTGCCTTTTGTCTCAAGTGCTGAAGAAATAAATAAAGACACCAAATCTACTTTGTTGCTGCGTTGAATTATTTATTAGATTCACTTTCAATAAAGAACCGTCAAACTTAAAGCGAATTTGCGAAAAAAATTATTTACGCTCGACCTTCTGCGTGAGTGTAAACATCCACCCGCTCATGAATATTCATGAGGAGGGGGGGTGAAGCATGTGGAGTGACGTCACGCACGTGGCACACAGACAGACATTATTGGCTCATTATTTTAGTAATGTGTTGACTACAAAAAAACATTGACGCTACCTTGGTGTATTGACTATCAGGCTGAAATTGCAATCTCGGAGGGCGTTGGATCGATCTCCCTGCACGAGCAGTCGAAACAATGGGGAAAGGTTCCTAAATCCCGTCCACCAAGAAGTATAAATGGGTATAAGTTACTGTGAATGGGTTGATCGGCAGGTCGCGAGTAGTGGGGCAATGCGCGGGTGCCTCCCACGTCTTTCAAGACGTCGTCAGGGGGCTCTACGGAACGCTGGCTGGTTGGAGGCCTTTCTACCAGCAGCAGCATGGGCAAAGCAATTGCAGGGCTGCACCGTTACCTTTCGCTTCCCTTAGCTCACATAGCGGCACTCACGGACTCCTCACCCGCTTCACCTCTCGTCTCCAAAGGGAGCCGCTCTTCACTCTCCCCACTCATCCACAAAGCATTTCTCCAAACCCGAGCGTTATGAATTGGCCAGATTCCACTTGTTGACAAACACACATAACCCAAGCGATGTGGCCCATTGTTAATGAAGGTAATGGACTTTAATCTAATTCACATTCGCCAACACGTGAAATAGGCTTAATGTTTTTTTTGCCTTTTAGCCACATGTAGGTACACACACAGCATGGGAATTGACATTGTGCTGAGTGGTGCTCTAGTGCAGCGGTTAGTGCGCTGCATTTCGAACCTTTCGACGCAAGTTGAATTCCTGAAATTGGCTAATATCAATGGCAAGTGATATCGGAACTAATCCTGGGCCTCTCCATCTCTCACCAACCTACATTAAATCAGTGTGGAGAGGTATGGTCAAACAAGCCCATGACCGATATGGCACTGGTGGCCTTCATCCAGCAGTAGATTAATAAATGGCTGTAAATAATGGTACATTACTACATTCTTATACATATTCTTAGCTCTTTCGGTAAAGTCACGTTGAAGGGAAACAATAAAGTAATAAAATATATATTAAACAATAATATATATTTTAAGAATATATCTAAGAATATGAATTACTGCAGTCACGAAAGCTTTAAATCAAAATTCTTATACATTGCAAGTGGTATATAAAACATCGTACGTTACCACAATCACCGTGGTATCTGGAGGCCTTCATCCAACAGTGGATTGACAAAGGGCTGATTATTCATGTTAATAAACATACAAGGGGCCTGTCTCACCACATTAAAATAAATGAACACTTTAGTCGAGTGGTTCTTAACCGTTACTGCAGCCTTACACCCCTTTGGTTGTCAAACGTAAATAGTTTTTTATAATGTTAATAAATACCTCGGTTTGATGAAAAACATTAGTTGGACTTATGTGACCGTGCTTAATTTACAAGACGCTTTGATACATTAGCGGAAAGCGCCTTAGAAATTAATGTCAATTATTATTGTTAATAATTTGTTTCGATGATTTACCTTCTAAACGAATCTGGCATGTCTGGCACCCCCAGAAAGGGCATCTCACATCCCCAGGGGATGCCTGCACCACACTGCTTTAGTCAATCGGCCTAGTGAACTTCTGAACCAACATTTTTCCAGCAGCATTTGCTCAAGCAGGCGCCATTGTGTGAGAGGCCCTGCACTTCACCAACCCGTACTAACCAGCGTGGTGAAGTATGGTCAAACAACTCCCATGATTGGCATGGCCTGGGGAGGTCTTCAGACAGGAGCAGATTGATAAAGGGCTGACAGATATTTTTGTTTAATTATAAGGAGCAGAATCTTATTTTCTTGCATTTTTTGGCCTGGCTGATGGTGTTATACACTGCCATTTCAAACGATTGAAATCGCGTGTCATGCAACTTTCATGAATTCCACTTGGAGTGCCCATGGTGAAAAGTTCAGCTTAAACTATAGTTAAATCAAGAGCCTCGTACGGGAATATCGATTTAAACATCATATAATACTCGTATCATGTATGGATTATTAAGTAAATTAGTTTAAACTTTTATCAATGCGCATATAATAACTCCAATTTGTACTTGTAATCTATCGTTTGAAGTCACATGTTCTGGAACACAAAATGTGAATAATAGAGATCACCGTGCATCGATGTGTTTGAAAATGTAGCGTGCAAACGTTCATTGGTGATGTGTGCAACAGTGCAATGTAACAAGTCGTATGTGTGAGTTGTTACGCGAACCTGGACTTTAAGTCCATAGCGCTTGCAATCACTTTGATCTATTTTCTTGCCCATTACACATTACAGTTCGCATTGTGTCCACTGGCGTTACAAGTATGAATACTGTGATGCGTCGTTCACACGTTGCAAGCTCTCTCCCATCTCTCTCTCTCTCGATGTTATTCCAAGCGTGCATCTCTCCGCGCTTCTGTGCGCACTTGTCACGGTGTTCTACATCGATTTCCTACGTCTCTGATCCACACGTAGTAGCAAAGAGCACAGCGCAGGTACAATGACGTCATGTCGACCGCCAATAAACATTTGGCGGCCTTGTTGCGGGACGCGTCGCGAGAAGGGGGTCGAGAGTCAGGACGGCGGTGGTAGCCAAGGCAGGGGAAGTCACTCGGGAGCCCGCTCGAGGTGGCCACAGCTTGGATAAGCCCTTCGCCCAGCGCTGGATTGATCATAGCTGCCGCTTCATGACGAGGATGACAACATCGCGTGCAAGTGTCGCGTGCAGCCCTTGAAGTTGTGCCAAACAACAGAAAATCATTTACATCCCAAAGCCACCGTGCAGCGCACGCCATACGAGAAGATATACTCACCGTTCATTCACAGCACCGTCAGTTACCAAACCCATCCCATGGGCTTACTGGAATAAAGATACTGCGCACGGAGGCACGAAGTGCTGCAGATTAGTTTTTTTTCTCTTATTCGAATTGCGCACCGCGTTGCATTTGGCCGGGAGCAAAGGCCAGCATGTGAGTGAGCCAGGCGTCGTGCGCGCGCTGAGAGCGCCTGTCAAAAGCTGCGCAGGCCAACACAGACAACTAACCCATGCAGCACATTCATGTACACGTTCACTCGCGGCTTCATTATGAACCCGTCAATTGGCAAAGCGTTGCGAGGAACTCTCGCAGGGAACAATTGGGGGCGTGCGTCGATATATTAGCGAGTGGCATTATAGAAACCCTAGATAATAGCTGGCCAACCCTTACGGACACGTTGAGTAATTAATGCACTTTGACTCTCCATTCTTCCCTTGATTTTTTTTTTAATGTGTGTGGCTTTTTTTTATGGACGTAAATTTGCAAAACAATAAGGGTCATTAGAATTCAGCTACGAGCTCACTGGGGCCACACTGGCAACAGCGGACTTCACAGGACGCTCTCTCCAGACGACGGAGCTCTACAAGTGCCACTGTAGCCTCACACCTTGGCCGTGCGTCACACGCATCCCGGTGAAATTGCGGTAACACCGTGCTCGTAACGCGTGGGCAACTGCCGCACAAAACCGATCTGCCTGCCTCGACGACGTCTCCCCCCGCAACGCGCGCTGACGGATGCCCTTGAGTGGCCTATTGAACGGCGAGCGGCGGTGCAAAACAAAACAAAAAATCCCGTGCGAGTTTTTTTTTTTTTGCCGAAGGAGAATGCTCGCTTTGGTGCGGGCCACCCCCCCCTCGCTCGCTCGCTCGAGCCGACCGCGCCGATGGTTTATTCCGCAAAGGACGTGGGGCCACCTCCTAACGACTCGCGTCTGTGGAATTGCGAAAAGCCACACAAGTTGCGGCGGCCAGCTGTGCGCCTTTTGTTATCCCGGGAGGCCCCCCACCACCACCCCCCGCCCCCCCCCCATTTTTTCCCAGCATTGCGTGGACAAAAGTCAGTGCCCTTTCCAGTCTGGTGAAAGAGGGATTTTTTTTTGTTTAAGATTTCCACAAAAGATCCTCACGTATTGAGTGCTCGGATACTGTGAGCTAAAAATAAAAATAAATGTGTCCCAGTTTGCATTCTTTCTGCTTATCCAGGCGTCAAAAAAGTTCCGAAACTTAATAAGGAGGGCAAGGAGACGCGTGAAGCGTTTTCAAATAATTTAAGTCCGCGCCTTTTGTAAGCGTAAGTATTGCTGCGTTCAGAAAAAAAAAGAATTGCAAGTCATATCGGTGTTTTGAAATGTGTTTATTTTAGCGTGATCCTTACCTTCCTGCCGTGAACGTTTTTTTTTTAGGAATGCCACTCTTTCCGTTCTCCATTTGTTTTGCGTTGTCGCCGCCAACTTGAACGGCCAGTTGAATTATGCAGTTCGCTTGCCGCTCACCGGAGCTGTCGTGTAAAACGAAAACGCCAAACCGGGAGATTCGCGCGCGTATCGCCCTCCGCGATGCATTTTCTGCAACGTCGCTAAACCTTGCAGAGCACAGCGCAGCTACGAATGCGGTGCCGTTATCGCCCAAGCGTTACACACGCAACCAAGAGTCATAAGGGCGGTTTGTGCAGCACTGTTTTTGAAACGCGCATCAAACTTTCCTCCATTGGTTTGTTCCAAGCAGCGTCGAAGGTGAAGAGTCGCACTGAGATGACAGGCTGACGAAAGCGGGTAGAACAAGATGCGGTGCAGATTTGGTCACTTCAGTTCAATTCAAATCTATGTATATATTGTTTAATAACGTTAGTGTCCGTGGAAATGTTTGTATGAGAATTGGATTTTTGTAGAAAATCCAATTCTCATAACATTTTTGAAGCAATATTTTGATGATCAAACTTTGGTTAAGATACCAATTGCCCCACTCTCTAAAACCTAATGCCTCAATTTAAATTCCAGACCTCAGCTCACGTCAGCTGCCAGGGGTAGCTGAACCGGTCCTGGATATTTGCTTCACCAATTTGCACTGACCAGCGTGGCGAAGTATGGTCAAGTAACCTCCTTGGCCAACAATTCATGGGGAAGTCTTCATCCCACAGTGGATTGGCAAAGGCCTGTAAATTATTATTATATTTTTAACATTCACTTTAAGCTATTTGGGCGTGTGCTCTAGTAATTGCTTGCAGACTTCGCTGGGCGATGAAAATCGATCTGTCGACTCCGTGCAAGCCAGCTTTGGTAGCAAGGGTGCCGACCACTGCACTGCTTAACCATGCACCGTAAATTCACTCCGGTGACTATGGTTAATTCAAGCGGGGATATATCTGGATACAGTGAGGGAAAAAAAGTATTTGATCCCCTGCTGATTTTGTACGTTTTCCCACTGACAAAGAAATGATCAGTCTATACTTTTTATGGTAGGTTTATTTGAACAGTGAGAGACAGAATAACAACAGCAAAATCAAGAAAAACGCATGTCAATTTTTTTTATAAATTGATTTCCATTTTAATGAGGGAAATAAGTATTTGACCCCCTCTCAATCAGAAAGATTTCTGGCTCCCAGGTGTATTTTATACAGGTAACGAGCTGAGATTAGGAGCACACTCTTAAAGGGAGTGCTCCTAATCTCAGCTCATTACCTGTATAAATGACACCTGTCCACAGAAGCAATCAATCAATCAGATTCTAAACTCTCCACCATGGCCAAGAGCAAAGAGCTCTCCAAGGATGTCAGGGACAAGACCTACACAAGGCTGGAATGGGCTACAAGACCATTGCAAAGCAGCTTGGTGAGAAGGTGACAATAGTTGGTGCGATTATTCGCAGATGGAAGCAACACAAAAGAACTGTCAATCTCCCTCGGCCTGGGGCTCCATGCAAGATCTCACCTCGTGGAGTTGCAATGACCATGAGAACGGTGAGGAATCAGCCGAGAACTACACGGGAGGATCGTGTCAATGATCTCAAGGCAGCTGGGACCATAGTCACCAAGAAAACAATTGGTAACACACTCCGCCGTGAAGGACTGAAATCCTGCAGCGCCTGCAAGGTCCCCCTGCTTAAGAAAGTACATATACATGCCCGTCTGAAGTTTGCCAATGAACATCTGAATGATTCAGAGGACAACTGGGTGAAAGTGTTGTGGTCAGATGAGACCAAAATGGAGCTATTTGGCATCAACTCAACTCGCCGTGTTTGGAGGAGGAGGAATGCTGCCTATGACCCCAAGAGCACCATCCCCACCGTCAAACATGTAGGTAGAAACATTATGCTTTGGGTGTTTTTTCTGCTAAGGGGACAGGACAACTTCACCGCATCAAAGGGACGATGGACGGGGCCATGTACCGTCAAATCTTGGGTGAGAACCTCCTTCCCTCAGCCAGGGCATTGAAAATGGGTCCTGGATGGGTATTCCAGCATGACAATGACCCAAAACACACGGCCAAGGCAACAAAGAAGTGGCTCAAGAAGAAGCACATTAAGGTCCTGGAGTGGCCTAGCCAGTCTCCAGACCTTAATCCCATAGAAAATCTGTGGAGGGAGCTGAAGGTTTGAGATGCCAAACGTCAGCCTCGAAACCTTAATGACTTGGAGAAGATCTGCAAAGAGGAGTTGGACAAAATCCCTCCTGAGATGTGTGCAAACCTGGTGGCCAACTACAAGAAACGTCTGACCTCTGTGATTGCCAACAAGGGTTTTGCCACCAAGTACTAAGTCATGTTTTGCAGAGGGGTCAAATACTTATTTCCCTCATTAAAATGCAAATCAATTTTAAAAATTTTGACATACGTTTTTCTGGATATTTTTGTTGTTATTCTGTCTCTCACTGTTCAAATAAACCTACCATTAAAATTATAGACTGATCATTTCTTTGTCAGTGGGCAAACGTACAAAATCAGCAGGGGATCAAATACTTTTTTTCCCTCACTGTATGAGAGGACGTATACGAGAGATTGAGGGATTGTGGAGATGCAAGGCCAGCGAATGCCTCCCCCAGCGCCACCCCTCCTCCAAGCCCTGAATCACCCCCACCCCATCTCTCACCCCCCTCCACCCCACAGCTCCAATCCCATACACGTACGCAAGTACACGCCGTGTCACAGCAGGACTATTGCTGAGCTCTCAAGGGCACGTGTCAAAGGTGGAGCAGTGTTAGTGCAGGTATTGCAGTGTCCCACAGAGCAGCGTGTATCAGGCCCACAGCCGTTGCTTGTTTTAAGAATTAACAAAGAACAATTTTAATACAGCCACCAATGTTCCTTGTCCACAGGGGGTCTTCTCACTTGACCTAAGGAGTGCGTGCAGTGCTAATGCGCAGAAAAATGTTTTTGCCCATTTTCCTGGTGTGAATTGATGGATGTTTCTTTGCTTTCAAAAAAAATGTGGCGAGAAGGAGGTGGGAGGGAAGAGCTAAGAAATGGCAAGCTAACGTCTTCTCCAGTTCTGCAGTTCCTCTCGACTTGACCACAATTTTATTTTTCCTGGTGATTGATTGCGCGTTGCCGCTAGCGCTAATTTGTACACACGTGCAATGCATCGATCTGGAGATAAACATTTCTAGGAAAAAAATTGTTTTAGAGTCATGCCGAAGTCTCATTTAAATAAGGCACGTTCTGAATGAGACACTGAACATGTTTTAGCTCTCGTATGTTTGAATGTTTATTTTGCACGTTTGATAAAACCTGTTACTGTTTCAATAACACCCACAAGATAAGCAATTGATTAATATATACAGAGTGCATATTAAAAAATAATACTATCTTAACTAAATTAGTATACAAATTTAGATCCTAAATTCAGTGCGCATAAAAATGTATGTGTGTATGTAAGTTTGGAGCAGAGTGGTTATCACACCGCACTATGACCTGAGTTCGATTCCCATCTTTGGAGTACTGAGCCTCCCCTAGGTTTACTCAATCTTCATAATAAACATAAGAACTGGGGATACAAAAAACGGACAGGAATCAATCTGGCCACACAATTCCCATTGTTGCAGCAATTGCTAATGGAAATTGCTCCCACAGTCTATCCGAGAAAGGGGATCTTTGTTTTCGTGTGTGTGGAAGACATTATTCATTTACTATCACAAATGTCAAAACAGTATTTCCCTTGAAATGAAATGAACTAAAGAAAGAACCTCCCTTGTGTTATGTCAGTAATCGGCCTGGAATTACTTGTCAAAAGATAAAGTAATCTCTCAGCCATGACAGGGGGGAGCAGGAGAACAATGCCTAAGTGATAGTCACAATGTTCATCGGAGACAAGGCAGGAAAAAGTTGAAACACGACTGGTTTTTACGGCATGGGAAAGTGGATTTAACCCTGTCAAGAACATTTCTATACTCACCTCAGCAGGGTGGCCCTGCTCAGTGAACTGTAACCTCTGCACAACATGGAAAGAAACAATCCAAGGTCCACACATGGATGGACAGCCAGCGGATGGAGCAGGAGGTGGTCTGGGCGGTGGGGTTACACGCCGACACATTCCGTCCTGGAATTTTTGTGCCCCTGCCCGAGCTGAGAATAGTCGGGTATCCGTCACCAGCTGAGCACTTTCGCGACACCTTCGAGGTAATGCGTGAGTGGCAAATTAAAAATAAAAAAGCGTTTACGCGTGGCCAGGCAATTCGGTGCCGCGCGGGACTGGAGACAATGGCAGTGTCGCGCGATTTAGTGTCGTGTAGAGTGGTGCGATGCTAAAAATATATTATTCGGATTGATGTTACATTGTTTCATTTGGGCATTGTTTTGTCATCAAAGCTACGCTTTATCGAGCAGTGTTATTTTGCACAGATTGCCGGCTTTGGGATCAGGATGAATGTTACATCCTTTCTTTTAACGTTAACTTTGAGCGCACGTTCGAATTGTTAAATGGGTTCGCTTGTTTTAGTCTTGTCATTTTAAACACGTTTCTTTCCAGTGTCACCTGAGCACAAGGCTTCATTCTGC